TAATAATCTAATTATATAAGAGCCACTTTGAAAAATATTAAAATACTGCGCAAAACACTGACTCTACCGACCGCATTGCGCGCGATCACAAAAATTTTCTGAAAATAAAGCTGATTAGTAGGAGGAGGAGGATTAGGAGGAGGGCGAAGGATACGTTTATTTAGAAAATACTACTATTTTTCTAGAACATGATTATAAAATTGCGTGTCAACATTCAAAGTAGAGTATAATACAGTACAGTATAATATAGTACATATAGTAAAGTACGAAAACTGGATTTGATAATCTAATACAAGAATATATATCCATTTGAAAGTGTATATATACCATTAAGCTAATCTATATTCGAGATAAAAGATTAATTGAATTAATCTTTTCTATTTTCATCTTTGTATCCTAAATAATTACAAAATTACGTATTGTGAATTGTATCTCAAGTAAGAATTATGTACCATATGATACCCAGAATGAATAAAATGTTACCAAATTTCCATAAAAGTTCATCAAATTGTCCATTCTTAATCGTGGCGTCCATGCTATCTCTGATATAACCTGCATAAAAAAGAAATCAAAAGTTAGAACAAACATGTCAAACGACGGCAAATGTATAAAAGGATAATCAACTTCAAATTCTATTAAAAAGACGTCTGAGATGATGTGCCGGTAACCGTACGAGTAAAATCTACGATTGAAGAAAAATTGACGCGAAAAGTTTCAAAGAACGACTCGATTTCGTTACCGTAATGCTCAATGAATCGTTAAACATACGCATATTAATTAAATAACACTACTAATGAGGTATAAATCGAAGTAATAGAGTCGAAGAAGCGACGCCAGCGAAGAGACGCCACCGATTGCTTGGAGAAAGTTACGAATCTAATGCGACGTAATATGTGTTGTTATCACGGAACTCCGAATGACTCTCCGCAATACGTCTCGTGCTTTAATTGAAAAAGTAGTAGGGGATGGGGTAGTCCTGTTCGAACAGGCACGATAAGATGAACATAAACATTGTGTTCGTGTTTCTGTGGTTTGAACTTCGGATTTCGAGCCTCAAGACCTTTGAGAAATGAAAACTTTTATTATATCACGCAGTAGAATTATTATTTCAACTATTAAATACGTACATTCTTAATAAACTATTGTTGAATTTAGTATTTAGAATAGTTGAAGATTGCGTATTGCAAAGTTAAAGAATCAATAAACTTGTACTTTCTATAATGTTATAATATAAGCATATAATAAAATACATATATATATATATATATATATATATATATATTTGTGTGTATTAAAACTCATATACGTATATGATTATTTTCTAGAACTTAAATATTAAGCACATTAATTGCACATATTTCTAAAATTCAGGAGAAATTCTTTAAAAAATATAATATTAATATTATATTTATTATATACATACATATTACTCAATATTAATTATATATGAAATTTTAGCTCAATGTTAGGAATATTTTTATTAATTTAAATTGTTTCAGGATTATTTTATCCATACATTATTGTCCAAATATTAATTTAGCTTTCAAAAGAATCTCATATTATTAAAAGATTAATTCGATTAATTCATAATGCACATAAATAGTGCATCATTTTTCATTAATTCATCTTTATATTAGACGAAATTATTTTGTTATTCATTTAAATTAATATATGTATGAATAATAATATATAGTAATAATATATCTTCTAATATATAATGTATTATATCTTGATTCATGATAATTTGAGTAGTCATAATTAAATGTCTAGAGAAATAAAAATACATGCGACTTACACTTAGATGAAAAGAACGACATATAATACGTAATTGTGGCCCAGATGAAATAATTGCAAATATCACTAACAAGTAGAAACCATTAAATCCGATGGAAAATGCCTGTAACAAATCACAGTCGGGATCGAATACATATCTGTAATTACTTTTTTAAATAATGCTTATTGGTTTAGATTGTAGATGCATTTATACATAAACCAGTTTTACCTAGTAGTTTTTCTTGATAATTTCTTGACAATTTCTGGATAAGCAGCTTTTTCCTGCCTTTCTTGTTATGCTCCCGCCTAAAACTGACGGTTTTACGTTACATCTCAGTATTGATTCGATTAAATCGATTGCAAGAAACATCGATCATGTTTGAAAATTGTGACACGTAATTGCGAAATTTCATTGGTGTTTGATTGGCGCTGCAATCTTTACTAAAGTAAAAACTATTGCGCGCGGATTTCAAACTCGTTTGTATGTCAGGTCTATCATCAGCTTCAGTATCACATGCTATATTATCGATTCAGCATGGAAAATGACAGCACCAATAAATCAATGTAAAATTAGTAATAAAATAACCAACAATGAAAGTACGATAATATTATTTTATATATATATTAATATATATAATATTAATAAATATATGACATATAAATATAATATATAACATATAAATATAAATATTGATATATATGAAATTTTGAATCAATATTAGAAATATTTTTATTAATTTAAGTTACTTCATTATTTTATTCATACATTATTGTCCAAATATTAATTTAGTTTTCAAAAGTATTTCTTATATTATAAAAGATACTAATTCAAGATAAAGTTCGGATAACTCACATAAATGGTGCACCATTTTATTTTTTATGAATTTATCTTCATATTACACGAAATTTACTTTATTATTCATTTAAATTAATATATATATGAACTTGTGATAATAGCATAATATATCATATCTTGATCTATGTTAATTTGAGTAATTAATTAAATGAAAAATGAAAAAACATGTGACTTACAGTTAGATACGAGGAGCGGCATATAATATATAATCGTGGTTCAGAGGAAATCATTACAAATATCATGAAACCGTTAAATCCGATGAGAAACAAATCACTGTTTTCCTGTAACAAATCACAATCAAATATATATATATATATATATGTAATAACTCTTTTAAATAATGCTTATTGTTATTTAAATTAGATTGTTATTTAAATAAATGTATTCAATAATACAAAAAATGAGTCTTACCGTTAGTCTTTACTTGACAATCTCTGAATAAACAGCTTCATGCTATCTTTTTTGTCACGTTCTCACCTAAAACTAACGGTTTTACGTTACATCTCAATATTAGATCGATTAGATCGATTGCAAGAAACATCGATTATATTTGAAAATCGCGATACGTAATTACGGAATTTCATTGGCGCTGCCATCTTTACTAAAATTAAAAATATTGCGCGCGCATTTCGTATCTTGCATAAATTGAAAGAAGAAATAAAAACTTTCCTCCCCTAGTTCTTTTCGTTCATTAAATAAAATTTTTATAAAAATGACTATACAAAATTCTCTTCGCAGTCTTTTGGTTATTTAAACTGAACTGCTTCTAAAAAATAAATAAACTATTAGGCAGAACACTTAGGGAGAACACCATGGAACATCGTAGGATATCACAGGGTCACCATGGAATACATGCGTTTTAATTTCGAATATTATAGATTAAATTAGTTTTAAGTTTCATCGATGGACGACAATGGATAATAGAAGCATCAATCTATTATAACAGAAACAGTTAAAGTAGATTTTACATACAATATCGTGTAGTAATTTATTATCATTTAGTAAATTTTTATCATTTTTTTAACATAAGAAATTAATTTTTCCAATAAAAAGTTAAAGTAAGTTTTTCATACTTACAATATCGCATAGTAATTTATTAAATTTATATCGGTTTTTTAAACAGGAAGTTAGTTTCTCAAAGAAAAAATAAAAGTAAGTTTCGCACATAATATCGTGGTAATTTCTTTTTCGGTCTTTTAAGTTTATGAAATTTACTTTTCAAATATACATTTAATCTTCATCAAACATACATTTTATTACTTTCACGATTTCAAAGTCAAGCATTTTTGGGCAAGTTCGAGCAAGTAATAAAATACTTTTCTATATATCATGATTATTTTTTATTGACCATTATTCAACTTATTAATTATCAGTTATGTAAATATATTTTCATTTTCCTTCAGCACACAGTAAATATGATAACAGATATGATAATTGAAATCGAATTTATGTTATTGTTCTGCAATAACATGTTCTGGTACTACTTTTGCTACTTTTCTGAATTCTTTTCGTAATGTTTTGGGACATTGCATTTGTGTCCAATTAATAGGTATCATAGCTACACCTGCAACATAAAAATAATTAAGAATAGAAAATAATTTTATCTTCAGTTACTTACCTTCTTCACTATGTGCTATCACTACTCCTAATTCATTTTCTGCTGTACTTAATTGATAAGTATGTGCTTCTGTCATTGGCATCTTATTAATGGATAGGAAATTATTTAAAATTTATACTTTTATATGAATAATAACGTAACATTTTTCAGATAGAATAAAGGATACAACTCTTGCAAGAATAATATCCCCAGGTCTAAAACTTTTGTACATTTGAATATTGTCTTTATCTATTGCGCGAACATCTTCTTTCCTTAAAATTCCTCTGTAAGGTCTTGTCAATACAATATCACCTATACATTTTATACTACATTTACAAAATCTTTGATTGACAATGGTAACCATGGCTGTAACAATGTCACCAGGCGCAGGTACAATACTTTGTTCTGTTATTCCATGGACTTCTATAGTACGAGTCTAAAATTAAAAATATCATTTATATGATCAATTTCAATGTTAGACAATATTTAATGCAGTTAATAATTAACAATTATAGCAAAAATTTTTGTAATAAAATGCATCAATATCTAACTTATACTGCTATTTAAATTAATTTCTTACTTACATTTTCTTTTTGTATCAACTTTATCACACCAGCTAATTTCGAATAGATATAACCTTGTTGTTCGTAAGTTCCTGGTCCAGCAATATTGAATTTATCGGATACGCATAACCTCTGCCCTATAAAAAAAATATATTTTTTATTCTTTAATAGCATGATTCCATTCACGTTGAGGATAACATTACCTGGCACACATACAATAATGTCTTTATCTTTGCTCATATCGTCACAGAAATAAAACAAATTTATTTCCTGTATTTAATTTGTTTCCTGTGTCAAGAAAGTAATAAACATAGCTTGTAAACAGTTTAGAGGTTATGTACAATTTTTATTTAGTATTTTACATGAATGTAAAATATACTATTGTTAGCTTACAATTGCTACTGAATTATGATCTTCAACAATAAATTTGCACTAAAAAAATCTGATACATTTCTTTGGATAACAAATATGACTTAGCGAATGTATTTATCTTTTGATTTTGAACTCAACCGTATCTCTTCTAGATTTTGACCACGTGTGTTTATTTACTTCTTCCAACTTGACTCGGATAGAAAACAAATTTAACAATCGAAATAATATGAAATTTAGAAAGATAGACATCTGCAATTACAAATGAGGTTTTAATATTCGAAAGTATAGATATATCTTGTCTACGTACGTAAAAAAATAAACTTGTTAATCAACAATTTAAGAAAGATATCTAAAAGGATAGTTTATGAAGTTTTTGTGTTTCTTGAATGTCAAAGAATCAATATATCAATTTCAATAGTAATTATTATTAGTTAATAATACCAATACTAATATCAAGTAATTAGTTAATATCAATGGCTGATGAACGAAATTTTCGTTCATCTTATTACGAAAAGGTATGCATTTTGCACGAACTATTTATATTGAAAACATTCTGCATGAAATATGTTTGTGTTTCTTATCATTTAGGTTATAGACAATAAAACACTAATTATAAATGATTAATCAATTATACGACTAAAATATAGGTGGGATTTCGTAGCGTCGAAGAGAAAAAATCTTTGGAAATATTACTTAAAGAACGTCCTTTAGATAAAGCAAAACTGAAACAATTTTGTTTGCGTTTTACTGTTCCTGCTAAATACAGAAATTTTCTTTGGAAAGTATTATTAGATGTGATACCAATTTATATAGATAGTCATGAATTTATAATAAGTCAAAGGAAAGAAGAATTTCAAGATCTACAAAAAGCCTTAAAGGTCACAAAGATTTTGGATGATTACACAAAACCTCATTTAATGTTTCTTACTATGTGGTTATTGCGTACTAGAAGAGCAAAACTTGATATGAATACTCAATTAGAAGTTCCTTTACATAGGTCTCAATATTATTCTCATGTTTCACTAAATATAACTATTAATTACGATTTGTTAAATTCAACTTACACTCATCAATTATATTTGCTGCAGAGCTATGAGCAGAATGGCTGAAACATTGTGGCACATTGTTGATATAGATTTATATGAGGAAAAGCTGGTAGATACATATTGGATATTATGTGGACTTTTAGACCAAGTACAAAAATTTCACAAAGAAATCAGTAGATTGCAGGAATGTACTTGTACTTTGTTGGAGAGAGAAGATCCAGAATTATACAAACATCTTGTTAAAATAGAAGCACTTCACAATATTCCATATGACATTTGGTTTTCTTCATGCTTTGCAGGAACAATATCTAATGGTTCTATAGCAAAGTAAATAAAAAAAATAAAGAAGAAGAAATACATAATTTATCTATCACTTATTGTTCTTTATTTGTTGCAGAATATGGGATAAAATAACTGTAGGTGCATATAGAATTTTAATGTTTGTCACTGTAGTTATATTAACAACTTTAAGAAGGCTTCTATTGAGATGTGAAAATACAGATGGTATTTTAGATACTATTGCCAATGTATGAGAATATCTGTATATGATTGTTTTTACAAATGTGAAGTATGGCAATTGTTTCTAAACAAATATTTTTATTTCAGATAACAGAAGAAACATCTGAAGTAATTGTTAACAAAGCAATTGAATCTTGGCAACAAAGTGGTTCAACATTGACAACTATTTCATAAATTATTTAAGAAATGAAAATATTTAACTTGTAAACAAAATTGTATGAAAACAATTGTACTATAAATTATAAAGTTTAATTATAAATATTAGATTTAACTTTTTCTAAATAGAAATAAATATTTATATATTTAAAGAATAATTTCCTTATATTTTAAAAATAATTATTTTTATTAATGCATCCATCATACATTGTACATATATAATTACTTATTTTATTGAGGTGTTAAGTCTTAAACTGGACTTTGTTTCTTATATTGTGATTCTTTTGTTTTTCTTTTGCAATGTTACATTACAACAGTGTTGATGTACTTCTGTGTGTAAGAGTAAACTTCAATAAATAACTTTCAAATCAAGCAGAAATATAAAATTATTGCATGTTATACTTATATTCTCCAAGAAATCGAATGCAAATAAGTTGTCATACATCTTCAAAATTTGTTTTACATATCTTTGTGTAATGGAATTGTGCATTTGCAATGGAATTTTATTCCAAGGCTTATCTTAACAGAGATATAAAAAGAATATTAAACTTCGATATGTATAGCATTTTCTCAATACTAAAATAACTTGAAACAACGTAATAGTATTGATGAGGTTCAAATTTCTTATGAATTGATTATCCTTTGTAATTTTTACAGAAGAAATAATATATTGTGATTTATTTACATTTTGTCTGATTTAAAAAATAGCGTTCTTGGAGAAAAGTGAGATCATACAAAATTTTATTTTTTGCTCGCGCATTGCACCATAATTTTATAAGTTCCTACTGTTTTCTAATATTACAACTCTTGAATAGAATTTCTGCTAGTCGTTCTTTGGTTTTCAATGGGATTTGAGCATCCTCTTTTTATCGTTGATACCTTGTAACAAATTACAATTATAATCCCATGTACATTAAACAAAATTTATATGTAACTAAATTATCTTTGTTTCAAATATTTCGAAGAAATCTTACACTTGTTATAAAACAAGATTTTAATGCAAAAATTGAAATTCAGTCTAAAATGTTGGCAGATTTTTAATTCAGAGAGTTATTTAGGCTATGGCAATGCACATATAATTCCAAAGATACTAGTTCTTTCAAAATAGAAGTAAAATGCACAAATACACTACACTATTGTATTTTGTTAACATCAATGACTCCAATTTAAAACATGCACATTTTAACATTTGTGAAACACCGTCAGGCATTCGATCAATGATATCCATAACATTCTCGATCAAAATCTACCATTGCCTTCAAGTGGCAAAGTATAATTTTATATAAATTGTTTCTTTTTTTTTCTTTCTGATTAAGGCCATTAAATTCATTCTGTTGATGTCTAATTATTAAAATAAATATTTATGCAAAGAAAATAGTTAACGTACTTTACAAACATCAGCTAACTTTTACTAGGTATTATATGTAACTGGAAACTTATTTCCTATTTCAGCTATGTAAAGTTTCATTTACAACGTCTTCTCATTTTTTCGCAGCTATTGCACTCTTCTTTCTTCGCTAATTGAAAGGTATGCGTAAAACAAAGGAATGCATGAAAAATGAAACAGAATACATTTGCAAATAAATAAGATTGTGTTTACCAAGAATGATGACAGAAACGTAATAGAAAATATCCTAAACTGAAGATTCATGATGCTAGTGATCAAAGTAACAGGTGCTCTTGCCTAAATTATAATTATAAAAAACTGTTGTCTTTTATATGACTCTAACAAGCAATGAATAACGTACATAGTAAAACAGAATTTTACATAAAAAGTTAGAGAGTTTTTTTTTGTTGTAAGTCTAGTAAAAATACTGATTACAACTTTCATTCGTTTTACCGTTTTATGCATTTGGCAAGTTACACAAACCAGGAGTCACTGATAAATGAATCAAAGTGTCCGGTGCTTGATTTGGTACAAGTTAATACTATAATCTTTTTTTTCTGAAAAAAAAGTAAAATTTTAACTTTTTATATAACAAAATACCTAAAAAGATTAAACTTAATGTTTAGCTCAATCTAAATGTCACTGAAACAAGCACTGCTCGTAAAAATTTTTCGTAACCTAAACATTAAGTGGATTGATAAATCTAAGATCAATCTCAGTTATTGACTTAAAGACATAATATAATACAATATAGACGGCTTCTTTAAAGTCCTCATGTAGTAGGTGCACTTGATAGTAACCGTTTCTCTAAATATAGTTTTGTCACAAAGGTACGTGTCCTTCTTCTTTCCTGTGGCTTGTTTTAGTTTTTACAATAGCTATAGAGCAGCAGAGTTGCAATTGTCGACTAGAGGTGACAGCGGTCCTATTTTGCCTTTCCCGCTTCCCAATTTGTCTCCCTCATAATGTACATCCAGGGATAAGCCTTAAATGTAATTGTAACAGAACTTAACATAACTATATACATATATGTATATATATATATATATGTATATATATATATGTATATATATATACTATACATACGTGTATATAACGTACAAGAAATTTTGTTACATATATGTTATGTATATAAATATAGATGTATTTTAATCACATTAGAAACTAAGACAATAATTTCCGGATAAGTAACCACATCTTTCCAAATTAAATTTTCGCAGTCAGTCTTATTGTTGTATTTAATGAGTCTAATAAAAAGAATCTGTCCTGAGTAATTAATTCTATGCAAATTTGTTTAACGATTACTTATCCAAAGATTACTGTAATACCCTTTCTTTATAAAATTGATGTAAAAATTTTATATTTTATCATATTACTGTTACTAAATTTTATGAAAATAAAACCCACCACCAAAAATACATCTGAATTTTAACATAACTGACAACCTTTAACGTACATTTCTGATATGCGTATTTACCGGAGGGCCTCCGGGAGGTGGATGGATGATGTAATGGACCAGTTGACATTGTGTTTGATTCGGGTATAAATGCAGCTACTAGTAATGCACATATCACAAGTAATGCACCAAACACAAATGGTGGTCCTGGTACAAGCTAGAAATACAAATTTCTTTATAGTATTTATATGAATGTAATTATTACTTCTAATTAACTTCTAATCAAAATTACCTGGGTTACTATTTGTGGCATAATATCAAGATGTTGCGTGGCAGTTCCTGTTTTGTTATTTTCATCTAGTGGAGATGGTTTTGCAGGAAGGGAGGGAGAATTGTCGTTGAGATCAACACGAAAGAGATAAAAGATTACTCCAAACATTGCTGGTCCTAGACCATTACATAATCCACGCATTCCAGTTACCATGCCTTGTACCAAACCTTGCTTATCAGCATCAGAATGCATGGATATGAACGCGGAAATTGCAGGATATGTAATACTTGACACAGCAGCAAGTACTCCAGCTGCCCACATCATCCTTAAAATTACAGAGATATCTGATAGAATTTATAAAATTCTATTTCTATTATATTATTAAAATCTTTTAATATTAATTTGCAATATTTTTATTAAAATTATAATAAAAAACGAAAGTAATTTCTTAAATTTTACATCAGAAATTAAAAGTTTAAAAGTATGGTGAAGAAAAAATTACCATGTTTGCGAACCAAAGCCAAACCACATGAGTTGTAACATCTCAAATAAAAGGCCTAACATTATAGTGTGTTTACTGCCAAGTGTCTTTATCAAAACACCCAAGAGAGTTTGAGCGCCGACGCTTAAAATTCCCACCACGGCAATAAAAAATGCTACCATTAGAGCAGTAAATCCCATAACTTTAGTCAAGTAGACAAATATACAACTATACTGTCCTGCTTCAGGAAGATAGCTCAGGAACACAGTAATACACAACATTAAAATAGTATGATCTTTGCCAACCTGAAATATCAGAATTATATTAATATTTTTATTTTATTATTATTACATTGTATAAAAATACAATATAATATATAATATATTTTGAAATAGAATGCAATAAGTTCTAATTAAGTTAAAGCATATCTATTTTTAAACACATATTTACTAATTTGAATTTTATGATCACCTTTTATATATATATAATATTTCAAATTATTTACCTTTCCAAGATAAGCAAAGGGGTCTGCCTGCTCCCAAGAAATAGGTGCTGGTGGACGAGCTTTTTCAGGCAAACTTTCAGGTACAGCCACTAATATAAAAAACACATCCAACACTGCAATAGCTGTTGCTAATGCAACCACAAGATTTTCTCCATACACTTTCATAATATAATCTCCCAATGCTGGACTTATTACCATACTTGCAGCAAAAGTTGCTGACACCTAATAAAATAAATATATAAAAAATAAAAGAAAAATATTATAAATTTTATAATAAAATATTTACCAAGCCATATGCTGGAGACCTTTGATGTTCTTCGGTAACATCGGCAACATATGCAAACACCACTGAAAATGTGCAAGCAAAGACACCACTGATGGAGATCATAGCAAAGAACCACCATGTATTAATGCTCATTAGAGGAATCGGCGCACATGTGAAGGCTACTGTGATGAGTAGAAAGAATTTTCGACCCCACACATCAGACAAAGCACCAATTAACGGTGCCGAAAGAAATGACAAGATTCCTTTAATGCCCATTATCAAACCATTCATCAGGAACGTGTGATTTGGAAATGTACTATTTAATACAGAGATAACAGGCATGGTTAATAAACCCCATGCAAAAAATTCCAAAAATATTACAACCAGAGCATGGTACACACTTGCCTCTCCTATACCGGAACTCTGTAAAACAAAAAGAAATAAAATATATAAGTATGTTCATAAGCGAATGTGTGTACTAATGTATACACAGTTCATAAGCAGCCAGTAATATCTAATTGCTACACCCAATAATTATGAAATAATAAAAAGATAATTTTTACAGAAGTTTAACGTCAGAAGTTTCTTTGGATTTATCAAGAACTATAAGCATTTTGCAAATTGTGACAGCTGACCTTAAGATGTCTGTAGCATTGCTGAGCAAATGTAAGAGGAGGTGTGAGTATAGCAATAGCATGTTCTTGACTGTTGTGAATTTCAGAACAGGAAGGGCCCAGGCCCTCTGCTCCACCTTTTGCCCCAGGGGGCATGACCCCTAAGAAGTGTTACTATATATATTTCTTTCCATATTTACGATTCTATCAATTTTTCATTTATCAGTTGTTCAGATCCATATAATACTGTAACGAATAATCTTGACTTAGCATTATATCAGTTTTGCATTTTTGAATATTCAACCTAATCCTCACGAATAGTTATTTATTATACTGCACGAAGACTACGGTCTTTATTAATTACATTTATGCGTTAATTCTAATTGAAAGCTCTATTTTTGTTGCATTTTTTGTGGATATTTTTCCACATTATTAATTACTTAGTGATTATTAATATACTTAGTCTTTAATTCTGCATATATATGTCTTTCATTATATCACAAATATCATTTTGTGTAATAAGATACAATCTTTGTACATTTTTATGGTTTGTATAGAGATTGTATTATCCTTAACTAATATACATATAAAATAATTGAATTATTAATTGCAACAAGCTTCTTTTTTATTTCCATGATACTAATGTCATTATTGTAATTTGTGCCATTAACAAAACGTTAAAAATTACATTAGGAATACATAGTATGATTTATTCGATATTACAGCTTAATCTTTATTTATAATTTTACAAATATTCTTTATTATCATTACTTTTACTTTTGGTCAATTTTTATGTATTCTCTCTCATCTAGACAAAGCATACTTCTTTTCTTTGTTTCTCTTTTTACATTTCTCAGCAATATAAAGACACAAGATCTCTTATGTACATAAAATATTGCGCCGAAATCATTAATATAGAACAAAATATCTGCGTACGACCATTTTAAAAATATACTCTTCCGCATGTATATAAGATTTTCAAAACATTCCGGATATTCTTATCACATATTATAGTCTGTAGCTATTAAGGGCAGCTTGTTTAAAAAGCACTACATTGTTGATAGATTGAAGATTGATTTGGAAATTTTCGAAGATCTTTTTCTTTCTATGTAGTATCATTTGAACATTTCTCTTGAAACTGTTCTCCTTTTTCAAGAAAAACTGTCATGTTTCCGTCATGCATGATGTCTATTGACTGACAATAACACGTCGAAATTTTCCAGAGAGAAGCTATCATTTAGCATAATGTCGTGTGATTTTCGTGAAAATCAGAAGCTGTCACATGAAGTGTTTCACGATACTCTAATTTTCCGTAAAACCCGTACAAGACGAAGTGTCGTATCAAAGTACATTAAAAAAATGGTACGATCAGTGATATAAACTAATATATCAAGGTGGAGTGATTCGTCTCGTATTTAATGTATCTTGATGTCATAACTTATTGTCAACACTTCCTCACTTAACATTCTCGAAACCGCATGTCTGTTTAATAGTTTTCTTTATTTTCCCATTGTCCACTCTTATCTCTTCCAACAAAATTACTACAAAATTTCGAACAAAAGCCTGAATCACTGCATTGCAACTCTGCCACCAGGCCCCCCACTTTTTACGATACGAGTCGTAGTTCTTTTGTCATAACTTTCGATTGAATCTAACCTAAAAGTCTAGAGCAACGAAACTACGTTACTCGTTGTACGTCTATAACCACAGATTTGTAAACGAGAAAATTTATCCACTTTGGAAAATCTTGCATAATCTCTATTTTCATTAGTCGTTTCGTGTACAAAAAGGTTAGTTCTTATCAACTACAAATTGCTGGCAGCTGATCAATATGCGCAAGTACGATAATATTCGAAGGACCTAAACATATATAACAATACTGTAATAAAAAGAAACTAACAATTTAATTCGATTTTAATAAAAGGAGAAGATATTATCATGAACCAAGTGGAAAGTACGTTTATTCGCGTAAATTGTAATTTGTTTTCTCTCTTCTAAATTATAATCACGATATGTTGCATTTCGTGTAGTTTAAGAAGTTTCGCTGTTTCAATAATTATCATACATATTAATAATCTAAAATATTCTTCTATATTTATAACATTTTAGATGTAAAATATAAAGAATTCATAACTTATTACACTGTCTGTACAAATATGTTTATTAAACAGTTGATCATTCATTTCTTTGAAAGTATGGTTGACATTGAAACGTAGTTAAACATATGTTTCATTAGATCAAATATAAAATGAAAGAATTACATAGTGATAATTTTTCATAAACTTTATAAAATCTCTGTATAATAAAAGATAATTAGGAAGCTTCTATTTCAGCTAATTCTAATTGATCATAGAAGGAAATTAATGAAAAGCAATAAAACAAGATGTGAAATTAACGTAATTTAAGTAACATTGTTTTATTCATAAAGTAATTTTGAGAAAGTATCTAAAGAACATTGATACTACTCTATGTCTCTATATCAAGGAAACATTTTAAGCTGCTTGAAAACAAATTAAAAAATGAAACAAAGAAGCTGGTTGCAGGTTCTAGATATCTTATTAATTATAAAATACTAGAAATAAACAGAAGTTTGAATAGTCCAATACACACTGTATTTAACTGTCAATAAGATTATTATTGGTATTATCGTGTGTTACAATTAACATCCGTTTGCCCAGTTAAAAAACAAAAATCACAGGGGGATATAGGATTCAAACAAAGGCGTATGGAATTGTATCGTTTACTCTTATTACTTCGAAAGAAAATTCGTATATTTTTAATGAAAACTGGTGAAAAATACTATTTAATGAAAAATACGTCGATTGTATTTTGTAACAATTCTTTACATGAAAAGAAGTCTTACTAATGGCACGAAAAACGAACGAAGATTCCAGCCATGTGTCAGTGTTATAATTACAATGTAATCACTCTAAAACTCGCACAATAACTTTGATATACCCACGAACTTGTCTCGAGAACAAGTTCAACAAGTCAAAGTAAAGTCGCGTTTCGTACAAGGAACTTTTTCTTTTTTTTTTTAATCATTAATCCATTATTTTTGCACTATTCAACAGAAGATAAACACAGAGTGAACTCATTGTCAAGAGTTTATCATGCACCGAAATGAAAACTCGTGTATACTTACTTTCGATACAAAATTAGAGAGAATATATATATATATGTATAATATATATATATATAGAGAGAGAGAGAGAGAGAAAGAAAGAGAGAGAGACGAAGATGTAACTTAAAAATCTAATAAATATTAAACTGAATGTGTTTCAGTACCGTAATGACCCCATCCTTAATAATGAATTTTCGGCTTCGTACGATCATGCCCACGACCTTCTTTGAGACCTTGGCGGGCATATTCACGCACTGCGCGCACAGACTCTTCCGTTTTTTCAATTTCATTAATCCCTAAAAATTCGATGGCACTGTGCGAGTCATTTTTTTTCGGTGATACGCTCACACGGACACGAAATAGCGTTATTAGCTTCAAATCGGCCTTCAGTGTCGTACTTCTACATAATGCTACGACCCACAGTTAACCATATCCGCAGACTACTACAGACTACATCGGCAAGTGCAATATGTTCTCGGGGGAAACGTAGAGAGGAATGTGCGACGGTGGTGGAAGTTGCACGCGACGGTGGTGCCAACTGGCGCCAACATCGGCAAACCAGCCTGATGCATTCCTATCTAAGTAAATAGCAAGTTCTGGATTAACATAGTCTCGTATTGAGATTAATGCGCGTGAAAAAAATAAAAGTTGTTCCATGCTCGACGAATATGTTCCCGTCAACTTCAACGTGTCTTTATGTCACATTGACTTCGTAAAAATTCGACTTGAAAGAATTTCTACTGTCTGTGGAGGATCCGTTTTAAGCATCATATATATAATCATAGTGTATTCAACTACACGAGTGCATCACGCAATTTCTACACTCTAATTAGATACATATTTTCCTGTACGTAAATTACGCTCAATTCTTTAAATATTTTTTTGAGGATTTTTCTTGACGTGACGCTTCTGTTGCGTAGAAGAAACATGTATATAAATGGGTATCTGGCACACGAACGCTTAAAGTGATCGAGAAGTGATATGCGAAATAAGTTCATTGCGAAATTCTTTTTTTTATTATTAAAACATTCTAACAAAGTAAATATATATAAAGTTCGATTGATAAAATTACCGGAGTAAATATCCAGGGAACAAAAGCTAGAAGAACAATTTGGTGTTACATGTATGTAGAGTAAATTAATGAATAAATCATTGAATCGTATCGTAGTTGAGAGGACGGTTATCAGGAAAAAAAAAATAAAACCTACAAAAACAATTCTCAATGACCGCGCTGTGTTACATGATAACGTAATTGTGCTTGGTGTGTACGCGGCATAAATTTATAACTTGATCGTCGTTAACGCATAGCACCGCGAGAGTGCGCGTTATTTAGTGAAAAAAAATGGTGGTTATTTGGGTGTAGTCGGACGATTTTCTGCACAAATGTGAATACCGGTTGACTAAGAAATTACGTGTGCTGTTTGTCAGTGCGTCGCAAGGCTAATATGACTGGATCTATATCAGAGGTAATGAAACAATCACATAATCGAACAAATATCTCGCATATTCGTACGAAAATCACCGACTCTGAGTAGGTATTGTTGTTCACGCATCTCCGCATGACAAGTACTCATTCGTGTTCTCGATATATTTTATCAGACAAAAATCTTGGACAAACCAGTGACGTTTACAGAGAACAAAGAGATTCAAATTTGCTCGTAGCCCTCGAAATCGTCTGCCGCCAAACAATACGTAAAATATGCACTGACGCGATATTTTTGGGATAGATGTCACATTATCTCTCTCGGCAGTCTTCACTATATGCGCGCTCGTCCAGTGTGTGCATTTATTTGATTTGCGGTATACGTGTGTGGCACTTCCTCTTCACCCCTTAATACGCATGTGTTCAGTATGCATCGCAACGGTGTGTCCGTGAGATATGTATATCGCAGTGTATACGTAAGACCTGCTGCTTGCTTATATACTGTCAATATTTTTTAAGCGACTATTCCACGATACTTAACAACATACTGCGATATTTAACGAAGTTAAATCTTCTTCCCCCCATGCCTGCCTCTGTTTTCCCCATTTCAACTTGTTATTTAATGATTCTTATGGCTGTTTAGTCGAGCGGATTCTCGAGATATATAGGAGTTTCGATTTATTAATAAATAACGAAATATTATGTTCAATATATCTAAAATACTAATTTTGAGATCGGTTGTCCTCACATTTATTGGCAATCGACGTGATCAACATTAAGCTATTGATGTTGCTAAATTTATACAATCTGTACGATATATAAACTGTTTGCAAAGCAGAAATCACAGTCGCATAAGGACTCATATATATCCACACACACACATATAATTCTGCCCTCTGGAAAATAGATTAATTCAAGCTTTATTGATAGGATTCTATCACAATTACTCAACGCTCTTCTATACCTTTGATTTTATTTTTCACTTTTATCTTTTCAATAAATCGACTTCGCTCATAATTTTTTTGCACATTCGTTATTACAATAATTTGGAAATTAATCGCATATTTAACATATGTTACATTGCATACATGTACATATATAATATAAAATTATTTTAACGAAATTATTAATACATATTTAATGCAAACGTTGAAAAACTATTAACATTATTTAAAATTATAATACATGATAAATATATATAATAACAAGCATATATGTTTGTTAATATTGAAAATATATATATAACAAGCATATATGTTTGTTAATATTGAAAATATGTCACGTACAACATTTAATTAGAATGGGATAAGATTTTTTTCACATATGAAAAATATTAGTTTTTATTTATTTTGTAATTTATAATGCATATTCATTATTACTTTAAATTATTAATAATGAACAGCATTTATACAACATAATTTATAAGCAAAATAAAGATAGTTTTCTTATTTTTTAATATATAGTATGAAATTAAAAATATAACAAGAAAAAAATTAAAAAAATGAATTAAACATTTATATTATAATATTTAATTACAATCTTGAAATTAGAAAACCAATATTATAAACAAAAAAAATATATAAAATAAAATCTTCATTATGTAAAGAACCATTTTTTATCTATATTTATTTATAAAAATTTATTTGTTATTAATATTTTCATTATTATTAATTATTATTATTAATATTAATGTTCTTTCTGTTTTCAGAATCATTTAACTTCTTTGGTATTAAATATTTATTAAAAAATTGAAGTAACAGAGTATATTTGATAATTAAGAAGAAAAAAAATCTGTGATGAATATAAAACATACTCTGTACATTTGCATAAATGCATCCAGTATTTTATAGTTTGAAAAATAAAATTAATTAAAGATACATACTGTTTTCCTGATGAATAATATGACATTAAAAGTTCTTATAAAATCTTTATCCAAGTCGAATTGAGAAAGAAAGAAATATATATATATAAAAATTTATATATATATAAATATATGTACATATATAAATATATGTACATATATATAAAATAGGAGGCAAGGATTTTTATAAAGTGAATTCTTTCATACGTTGGTTATGTGCAATGCCGAGATGCTGCAATGAAAACAAGGCAGTGAGTTCGGTTGGCACTAGTCGGGAACATAATACAGAAGATATTTTATTAACACAGAGTCGTTCTTTTACTATTGGAAATCAGTTGGAATTAGAGGAAGATCCACCAATTGTTGAGAAATCACACAGAAGAGTAAGGTGTGATCTAAGTCCAGTTCCAACAAGCACAAGTACTAATTTGAATATAAAGCTTTTAAGTATTAAGGTAAACTTTCTATAAATTAATTTTAAAATTTATATATATATATTATTTATTTCATTAATTATTAAAACCTCTGCGCATTTACTTATCTCACTGAGAATCATAATACATTGATTACAGGGAGATAGAAATATTCGTCAAGATCAAGTGGACACTGGATCTGGTGGGTACAGAGAACGGAAAAAAGAAATTAAAAAGAGAGCAGCTATAGGCAATACAGTGCGTGGATTTCTCTCATCTGGCCACAGCAGGCAGGACAGGTATAATGATGTCTGTATCAAAATCATGCTTCTTACATTGCCATTTTTTATCTTATGTCATTTAATTTCTTTGCTATAATTCATTCTTTGCTTTTCATTTGTCATACATGTTTCATATTTATATAAGTAGTACTATATTCCGAATATATATAAAATTATATATATATTTAACATATAAATATATGTAAATATATATAAAATTACATATATATTTAATTTGGAATGCACTTTATGAAGATTGTTCTTTAATATATTATTTTACAGATTCCATTTTTTAAAGAATTCTTTCAAACACATGACCAAGGAACAGAATTTTCCTAATTTTGAACTCTTTAATTATTGAATATAATAAAGTATGATATTTATTAAATAATAAAGCTACACATGCACAGAAGTTTTTTGTATATCTCATCCGTACTGTATATGTACATACTGAAATTATTACAATTTTTGAGAAAAATTTCATCTGAAATGTATAGATATTAACTAAAATATTTGGTATGCTAAAATTAACATAAATTATGAGGTATAATGATACTATAAAATCTAATCAAGAAATTTTTGTCATACAAAATTTAAAAATTTCATCAGGAAAATATAAATTCCAATATATTTCCAGAATTACTGACCCTGAACTTCAAACATGAAATTTTATAGGTATTCAAAGGTTAGTAATTATATGATTCATATTTTTGTCATATTGCAACATGGAACTATTCAATTAATATTGAATAGTTGTCATTTAAACATCTCAAAAAAAATAATTTATTAATAGCTATTAATTTGGCTTTTTATGTTTTGGAATTTTTATCATCATCATAGACTTTATATATATCTTGAATTTATTTTTCAAATATCCTTTATATTTTAAGATTAAGTAGTACATTAAACCATAATTCATAACATTTAAATATTATATAATATAACAATTTTATAGTTGGCATGTACATTTAGTACAGATGAGGCTAAACATTAATTTCTTAATTTAGATTTACTATTCTTCATAATAAAAGATATTTTATTGCAAAATGTATGTGCGTGTGTGTAACTTTCTCCTTTTATATTTTATATAATTCATAAAACACAACAACACTTCACAATGTTAAATTATGATTTTAGTTTGGCTTGATAATAATTTTTGCTATAATTTATATTTATATTTTGTATTATAAAATAAAAGCTTACTGCATACTTTGTATCTAAATTAACATAAAATGTGTATGACTTAAATAAAAAACCTTTCTTGATCAAAGAAAATAATATTTAAAAGAAGAATATTAATGAAAAGAAAAGAAAATATGATATAATAATTATATAGTATTTTTAATCATGTTTTAGGTATGAGACAAATAGACAACAATCTTCAGGTGGAAGTGGCCTGTCAAGTTTATGTCCAAAGCTGGTGGCCAGTGGAGGTGGTGGTAATCAGGGTGGGATTAGTCTATCAGTGGGCCACTTAGCCTCTCAGGAAGCAGGAGGCCCTTGTTCAGTTGTAACCACTCAAAGGATTCATAACCATACACATAATCATAAACGCCAAAGAAAATTATCTATTGTTTCACAAGCTGGCACTAGTGCCCATAATTCTGGTGATAGAAAGGTATGTGAAAAATAAAGAATACTTTGTATCTAAATAATATTTTTATATAAATATAAATTATATTGTTATTTATTTTGTTAGACATCAAATATAAACCGTTCCTCTACACCAATTTGCAAGAAACAAGTACGGACACAAAGAACGGATGTTACTGATTCATTGTCTATAACAAGTAACGGAATCGCTAGTAATTCACCTTCTTCTAAAAAGAAAGTTTTATCTGCATTACGAATTTCTGAAAAGTCATCATCTCGGAATCTCAATTCACCATCTTTAGATCATGAAAATGACCGCAGTTTTAGCGATGCAGAGGAAGCTATTACAGCAACAGAAAATGTCTTCAATGTGCCAGGTATATCTTATATTAGCATTTATCTACAGTTTTTGTTTCACAGATTTTAGAATGTTCATTTTCATACATAGGATCCACTTCCACACCATCGACACCACTTAGTCGACTGAAATCAAAAAAATCGGACGAAGATGAAACGAGTATGGAATGCAATATTAGTGAAGAAGGTGCTGATTTGTCACAGAACACATCAGACAAAAAAGAATCATTAAATCCTAATGATCCTAATGAACAAAGGGCATCTACATCAGAATGTTTTGAATTCTCTAAAACTTCGAATATTACAAGAAAAATATCAACAAATAGTGTTGAAGAAGAAATAGGTGCACAGAATAAACAAAAATTATTTTCCACTTCTTCCACAAGTACGAAATCCACTGAATGCAAATCTATAAAATCTAGAAGTAAATATGTTACAGAAAAGATGATTGAACAGCAAAATAATAAAAATTTAAAAGAAGCAAATATGGAAAGAAACATAGATACAACTTTGGCCACAGAAATGAGTTCAACAATAAAAAAAAATAACGAAAAAACAAAACAGAAAACGTCTAACGAAGAATCTACTAATATTGAAGAGATTGAAGACTTAGCCAAAAATTTGGAAAAAAATATGATAGATGACAAAAAGAATACGCAACAAAGTGAAGAGAAGATAAAAAGTTCAAGATTTGTAACATCAAAAGTATCGGAAGAAATTATAGATACTGAAGTTAAGGATATAGATGCCCAAAGAGAAGTAGAAGAAGAAGAAGTAACAATATACGATGATGATAATGGCACCAGTATTAGTGATATTGTTGCTGCTCAAGCGCTTCATGAATCTCTGAGTAAACTAGGAAAAGTGCCACCGTTAGATACAGAAATGGAGAATGTCAGTGGTGCAAACACGCAAGACGAAATCAAAATGGCGAAAGAAGAAAAAGGAGAAATGGCGAAAGAAGTCGTGCAAGAAGAAACGGTGGAAGGATTTATCGGTCCTTTACTTGATGAAAATTTCAAAGCAGATGAAAAATTAACGCAGAAAACAATGGCTATGGAAGAAGTACGAAATTTATTAATGAAAGTTAAAGTGCAAACTGTTGAAGATGATGATGACGAAGAAAAGGCCATAGGTATATCACCAGATGGTAGATTTTTAAAATTTGAAGAGGAAATTGGTAGAGGCAGCTTTAAAACTGTGTACAGAGGTCTGGACACTCAAACTGGTGTAGCTGTTGCTTGGTGCGAATTGCAGGTTAGTGAAATATAATAAAAAAAGTTTGTAGTACGTAATTTTTAAATAGATTTACATATAATTATAATTTTTTAATTGTTTCTTTTTCTTTTAGGAAAAAAAATTAAATAAAACAGAAAGATTAAGATTTCGAGAGGAAGCAGAAATGTTGAAGGGGTTACAACACCCAAATATTGTTAGGTTTTATGATTATTGGGAAGTTACACTTACACGTAGAAAATATATTGTGTTGGTTACTGAACTTATGACTTCAGGAACATTGAAAACGTACGTTTTTAAATTCATAAAAAGTTTTTAGGAATTCGTATCATTATAATTATAATTCTAAATCATTATGTAATTTTATATAGGTACCTAAGGCGATTTAAAAAAATTAATCCAAAAGTAGTAAAATCTTGGTGTCGACAAATTTTGAAAGGCCTTAGTTTCTTGCATTCGAGATCGCCACCAATTATTCATCGTGATTTAAAATGTGACAATATTTTTATAACTGGTACTACAGGAAGTGTAAAAATTGGCGACTTGGGACTTGCTACTCTTAAAAATCGAAGTTTTGCAAAAAGTGTTATTGGAACTCCTGAATTTATGGCACCAGAAATGTACGAAGAACATTACGATGAATCTGTTGACGTTTATGCGTTCGGAATGTGTATGCTTGAAATGGCTACTAGTGAATATCCATATTCAGAATGTACTGGACCGGCTCAAATATATAAACGTGTAGTATCGGTAAATCACTGTTAATTTTAATTAATAATATAAAAATAATTATATTGAGTGTAATATTTTTTAAATTTTATGTATTCAAATTTTATTCATTCATTTATTTATTTATTTTGTATTCTTTATGTGGTATTTATTTTTATTCAACATATATAATAATTAACATAATAATTAATTAATAACATTAATATATTAAATAATAATTGTATTATACACAGGGTGTAAAGCCGCAGAGTTATGATAAAGTGGAAAATCCAGAAGTACGTGAAATTATAGAAATGTGTATTCGTCTAAAGAAAGAAGAACGACCCTTAGTTAAAGATCTTTTAAATCACGAATTTTTTGCGGACGATGTTGGATTAAAATTAGAAATGGTTTCGAGAGATTCGGCCGTAGCGGATGCTGAATTATCGCGCGTAGAATTCCGACTCAGAGTGTTGGATCCTAAGAAACGTACTAACAAACATAAAGAAAATGAGGCGATACAGTTTGACTTTGACATTCAAACTGACAACGCAGAAGAAGTAGCCTCGGAAATGGCTAAATCTAGCCTTATACTCGAAGAAGATGTTAAGGCTGTGGCAAAAATGTTAAAATCGCAAATCAGTACTTTGTTGCGAGAAAGAGAAGAACGTAAAGCCAAAGAAGAAAAGGAACGTTTAGATCGAGAAGCAGATAGTGCTAATACAACTACTGAAAATTTGCTGCAACAACAATTATTACTTCAACAAATGCAATTGCAACAACAGCAACAACAACAGATGCAATCAAACATGGGTATTCAAATCCAGGGTCAAGTACAAATGCAATTGCAACAGACTCAAATACCTTTGCAGCAACAGCAGCAACAGATACAAACTGCTGCGCAACAACCTCCGCAGCACAATTTACAACCACAGCAAGTTCAGTTGGTTCAACAACAACCATTAATGCAACAACAAACCTCTGTTGTTCAACCACAGCAAGCACAGCAAATGCAACAAGTACCTCAAGTTTCACAGCAGCAAGTACAATACCAACAACAGCAATATCAACAGCAGTTACAACAACAATATCAACAGCAGCAGCAGCAACAACAGCAACAGCAGTCACAACAATTTCCTTCGCATGTTTCACAAAATTTAACTGCTACTTCACAATGTTCTACCCCTCAGACTGTACAAACTCAATCACAGTTTTCTCAAGTACCTCAACAAATACAGCAACAGCAACATTTACATCAACAACAGCAATATATACAATTGAATGTGCCGCAACAAATGGGCCATCAAATACAACAGCAAATGCCGCCACAGATACAAATTTTACCGCAACCACAACACATGCATCAGCAAATACCCCAACCTCAGCAAGTGCAGTATTCTCAGCCGCAAATACAGCATGTTCAGCAAGTACATCCGCATTCAGTGAATTCTCCACCAGTTCAAAATCAACAATACTATCAACAAAGTGCAACAGGAACCTCAGGATACAGTACGCAATCTATATATCAACAAAATATATCTCAACAAATGTATCATTCATATGCTGGCTCAAATTCTTCTGGCCATGTCGAAATTTTACCATCCAACCAATCTACTGCCCAAATATATTCTCATCCGAGCATCCCTCAGAATACAGCACCTCCAACTTCACAACCTTACATACAACCACAACCAGGGCAAGCATCTGTACCATCCGGTCTAAATATTCAGAGCACATCATCAGCAACTCACATACAAAATACAATAACTTCGACGATTCCAATGCAAAATGCATCATCGATTATTTCAAATGGTGGACACCAACCTCAACATCAACAAAATGTTTTAGTTCAGATGCAATATTCGCAAAATTCTAATATCCCTACTACTATACCTATATCATCTGGTATTTCTGTGCAATCAACAACAACATCTCAACATCAACAGTCTTTTATTTCAAATACAGAGCAATGTTCTAACACAGATAGATCATCCTTATCTAAACAAGATACAATGGATTCTGTGCAATCTTTACCACCAGACATACCGTCTAATATTCAGGATCAAGGGAACGTTTCTATTATGTCTGGTAGCGCTACATCCCAAGCAACAGTGCCAAATGAAGGGTAAATATATAAAATTTCAATCATTTCTTAAATAAACATTATTTAAAAAACCAAGTATTTTTACATGTAGAATGAGTCAAGAAAATGCCGAAAATGTCGCTTCGTCTGAAAGGTCTAAAGTAAAAAGATCTGGTACAAAACGTAAGAAGCCTGGTATAAAATTAACAGTTTTGTCTGTAAGCAGTAACGAGGGACAATCAATGACTGTTGAGTGTCAGCTAGATACCAGTAAACAAAAAACTGTAACATTTAAATTTGATAGGGATGATATGGTACCTACTGACATTGCTAACAATCTGGTAAATAAATAATAAAATTTTATATGTTATCCCTTCCGTTACCGTGAACGAGATATGTTGTTGCAACTACATCGGTTATACAATATCACTAACGAATTGTAGAAGCAGTGGTAGGAGAGAGATACCTCGTTCACGATAACGAAAGAGTTAATACTTTTATTTTTAAAATTCATATTATTACTTTATTTCTACTTTTTTTCAGGTTGCTGAAAACTTATTACCACAATCTCAATGCGAAACATTCGTTGAACTGATAGAAGATATTGTTAAACAATTGCGTTTAGACCCTACACGGTCTTTACCTCTAGTAGCACATGGTCCACCAGATCAATCTGCCGGTGGTAGTCCAGTTACGAGTCGTCGACCTAGAGATCGTGACCACAGTCTTGATACAGCTAAGGTAACGGTTTTCTTTTCGTTTTGTCAATTTATTTCATAGATGTGAATTATGAGTGTAATGAAACTATTGCAAATCTGGAAGGGAAATTCGTTTTCTTTTTTTTTTTCTTTTTTCTGTTTTCTTTTTTTTTTTAATCAGAGAAATAAACAAAAATAAATTTTGAAATAGATGTTTTAACAAAGGATATTGTCACTAGTATTATAATTATCATTTAAGAACCTGATACACAAAAGTCCATAATGCATATCATAGGACTGTTTTTGCTTGTTATAAGTTCTTTCCTTGGAATAGTACAACCATATTTCTTATATATTTCATATTAAAATAATGTTATGGTTACGCTCGAGGTATATATCTTGTAATCCTATTAAAAAAATGGAAAGGTGTACCTCTAAGGTATAATTGGTGTGTATGGTTTTGGACGCAGCAGGTGAGACATGGCTCGCTAACTCGTCAAAGCAGCCACCGATCGTCGTACAAAGTCCATCGTAGACACCGTTCGGTGAGTTCATCGTCCCCTCTACCTTTTCCTATTTCCTACATTTCATCGTATAATCGTGGACGTTTGTGCATCCTTTTGATTCATGATACATTGTGTTCGGACATTTGTGTATCTTTTAAAGTAATATTATATAACGACATTTCCTGTATATTATTCAATTTTTCCCATAGGCAACTCGCATAACTTAATGTTTAGATTACGGTCAGGGCATGTTTTATGTTTTAATTTTTATACATTTGTTCTTTATTATATATTATATTTAATTTTTGTTTGAAAATTTTTCAGGAACATTCGCCTTTTTATAAATATTATTATTTCTATTAACAATATATCGCAAAACACAGTCAAGAGAATTTTATGTACACGAAATAATAAGTAACAGTTATACAGCTTTCTTTAAAGATGAATGAAATTGTATTTATTGAATTGTATTTATAGACTTTTTTTTATAACATGATATCACTAAGACATGCGTTTATTATTAAAAACACCTATTTGTGTTTTCCTTCTGTAATTCAGTTTGAATTGTATTTTACGATAGTTATCTGATTTGTACCACAATTTTATTTTGTTTATACGCATTGTAATCATTTTATTGGTAAAAGATAATTCTGATAACTAGATAATTATTTATTGTATGGTTCCAGAGAGACGAAACTTCAAATACTTCTACACCTACGAAATTGTTACCGATTGACCAAATTCTTTCTCATATTACGGGTTCCGCTTCAACTGAAAAACAACAAAATGTGCAAACACCTGACAGCCAGATGGGTCCTGAAAATACATCAGCTGAAGCTTCCAGAAGATCATCGACTTCTACACAAAATACAGATACATTAACACCGACTAATTTACCAAGCGATCCAACTGATCCAACTCAGGAAACTATCGTTTCTGTAACAACAGCAGACACAGTTCTAGACGTACACAACATACTTAAAGATGAAATCGCTAAATCAACAAATCAAAGTCAAACAAACGATTCGGTCGTAAATCAAACAAACGAAAAATCTAAAGAATCCATGGTTCAGGACGAAACAGAGCAAGAAAAGGAAATAAATAAAGAACCACAACCTGACGCTTTAGTTACAGAAATGGCAACATTAACTGCACCACCTCCAGCGCGAAAAATTTCTCGTTTCTTAGTTAGTCCTGTAGTCGAGCAAAAAGTTGTTACAAGCGAAGAGGAGGAATCTACTACTACTGTAGAAAGTGTAGATAAATCTAATATATTAACAACACAATCTAGTTTATTATTGCAACCAAATACGATTGATGAAGGACAAGCAAAACACGATGATCTAGAAGTAAATGTTTTGGAGACACAAGCTACAATTCCTGAGAAATCTAATATTGAAACCGTTACGCAAAGTCCTCAGTGTGTCGTAGAACAAATGGACAATATTCAAACAATTCAACAACCGGTACAGCAATCGATCAATCCTCAAACTACTGTACAAGGGCAACAAGCGATACTACCCATGTCACAAATGCAGCAGAATGTTAATGCTACGCAATCTAGTCAACATAACGTAATTGTTCAAGGATCGGCAATAACGCAGCAATCACCTCAACAAATACAAGTTGCACCTCAAAGTGTAACTCTGTCACAGAAAGATCTACAGACTCAAGTTTCTTCGAGTGGAATCAATTTACTAGGGCAGTATCAAAATCAATCTATACCGTGCAATGTTCTGTTACAACAACAACAAATTACCGTACAGCAAAATTTAACGCAAATGCACATTCAGTCTGAACATCAGGGACAAATGCAAGTTCAACGACCGTTGCAACAATTTCAACCTCAGCAAATACCGCAACAACAACAACAACAACAACAACAACAACAACAGTATGTAATACTTTCTGGGCCTATTTCCCAATTGCAACCAACTGCAATCATAGATGAAAGAAACCGCAGAATTTCTAATATTTCTACTACATCGAACATGTCCACGGATTCACAAATTTCAGAAATTGCTAGTGTAACAGATGACAAAAAACAATCACTAATTGTGCCCAATTTATCGATGCCTCAAATGCAGTCTGTACAATATATTTCTCAAACAGATGGATCAAACATCACTCCTTTGTCGCAAACTGTTTTAGAACCAATCCAACAGCTTCAAACGGCTCCTCAAACTAATGTCCCCAGTGTATCTGCACCTGTACACCAAGTTGTCAGTGCAGAAGTTACTCCTAAAGTTATGCTTAAAACGAAAGAAGTTTCATCAACGCTTCCAGATTTAGCACAAAATTTAGCAAATATACTTTCAAACCCAAAATCAAAATCTGTGACTCCACATTGTTTAACTACCCACGAGCCAAGCCAAACTGTAAATATTTCCGGAACCACAATACTCGAATATAAACCCACTCTTCAATCTGAGCAGTATTTCCAACCTATTCAACCTGAAGCAAGTCAAATACAAATACAGCCACAATTACCACATAATTATCAAGCGAACATGACACAACAAGTAATTCCACAAACGTTTCAAATCAGTCAGCAGTCTCATCAAGCTCAGGTACCTTTGCAACAAACAATGCAACTAAATACAACTCATCAGATCGATTCTCAGTTACAAATGGCACAACAAAACTTCCAAGGAGTAGCGGTTCACGCATTAACTTCACAGAGTAAATGGATTGCTCCTATGAATCAAATAATACAGCAAACTGCGCCGATAAGACATGTTCAACAGACCCAGCCACAATTGCATCAAACTATCTCACAATACGTTGTACAAGATACTCAAAATTTAGAAGGTTCTACTCCTTCTGATCAGTCTCAGTTTCATTTAAAGCTCCCTGATCAACAACTCTCAGGAAAAATATTCGAAACGGAAGCTCAAGAAGGAATCAGTTCAACTGGGTATGTATAATATTGTATAGTACTGGCAAAATATATGTATGTTTCTAAAATTTATTTCATTTACAGGCGTACAAGTTCCGAGTGTCCATTGTTATCAGAGAATGAAAATTCTAGCCATGATATAACTCCTGAACATACGATCGTTGAGTCAGTTGATTCAGCATTATTTACACAAAACCAAATATTGCAACAACAGCAACAGCAGCAACAACAACAACAACATCGAAAACTTAGTCAACAGAATTCCTTAGATAAAGTCACAGATACGAGCACTGGCACTAGTGTTCCAGGTGGAACAGGTCCACAAACAATAGCAGATCTCCATCAGAAGCTTGTTCAATTAACAAGTCAACCATCTGAAGCACTTAATGTAGGCACGCCACCAATAAGTTACCCAGCTACCCCTCATAATCACCAAATGATAGGTGGATATGATGCCTATATGCATTCTTTGCAACAGAAACTTGTTAATATTGGCATGCCAATTTCCACTACACACGGTACAGTAAGTAATTTAAAAAATATGAAAAATTAAAATATATTTATTTGCGTTTCGTATTAATAATGTAACAAATACACAATAGGGACCTCTATCACCTCAGACTACGTTACAGTCTACTGCAACCTTGAGTGATTCAAGTGTTACAACAAGCGTAGAAAATTCTGTTTTAGTTCAGGAAAACTCGATTCATCAACTTGCGCTTTCTCAAACTGTAAGTTATATTAACAAAGTCATAATTAGAAGTATTTAAAAAAATTCAAATTGACAGTATAAAAATTATGAAATTGTTTGTGTCAGCACGTGGATTGCTCTCTCGATAGTCCAACACCTGGAGGAGCTCCTATAGGATCTGAAACTATGAGTCCCAGCAAAGAAAGTATAAAAGTTCGAACACAAAGACCAGGATCTCGTCTTCAGGAATTAGAACAGGAATTAGCAAAAATTCATCATAGAGGGTCGATTCTATCAACAGTTTCGCCACAACCTTTAACACCGCCTGTATCCGTCGTTGGTTCTGTCCAGGTGCAACCCTCACAACCTACTCAAAGTTTATTGACTACCGTTCCACCTGTAACTGCTGTGCCTGTCGCTACTGTTACTCCCAGTGTCATTACATCACGCTCAGATACGAATACTCCAGTGCAAATAGAATCTCAAGAAAATGCTTCTGAGGTATGTATAAATTATATTCAAGTAGTCAATTTCAGTACATGTAAAGAGCATTTTTGAAAAATAATTGACTAATTTTAATAGAAGGTTAGTACAACACAACCTGTTAGAAAAATATCAAGATTCGTGGTTTCCAAGGTCGCAGGTCCTCCTAGTAATGCTGCTATATCAATTCAACAACATGCCGATATACCAAAAAGCCAAATAGAAGATTCAAAGGTTTATCATGTAGATGATACACAGGGTAAGTAATTCTAAATTCAATTTTCAAGAAAGCAAATTAAAAATGTTTTAGAAACAAATGTTCATGAATTACAGGTACACCAGTGCAAATAATTCATAGTCGTGAAGGTTCTTTACCACCTACGCAAATCACTCAATCTATTAATGCTTCTGTCATAGAAGTAAGTACATATCTTTTAGCGAGTATGTGCTTAATTAATTTATTCATTAACTTAAACATTAATATGTTATTTACAGCAATCAGAAAAGGACGAGAGATTTTGGACATTGACACCAAGTGAAGAATATCAGTTGCTTATAAAAAAGTAAGTTTATATTTATATAAAATATCATATTACGATTTGATAGTAATAATTGAAAACTAATTTTAATGCATATAGACAAACCATGGAATTGGAAACACTGCAGAGAAGACACAGAGAAGAATTGGAACGATTTCAACAGCATCAATTACAGCTATTAATTCAACAACAACAGCAAGCAAGTGCGCTTCATCACCATCAACATCATCCAGTGCTTTATCATACCGTTACGACTAGTGTGACAGGTTAGTGATCAACTTTTAAAACTTTAAACTATTACATGATTATTTCAATTATTATATTTCATCGTCTATTTTTTTAATGATGTGAACTTTTTCCTAACAGGACAGACCAGACTTCCAGGTACAGAAGATTATTTAATGTTTAATACAACACCCCAAACTCCTTTGCAAAAAGCTCCAAGTAATTATCCAGATACGGATGAAACATTACGATTAGCTATGCAGAAATTGAAGCAAACTCCTTTGCAACTACAATCACAACAGGCAGCAACTGGAATACCACATGCTTATGTTATTCCAATTCCAGTAGTGCCTTCTGAAACTATGCAAAATGTGTCTAATCAATCTGCTAGTTATTCGAGTGAAATCACAGAATCTCTTGAACCATTACATAATCCGGCAATTATAAATCCTGCGCAGTATCAGTTCACACCTATTTTACCAGACGGAACAAATATTGCAGTATCTTCTGGATCATTAGTCACACCTATACCGATATCAAGTTCAACGGGAAGTGGAGGTTACATTCAGTATCACGATAATCAAACGTTATCAAATTTTCAAGCATTCAGCTGTACACCACATGGTGGTTTCTTTTTACCAGCTGGCTATCGACTAATATACGCTCCACCTGGTGGAACGTCACAGTCTCAACCAGCTACGCCAGCTACCCCACATATAGGAAATTCTCATGATGGTACACCGCCGGCAGAACCTTTGCATACCACAAATGTCGACAATTCAACAGCTTCTTCTTCCCATATCGATCAATAACGTAATCTTCAACGAGTTATGATCTATATTTTTCGATTTATTCATTTTTCTAACACATTCTTTATTTAAACGTTGCCCTTTATCCACTAGTATGAGAATCATGCATTATTACGATTGTTATTCTATTATAGTTTTGCTAATTGCGCTACCCTCATCCTCGTGGGTATGTATGCGGGGAGACGCGAATGAAAGTATTTAGGATGTATTCGATATTGTAACATCCGTGCGTAATTGCTGAAATATTCTCGTTATCTATGCGTGAGCATGATATTATCTGATATGTGCCTCGCAGGAAAATTAAAACCTCGATTCGTACATGGAGAATATTTTGAATTAAGCTTCTGGATAAAAAACGATAGGAAAGAAAAAGAAATAAAATATTGAAATTGAGGATAGGGGCCTTTACATGTACTGTGCTTATACCTTATTGTAGTAAATATCCTTCTTTAGGAAAATGCTTATTAAAAGACCTTTTCTGCTCTCAATTTATTGATAGCACAGTCCACATTAGTACAGGCCTCAGCTAGTCTTACAAATGATGGCATACAGCCATTCTACTCGATATATATGTATAACTGTTAATGTATACTGAATGCTTTGGAGAAAGAATGTATGTTTACGTGTGCATGTATGTGATTGCAGGAGTCAGACAGAAAAGAAATATGATTAATATAGTCACTGTTATGCTTTAATGTATTTCTAGCGATTTTACCTACTTCAATTAAAAAAAAGAAAAAAAGTCATGTGTTACTAGTTAGCGGTCTTATGTATCTTATCTAATATTATATCAGCTATTATCTTTTTTAGACTCAATTGTGAATATTTTTATCATAGCGTATTTAATTTATCGAAGTTTATTTCGCTTGAATTGGCATTTCATTTACAGTACGTTCTGAAATATGTTTGCACAATCCATTCCTTCGAATATTTTAGGAATTTTTGTTATTTAACACTTTAATTTCTGATAAAAATAATAGTAATCATCATAAATATTGAGAATCTAATTTAAAGAAAAAAAGAAACTCGATAGAGACACAAGTATGAAATACATACATGTTTTAACGATATCAAAAATAAAATAATTTAAAGCTTACGTTATCTCGAGAAATATATTTTAAATTTTCATCTGTGCTATCACATATTGCATTTTGCAATATAGTTAAGAATAGCTTATTTGTATAATTACAAATATTACTATTGTTCATTGGTGATCATAATGTTATATTTATTTCGTTCAAGTAATTGCAGTTCAGGTCGCTTTTAATGTTGCGATTTACTACTGCTTTCAGCATGAATTTATTATTGTCAGTATTAGAATTTCGAAAACTATTTTAGAATTTTGAATATTGAAGTTTCTTCTTCTAATCTTCAAGTTATTAGTACTCGATCATGATATACATATATTGAATTCCACTCGATTGTTTCATATATACATACGATTTATTTTTAAGTTTTGCATATCACAATTCTGTTATTTCTTTTTTCAGTTTATCGGGGAAAAATATGATTATATCTTTGAATCCAATTAATCCACCTGATAATAAATTCATGTGGCTGTTGAACGAAACATTATATTGCAGTAATTGTACGTATTTCTTATGGAAATACATTGCAATTATTCTTATATAGTTATTTTAAATAAATTTATTAGATAATACTCAAAGAAAATGCATAACATATAATACTTAATGTACATATTATTCATTTACTGTTAGGTGGATTGGCTTTCGATAAAGATGCAGTTTCTATGTTTGTTAATAAAAGTTGAGTATATGAAATTTCGAAAATAAACTATATTTAAATGTAATAATTCACAGTGATACAGTGCTAAAAATCGACTTTTAATTTTTTAAACTTATTCATTGAATGTGATGAAATGAATGAAATAAGACAATAGAGATAAATATTATTTCATTAATACAGCATTGCAACGGACTACTTCCTTCCAAGTACATTATACATAATGTGATTTTAACTATACTTAGTATTATGGTAATGATAATAATATAATTGGAGTAAATTTTTGTAAAACATTTTTGTTGTTTTACCAAAGAATACCAAACAATACTGTTACATACAAGAAAAAAAAAAATCACAACATGAATTTATCATAATTCTTTTCTACTAATATGGCATCTAACTTGATGGAATTGAACTTAGTACATTCAGACGTAGATATTATAATATATTTTTCAGAAAATATGACAAAAAACAAGTAAATCATATTTTGCTACATTTAAAAATTTCACACATAAAATCTTAGTGCATATTGTTGGATCAGAATTTAATGAACTAATTTATTAAAATTATTTAATTTATTTAACAGATTCATATAATTGCAAGTATATATATAGACAATTTGTTGATTTATATACATATATATATAATATATATAGATTATATATATAGTATATATATAGTATATACTGTATAAGTATACTATTTTAAGCACATAAATATATCATATAAAGTTTCAAAAATGCAAATGTGAAAAACAGATGTTTTTTGTGTTGAATAATGAAACATTTTGCTTTATCAAATTCTGAATCTAAAAAAGCAAAATCTTGACTTGAATAACAGACTTAATTAAATCTATATAAAAATTATAAATTACCTTTAAAATTTCACTGTACAAAAATTTGAAACTCACTGATTAGAGCATACGGAAAATGCTTTTTAAAAAATTGTATGTAACTATTATAAAAAGTTATAATTACGTTTTAAAATATCTTGTACTAATAATGCTTGTAATAAAAATGGAAAATATGAAAATATTTAGACAAAAATAATCGAAGAGCTTTCCTGTGCTAACTAGTATATAAGTTCATATATGCTTTAAAACTTATGTAAGCTATGTTATATAAAATTCTACAAAAAATTTTGTAAAGACTGATTAGATATGCATCAGCATTGAACAAATTGCAAAAAATAACAAAATCAATTTGAATCTTTCACTTATATGGAGAAAAGTTGTAACTAATAGAGATATATAGAAATTATGTTGATACGAACTTTGTGACATCAGATCATCAATACATAGAAATAATTTAAATTCTGCTCAGAAAAATATTATCTTCCATTCCTTACTTGCAAAATAATTACATCAAGATATAGTTTATAATGTTAATTAATAGATTGTATATTTATGAAATTTATGAATATATTATGTAGACAACAATATATAAATTTTTTAATTAGCATTGCATGTAATATATATCTTTAAATAACATTTTTCTATATTATAATATTAGTTTTAAACATGTGAAATTATAAATTCATTAAAATTCTTTTATATAAATTTTCTGTTTTGAAATCATCTATTGCAAAAGACTGTAAAGAAAATTAAAAAATGGTATATCTTTAACAAATAATTGTTCCAATATATATCTACATATCTTTGTCATTTTTACTTATATTTTATTTTAACAATTATCTTACAATAATAGTATAATAAATATAAAAATAGTTTATGATTATAAATATATTAGTTTATGTTTATATTAGCTATACAGCTTAATGCCAAAATTATACAAATTATTTTCATTGTGTAAAAATTTTCATTATGAGAAATACACTTAATTTCTGTTAGTTTTAAAGCAATTCTCATATGAAATTTATAATAACAATATTGAATGTATTAAAAACATGTCACTTGAGGCATTTCTCTTTCTTAATTCTCTATGTATTGAATAGCCTGCAATTCAAATAAAATAAGTTACTAACAACGAATCATGCAAAATCAATTAAAATAAGACAATTCACTATATGCTACAAAATTATTCATTATATAAAATAAACATGTCTATATACAATATTTTGGTCAAAATAATATTCATGTACAAAAATCATTTTATTAAAAGTTAAATCAAATTAACTTAAGTTTAATATAAAATTAATATATAAAAGTATCAATTGCTATAAATAAACTATGGATGTTTATGGACATAACAAACTGTTTTATCTTTTAAATATTACAAAGAAACATTTTACATGAAACATTTTATATATTTTTGCATATGTATTTACATATAAATTACTATATTAAAAAACATTTATATATATATAAACAACATCCATAATTATAATTATGAATAACTATCAACTCCGACGGTTTTTATTAAAATATATCTATTAATTATTCATAACTTGCAGCAACAAGGTTAAAGACATGGTATACTTACTACTAATGGAATTTTGAAATCGTTTATTATGGCATTGTTTCCACAGAAATTCGATGACGTGCATAAGCACCCATACAGGCAAAAAATCCAATAATTCCAATGATCAATCCGAGGATCAATGCCAGAGTATCTCCAAAATCGAAGCCGGACGATGCCATTGCCGAGTCAAACATCGCAAAAATAGCAAGCATCAAATGAAACCACATTTTTGCAATTTACGATTAAAATAAGACTTGATTAAATTACGATATGACAAGTAACTAAATAACCTCCACGATAGTGGATCTTAACAAACACGACACTCATACGATTTAAATTCATATATTCTTTGCATTTATCAAAAAATTTCTAATTCACTAGCAAAACTATTGTTACTCTTTTTTTTTTTACTTCTTACGTCATACGCGTAAAATGTACAAACCTTTGTTTACCATATTTTCATTTGATAATCGTGGAACTATTGTTTGGCTTTTTCCTCGACATCAAGTTGTAATGCAACAATTAACATTACGACTCAAATCTAAAGTACTTTTACTCTATTTTTATATTAAATCTTCATTTCTTTAATTTCTTTAATGTGGAACTTAATTATTCAAAATATACAAGCGATATATATATATATATAAATACATACATAATAAGCAATTTAACAGAATGCGTTAGAAAAAGAAAATATACATGCGAAAATGAAAAAAATGTTACTTTTTACGTGTAACATTGAATAAACATTGTAGGAAAATATGTTTCTGTATATGTTATAAATTTCTGTAAATTTTCTCCAGATTTGCACATGTCCTATTTTAGAACACGAACATTTTTAATTCTAAGCTGTGCATGTCGAATTTTTATATCAAAAGTGTAATTTTATTTGATTTAAGATTTAATTCCACGTATCATTTTTAAACTTTTACTTATGTTTTTTTTTTTGTAGTTCTTACAAAATATTTGAAATATTTTCGCAAGAATTTTTTTTTTAAATCCTAATAATTTAGTTTCACGAAAGTATATTATAATGTGACAATTTACTACGTTACAATGTATTACGCTATATAATTTTTAATTTTTATTGTAATGTAATAGTAATTTTTAGTGCAAAAGTATACTAACGTATGCCAGAAATTTGAAAACGAAATGTGTTTCGTAAATATTCCTGACATTTAAACAAAACTTTTACAAGTATTTGTCCGAAAAATAATTGTCCAATAAAAAGATAAATTTTATTCGTAATGTTTAGGACAGCCTATTTACGAATGCAACCGAAGCAACCTACTTTAGTAAAGATAAAGATGTATCTTTGTGATGTTTAAGGTGGCGTCACTTGCTTACTGGGGATGTATAGAGAGAAATATTATATTGGCGCGTATCGACCGAGCAAAAACAATTTTCACCCCTCGTCGCTTACACATTTTGGCTATTTTGACACAGGTAGAGTAAATAAAACTACAAATATCTGGTTTGTTTTCAAAATGTGATTTTTATTATATTATCATGTTAGCATGTATCTTTTTCAAGGGGATAATCGTTGCCGTTTTGTAGCCATTTTGCTATCCGTTGATAAATGCAAGACATATTCGTACCGACTGGTGAACCGCGTACCTCTTGTCATATATAAAATGCTAATGCTTATTCTAATGTTTTGGCCGATCTTCGTCTGTAAGCGTTCTTCTCTTTTCTTTTCTTTTTTTTTTGTAAAACACAGTGCTATGTTAATGAATACATATATTTAACAAGTGCATAATGCACGATGTAGAATCTCCGAATATTGTGTAAATCAATTTAAAGGCAAATAGATATGAAAGGCACATTTGCGTTTATATAGTCTTTTTACTTTATTGGTATTCCATAATTTTGTATGTACCTTATTTCATTGTATGATTGAAAAAGATATATGTAACATTGGAATTTTTATGAATACGTCTTTCGTATATACGTATATGTAAAAGGATACAACATTATATATACATATATACATCTAAAATAATAAATAATAAAGCATATATTTTTGCAATGTAAAAGATTATATATTCATGCACTTTATAGAAAAAGGTATGTCTTGATTGTTAACAAATTGTAAATTAAATGTTTTTGGTATATTTAAGTGATATTACCATATATAATACCATATATAATAAATATATATTTGAAACCTAAGACATACATGTATAAACTATTATCAATTGTATTGTTATTTTTACTTTAATAAATAGTTAATTTATCAAATATGCAACTTGATTCAGTTATCATTATAAATTCTATATTTTATATAATCCTTTCCTGTATTTTGACATATTTTAATAATCATGGAGACTTATCATTCCATGCCAAATAAAGATCAATTCAGAAATAATAAAATAATATATGAATAAGTTGTTTTCTTTTTAAGATACTTGATATTGCAATGTATATAATAAATGTAAATGATACATATTTTTTTAAGCATTACTTGGACACCAAGATTTAGAACGATACCTGTTATGGAATTGTCAAATGAAATATTGGACACAATAGATGTTAATGATGATAAAGATGTGATGGAAGTAATAAAACATGCGATCACAGAAGAAAACATTATAGTAGAATCAGAAACTACGGAAGAAACAGAAATAGAAGAAATTATAGAAATAATAGAAGAAATAGAAGAGGACAAAGAAGAGTCATCACAAGGTGATATTATTTTTACTGAAAATAAAAATGAAAAGGTTAAATCAGAAATGGAGGTTTATGCTTTTGATGAAGATAGTTCTATTTTTAAAACACAGTCTAAATACGAAAAGAAAGACCGATATGATAAAAGTAGTAATAAACAAGTTATAGCGTATGATGTAGATGAAGATTGGCAAGATGAAGATATGGAGGAAGAAGAGGAATATGAACTGAGATTTGAAAATTGTAGTACATCAAATAATTCTACAGAATCTTTGCAAAGACTACCAAATGATGATAAAAAATATGTAAATAATCAAACAGTTTCTTTACCATTACAAACAAGCAGATCAGAACCTAGAGACAGTGTAGAATTTTCAGACAAAGCTGAAAAATCCAAATTGAGTTTAGAGTTCAAAAATAATGTGAATAACGACGAGAATATTGATAATAATATAAGTCATGAGATTGTAAAAAATGTTGAGAACAATTTATTATACACCGTTCTTGGTACAAAGAAGCAAAGCGCAGTGAAAACATTTCAATCAGATAAACTTTCAGATGCTCACTATATTAAGGTTTGTATTATTTCATCAATTATTTCATCATAAGTACTACTATTGTTGTATGTGTAAAAGTGATAATTCCCTTTTCAGATGGAACAGCTTGATGAAAATACTATACCAGTAGGAGGAACAATTTATTATGATGCAGATAATATAGAAACATTGTATGTTGCACAGACAGTAGATGACAATGAACAATATTATGATACTGCAGCAATGGAAAATGAGGAGCAAATATGGGAAACAACTAATGCAGATACCAATCAAAATCAAGAAAAAGAAAATTCTCAGGTATTAATTTGAAATTTGACAAAAAACTTATTTCTTTATTTCTTTATTTTTCTTTATTTTTCTTCATTTATCAAATAAATCTCCATTCATTTTAAATTTTAGGACCAAATATTTTTACATGAAGATGAAGATGGTCAATTATACTTCAAGGATGAAACTGGTATTTTACAGCCAGTGTATTTAACCGAAGATGGACATTATGCCATTGCAGAGAACAGTGATGATTATGAAAGCAGATTGTCGCAAATGAAATACGAACAGAATGCTAGACAAGTAGAAGAAGAATCTTACTCTGTGCCAGATAGTGAACTTAAATCTACTCATAATAATAAACAGGTATTTTGAATAATTTCTAAAACAATATCAAAAATATTTCGCTATTTCCATCTGTGTTGTTTTTTAGAACTCTGTAATGTCTGCTACTGATCTTGATAATGAAGATAATACTGTAACTATATCTCTGATAATATCTGAGGATGAGCATGGACAAAAAAGAACACAAGTCATCATACCAACAACGGATAATTTAAAGTGTGATATTTGTAACAAAAGCTTTAAAACTTCATTCCAATTACTTCGACATAATAGACTGAAACACGCCCGCGAAGAAGATATTACAACCAGGAATTTTCCATGTGATTTATGTCCTAAGAGGTAACTTTTAATGAGAGTCAAATCTTTTATTTTTTTATTAACTGTAATAATAATCCTTTCTATTTACATTTTAGATATCCAGATCAAAATTCCTTAGCCCGACATAGAAAGACTCATACAGGTGACCGACCATTTCAGTGCCTCGAGTGTCATAAAAACTTTCCAACATCTACCGCTCTTCGTCGTCACTTGACACTTCATAATTCACAATCTCGACCTCTTCCCTGCATTTACTGCGGTCGTCGCTTCGTAGATAAAGCTAGTCTGGTCAAACACGAGCAGTCGCATTTGGCTGGTGATCAGCGGACCCACACATGCGATGTATGTCATAAGTCATTCTTACATGCAACTGATCTGAGTCTACATAAAAAATATCATGATCCTGATAAGAAATTTGACTGTGAGGTTTGTGGTCGAGAGTTCAACAGATTGAACAATTTGCAGAGACATATGATGGTACATCAACAAGTACGTATGATCAATACGATCTTAGTGTTTAAATTGTTCGGGTCTCGTAAGAAAAAGAAATGTTTCTATATCTTTTTGCCATTTCTCTCATATTTTCTGCAACTTGTACGTACTACGTAAAATTAAGAAACTTATACAATACAATAGGAATTGATGTACTTCAAATTATACAATTACAAGTATTTTTAACTCTTTTAAAGGTAATAATTCAATTATAACCTATGGAATTGTTTTTTCGTTTCAAAATTTTAGCAAGGGGCAAATGAAGAAATACTTTCTTGCGACGTATGTGGCATTACCTATAAATTCATGAGCTCATTAACAAGGCATATGGTGACAACACACATGAATCCAGAAAAATTGAGGCAACAAGCGGAAGAACAACGAAAGAAACGTGAAAATAACTATCGTCGTTACCTGGAAAATCGAAAAATGTACGAAACTCAGCATTCAGGAGGATACGGAGCAAAACGCAATTATCACAACACACGTATACTTAGTAACGATGAAGCAGCTTGATTTGCATTTTCAAGCTATCACTCGATGATCATCAGGAAAAGTACTATAGTTTTTCGAATTAAAAAGAAATATAAAGATGATAAATATTTACGTACAACATAAGGATATTTCTCTATCATTTTTTTCGCCATAGATAATTGTATAAATCTAATTTAATAAATATATGAATTGTGTAGTGTTCGAAACGTTCATGTATCTTTATAAAAATTCAGGTATGTACTTTAGAGAAGAATATGGCATACGTATGTGTGTTTGAAATAGAATATGTATATATAAATGTACTTCATTTTTATTGTACACTAGGTATTTACATTGTAGATACAATTGTTATTAGTAATGTTTTAATATATACATATTTTATTGTAATTTCCTTGTAATTATAATCGTACAATGTAGGTAAGTACAAAATATTGTAAAAGTGAAAATGAAAATTTATAAATTAAAGTTTTTCGTACAAATATCACTTCATAATGATTATTATCATTAATATTAAAAACTGAGTAAAAATAATTTTTTTAATTCAAATTTGTATGAAAATCATATTAAAAACAAGTAATGTTAATGTTCTAATATTCATATTATTTTTTATTTATTCTCCTTTCATTGTTTATAATTAAATTTAACTAAAGATTCTAATGTAGAAACGTGTTTGTGTGTGTGTGTGTGTGTGTATGCGCGCGCGCGCGCGCGCGCGCGTGTGTGTGTGTGTACTATATATATGTATCATATATGTATTAATGAAAATTAAATGTTATAATACAATAAGTAATTTTTTTTTAATAATATAAACCCATAAATATAAAACATCAACTGTTATCAATGTACTTTATCCCCACTACGTGTATTTTAGTCTGTCACATGATAAATACGAAGTGATTCGATAATAATGTAACACATGTTTCTTTGCGCAATACCACGTCCATCTGCAATACACAACAAATCAGTTCAGTTAAATCAGTGTTCGTAACTAAATGAATAGAAATAGTTATTGTAATTGTATTGAAATATAAATTTTATAATTTCTTTATAGTCTAGTGATAAATATTAATTGATATAAGAAGACAACAGGTAAATAAAAGTATAAAATATTCGAAGTATCGAACAATCGTTTAAAAAATCTATATTTGAAATTAATTAAAGGTTACTATTAATTTTAATTATTTAAGTAAATGAAATAAAAATTTAAATTGAGTAAATGAAGTAGAAATTTGAATAATTATTTTAACAAGTATTAAGAATATATATACATGTACTAAAAAACAATATAAAAGTTATTTTTTCTCAATCATTATTACGTAATAAAAATTTTTATCTTTGATACATGCAATAAAGAAATTTGTCATTTTTTATTTTATATAATAATGATCTATATAATACTATCTTTAATATCTTAATTTAGCAAAGTTCAAATTTTATGTGCAATATTAAAACATTAATACTTTATATATTGTAGATCTACATAGATACCAGAGAGGCAAAAAATAAGAGATAACTAATCTAATCTTTTAAATATTTCTTTATGAGCAAAGGTCATACGTAGTTTTAAGTATTATCAACATGGAAAAGAACAATGCATTCTTACAAGTACACATAGAAAGACCAGTTTATGAACAAGAAACTTTAAATGAAGATTGTCATTATGAAAAACCAAAACCACTTGGTATGTAGAGGATAAGATTTTATTATTTTTTAATATAAATGTTACTTACAATAGTGTTAATTTTGTTATAGGTTTCCAAGATGCAATATCTGACTTAAAACATAGAAATTGGAAATCATGTTTTACATCTGTAATCCCTTCGATACATTGGCTGAGAGATTATAATTGGAAAGAATGTATAATGCCTGATATAATTTCTGGTTTAACTGTAGCAATTATGCATATTCCTCAAGGCATGGCTTATGCACTTTTGGGGAATGTACCTCCAGTAGTTGGAATATATATGGCATTCTTTCCTGTCTTGGTGTATTTTCTCTTTGGCACGTCTAGGCATGTGTCCATGGGTAAAGAAAAAAATTTATTTTCATTTTAATGATATAATGTATTAGAAAATCATTAAATGTTTTATTGAAATCAAGATCATTTTTTAGTATTTTACATTTGATGTATATTCTCTTTGTAAAATACTACTTCTATTACAGAAATGTTACAAATATCTCCTTTTAATAAGAACTTATTAGACAAGCTAGAACAATGAAACATTATTGGCACTCATCAGGAACTTTTGCTGTGGTTTGCTTGATGACTGGGAAAACTGTGGCATCTTATTCGGTATCACACATTGATATTACAAATTCAAGTACTACAACTACATTGTCCAATTTGTCTGGAGAATATTATTATACACCAATGCAAGTTGCAACAGCAGTGACACTCATGGTTGGAATAATTCAGGTAACTCGAATGAATAAATTTAATTTAAAATAAATTCACTTTATAAAAAGCAATAATAATTATTTTTAGATCATAATGTATACGTTTCATCTGGGCATTATAAGCACATTGCTTAGTGATCCATTAGTAAATAGTTTTACAACTGGTGCAGCAGTCTGTGTTTTGATATCTCAAATTAAAGATTTATTTGGTTTGAAAATTCCAAAACAAAAGGGATATTTCAAATTCATTTTTGTAAGTACAGAATATTAAACATTATTTAAAAATAAATTGAAAATATATATAATTAATTGATTAATTAATTATGTATAATTAGTTGAAAATGTATGTAAATTAAATGATAAAATTATTTCAGACATTGATCAATATTTTTAAAGAAATACAAAATACAAATTTAACTGCTTTACTTATATCATCAATAACAATTGTTGGCCTTGTACTTAACAATGAATTTTTAAAGGTAATTTTTAATCGTTCGAATTTTTTTGTTATAAGATGTATAAATAATAATTGTTATTTTAGCCATGGGCAAGCAAAAAATGCAGTATTCCAATTCCAATTGAGTTGATCGCAGTTGTGAGTGGAACTTTAGTTTCAAAATATTTTTGTTTTCCTACCATGTATAATATTCAAGTTGTGGGTAATATTCCTACAGGGTATGTGTAAATTTTTGATTTGATTATTTTTCGTGAATTTAATTACAATTTTTTAATTTTTTACAGACTACCAACACCTACAGTTCCAACATTTCAACTCTTACACTTAGTAGCAACAGATAGTATTGCTATAACTATGGTTTCTTATACCATTACCATATCAATGGCTTTAATATTTGCACAAAAATTAAATTATAAAATTAATTCAAACCAGGAACTTCTTGCTATGGTAAAGAATAAACCTTTCTAATATAATTTTTAAATATATGTATGCACTATATAACTATGTATAATATATGTACATTAAATATATATGCATACTATATATATCATTATTTATAAAATCTAATTTTAGGGTTTGAGTAACGTAGCAGGATCCTTCTTTTCATGTATGCCAGTATCAGCATCTTTAAGTAGATCTCTAATTCAACAAACTGTTGGCGGTCGGACGCAAATAGCTAGTCTTGTATCATGTACAATATTGCTTATAATTCTTTTATGGATTGGTCCATTTTTCGAACCTTTACCAAGATGCGTTCTCGCATCAATTATTGTTGTAAGTATAAACATCTTGAAAATGTACGTACAATCAACAATTTCGTAATGTTCAATCCTTTTCTTTAGGTAGCTTTAAAAGGAATGTTTCAGCAAGCCAATCAACTCATAAAATTCTGGAAATTAAATAAATCTGACGCACTAATTTGGATTTTGACGTTCTTGACAGTCGTAATAGTAAACATCGATATTGGTTTGTTAGTTGGAATGATAATATCGCTTGCAATTATTTTATTACAAAGTCTTAGACCTTATATCTGTTTATTGGGATACGTACCAAATACAGATTTGTATTTGGATATGAGCAGATTCAAAGCGGTATCATACTGTTCTTCAATAACTAATAATATTTTTTACAAAAAAAGGATATGTCTATAATTATCATATTTAAATTATTTTCAGGCAATAGAAATTCCTGGAATAAAAATTGTTCATTATTGTGGAACTCTGAACTTTGCAAACACCAGTCATTTCAAAGCAGAATTGTATAGATTAGTCGGAATAAATCCAACAAAAGTTATAGAACATAAAACTGAGTTAAGAGAAAAAGGAATATACATGGATACAGAAGATTCAGAAGACAAACAAGAATTAAGATGTATAATAATGGATATGAGCGCATTAAGTTATATTGATTCTAGCGGTGTAATTGCACTAAATTCAGTAATGAGAGAATTTCAACAAATTGACGTACATTTTTATCTTGTAAATTGTAGAACTCCGATTTTTGAGACTATAAAAAAATGTGATTTATATTTATATGGTACACTTACATTTAAGATTTTTGCAACTATACAAGATGCCAAAACATATTTAGAAAAAGAACTTTATTCGAGGTAATATACGTAAATCATCATACTTACATACAAGTTACATTGTACATGACAAATATTATATATTTTAAACAGCTACAAGTTATTTATATATATAACGTTTATAAGCATATAATATTAAATCAAATTCGAATTTATTCTGCAGAATTTATCAAAACAGAAGTTTAAACTATTTTTTATTTTCATTACATTTAGTCGTATTTCGTACTTATCATATCTCAGAAAATATTTTTAATACCGATTAAATGCTTAGAACAAATGAGAATTAGTACTTATTTGTTAACAACTGTCTCTGTATATTATAATTTTGTAAATGAGTTTTTGCAAAAGCTGACAAAACATGACAATAAAATTTGTGTCCAGCTTCTTATACTTAGATACTTAGATACTTAAAGATTCAACTTTACAGAGTAGTTTATTGAATTTTAATAAATTTAGCCAAAAAGTTAAAATTACTAAATTAGAAAAAATGTCATATATTCCATAATTGAAAAAACTTATTTTTGGGAACAGATTAAAATGTATTTTTCTGATTATTGTTTCACAACTTGTAATTACATATTTCATTTATATGCATTGTACACATATGTACTCTGTGTGTGTGTGTGTGTGTGTGTGTGTGTGTGTGTGTGTGTATACAATTGCATGAATTGCGTTAAATATATATACTATATTTTTTCTATAGATGTACTTATGGTTATGTAAAACTTGTATGTCATAATCATAAAATACATGGATTATATCTAGAATAAAAAGTAATCTAATACATTTCTTTATGTAATTTATACTGTATAAGTTGAGGTATACAAGGGAAAGAACAACCAAAATTATAGATTAATTGAGCAATCACAGATTATTTATTTACAGTGACCACTCTATATACAAAGTAACAGTTTTTGGTTACAATAGGTAACTCACTGTTACTATTAGATTTTTGTAAACGTACTACCCTTTTTATAATCACAAAACTGGTAGTAAATTACTATAATTTGTAGCACATTGTTATATTTAATTTGGAGGCAGTGATGACCTGCACTGATATCTGTATTACAGAATAAATATTCAAAACTTATGGCAAAACATTGTTCGACAATGTACTGTGAAGAAATAATGTAATTTATCTATGTTTTTTTTCCTTCAACTATAATTGATTCAATTAAAAATATTTTTCATGCCTGATAATTAAGCTAATCCATACTTCTTCTTGAGGGATTCTGGCATTTCTGGTGGTGGTGGGCGAGGCATACGAAGCCATACTTTAACTGCGTCATAAATGAACCATTGCGCTGCTGTTAATGTACCAATCATAATAATACGTGGACCAAGACCTTTCCATACTCCAGCGAAGCCCATCTTTTTCAAAACATCAACAGCCGATGCTCCTTTTTCTTGATTTAATTTTGATACAACCTATATTCAAAAAATAAATGTATTAGATTACTTTTAATGATTAAGTTATCAAGTACACCTAGAAATAAAAATGCACGCATACTTACAGAATCAGCAGGATGAGACACAACTGCACAAAATACACCAGCAATATATCCTGCAGCAAACGTAACTACCAACTGTTCACCTTTTGTGCAGTCTTGCCTTGGTTTAGGAACTACATATTTATACAGAAGTTCAACAGTACGCTCAAAGCAAGCGAATTTCATCATTGTGTATGGAATCTGTCGAAGCCACAAAGGTACAAGCCCTTTATAGAAACCGCCAAGGCCTTCTTCACTATATATCTTTGGCATAGCTTCTCTTAAAGTATTTGCAAATCCTGGTGTGGTCTGAATCTTGACCTATATTAAATATTAAGTATGCTTCATACAATATCACAATAAATGTTTAAAAAAACTTACCTATGATACATATATTGAACATGGATAAAGTAAATAAGATAAATATCAAGAGGAACAATACTGCAGAATAAAATAATTCTATTTCATTTTGGATGTAATGGCAAAACGTCGCAATAAAAACACAAAGAAATGCCAAAATAAACAGATAAAATAAGTACATCTGATATAAAGTATGAAGATAATTATAGACATAAATGCAAAAATAATTTATAATTACTTTAGAAGCTTCAAGAGGAGCTAGACCAATATCAGCGAAAAATTCTGCAGATGCTGAAGAAACTAGATACAAAGTTGTCCTATATTCATATGACACTTCTTCTCCAACAAGAGCCGAATAATATACTTTAAAGACTTCATAAAGTCCAAATTTGAACATTCCTTGGATGGAATAGCCAAAGAATGTAGGAGCCCATCCTTTAACCAAACCTCGAGTTCCATCTTCAGCCAAAGTTACCTAAATAACAAAATAATCAAGATTAATTTCTTATTTACATACAATGAAATATAGTAAGTAGCTCATTGCTGACTCTAAATCCATTGAAGACTGATTTGTATTTCGCAGGGTCCACTTGTATACGGCATTTTACTAAATCCAGAGGGGTAACCATAGTATGAGTGATACCGCATGATAGAATACCACCCAAGCCACATAGTAAGAAGTATTTATTCGATCCAAATTCACAGCTATCTAAAAATGCAAACAAAATTATTATAATCTTTTTTATATATAAATTTAAACAAATTATAAAAATTCTCAGAAATAATTTTCTGAACTTTAACTTCAGATTCACTGAACAATTTGTACTTTAATTATTAGATTATAGAATAATCTTTTTGATCGACAATAAAAAACAAAAGAAAATTATTGTTGATTAGCTGTGCGAAAGCGCATGCAGAATTCGAATTTGGCAATAATTCAAAATTGGTATGAACGATCTTGCTATCTTGATCTAATCCAATAATAAACTTTTCAAGTACAGGATAATTATGTTCTCGGTCGCGGCCACTGTACACTATTATTTTTATTTGAATGTCAAGCAAGGCTATGAGGACATACGCACGCGGAATTTTCGACAAAATGGCTGCTTCTTATGCAACTCTTCGCATCGCTATCAACAATCGAATGTAAAGAATATTTTATTAAATCACTCTTTACGTCAATGTTCTGTATTAAATAACAGCAAAATTGTGATATTCGAGAATCCCACGAATGTTATAGTTTCGCTAAAAAGTAATCTAAACTATAAAAAAAAAAAGTAAACAGAAATATGCACATGAGAACGGATAATACACCACGCGGCCAAATCTTATACATTCGTTACATAAGTTTTTTCGTGACAACTCAATGCGAAAGTTTATTCGCGATAAAACAACTGTTGACCATGAGACCGCTAAAATACTTAATTGTCAAAATTGTTGGAAGACGTATAATTCTGATATATAATTTTCGTTTTGAAAAATGATATCTAGATCACAAGACGCTAGGGACAATTACACGGAATGCTAGGAACAGTTTTAGATTATATAATGATAATATATATAATCGTCGATCGATCCAAAATCTCCCTGAAATATGATTTAATTAGCTGTTTCGATTACAAAAAAAAGAGAGAGAAAAATCGATTCTCAGTGAATGCATATCGATAATCTGTACTTGTGTCAAAGTACGATGAACGTTGTGTGTTCCTTGAAATCAGAAAATTCTCATTGTTAATTGAATTACTTAAGTTGTGCATAAAAGTTAGTCGTAATTACTAACCTCCTTCTGCAGAGGCAGCCGCGATGTGCCGATTCCTGACAAGTGTTTGTGCGAGTTCATTTTGCCCCTGACACTTAGCTGTCACGAACGGTGTTCCGAATGGATTCGTTTTGGCTATGTCCAGTATCGAGGACCACATTTTGCCTTTCTCACTTCACCTGCATACACCACCAAATAACGTTAATTTCTCTGTAACAATTGTATTGATGCGAATGACTGGCTACAAAACCTCGATAAACGTGACCCTTGCCTTTGCCTGGTAGAGAAAGAGTGGCAGAGACTTTAGTAACAGAATCCGTTTAGTAACATGATCCATCGATTATAATTCTATAGATAGGAAAATCGTGTTTCCGTACGCTGTTTGCCGAAGGCTATGCGAATTAAATTCTGTTAAAAAAATATATCTGTTAAAAAATAATTTTTTATAATTAACACACTGCACAATCATAAATACGTTTTTTTTGTAATTAAAATTCAATTTTTTCTTTTCATTCATACTCTTTCTTAATCTTTTCATTCTTTAATTAGTTAATGAGATAAGTTAATTTATACAATTATGGGTATATGTGTACAATGTGGAAAAGTTTAATTAGTTGCAAATAAATACTGGGAAATAAATAGGTAATTTGTGTAATTAATATTGATCATACAAAAATATTTATCTTTATCTTCATCTTTAATTTATCCTTTAAACGAACATATTTAATATGAGTAAACTAGCAGCTGCAAAAGAAATATATTAACAGAGTTGAAATTATTTTTCAACAAAGATTAAAAACAATTAGCAAGAAATTAATAACATAATTATGTTTTCTAGAGAGCATCTTAAACAAATGTTACAATCACAACGTTTAAATCTAGAAAGAGCTTAAATACAGTTACCCAAGGCTTAATATTCAACTATCCCTCGAAAAGTCGATTCTATTTGGAATATATTCTTAATGACTGTTGCATTTTGTTTATAATTTTCGTAAACAATATTTATTACGATCAAAAATGATTTCTATCTTTATCAACGTACAAACTCTAAGATACATGACAAAGAGAACTCCAATATTTATGTTTCGTAATAAAACTGACGAGGCATATGTTGCCAATAAATTAGAAGATTTAATAGACTCGGACAAGGTAATATATTTTTACAAAGATATTTGATGGAATAAATTTTATTTCATTTTTTGTTGCTAGCCGATCGATATGGAGAATCCATTTAAGAAAGAACGAAAAGTATGTATTTTATGCAAATTAAACATTGAACCAGATTATAAAAACATACGTTTATTATCTCAATTTCAAAGCCGTCATACAGGTAGAATTTATGAAAAACATATAACTGGATTATGCGACTATAAACAAAACAAAGTAGTGCAAGAAATAAAAAAAGCACAACGAGCTGGTAATATTTCTTTTTATTTTAACATTACTTTACATATACTTTATGGCAATGTTTATATTATTATATTTAATGATTTTTTTAAATCTTAGGTTTAATGGGTTATATGACCAAAGACCCTAAATTTGTTGATGATCCTACGTTGTTCAATCCTAATTTTCCATTTAAGCCACATAAATATTAAGTGTAAGGTATAAAACTTATAGGCATCCTTATTCATTATTCATTTTTATTTGAAAATATGTACATATGTAATATAAAAATATAATAAAATACTGTTATAAATTATTGTAGAATATTTTTTTTTTAATATTTGCTTGTTTAATAGAATGTATCGTCATCAATAGAAAAGCGAACTGTATCAGGATTAGTGTTAAACAAAGACAAAATTTCAGACATTTTCACTGTTTGACTATTTTTTTCTTGTAAACTATTTTGATAATCTACAAGGGCACTTTGGCAACATTTTGTCCATTTTCTTATAGCAGCTTCTATACTTTCAGCTTTGTTCTTTAAGCACAAATAAACAATGATCGATATTTATAATTTTAATACAATTTGTCATTATATGCATCGTTTTACCTTTTTTTTATATAACAATTCAGTTTTCAAAGCTTCGACTGATTTTTTCTTCTGCTGTATTCTCTTTTTCAGTGACTCTAAATCAGCTTGATATAATTTTTCTGTTACTTCAATATGTTTGTTACAACTTTCTTTGTCTAAATGTAATTTTTTGAAAGAAGGTGATTGTTGAAAAAGCAATCTTTTTGCTACAGATACTTTTCTGTTTTATAATAACATTAACAAAAATTATGAATGAAACTCAATTTGTTATCAAATCTCAAAAATTTGTTATTAAATATCAAAAAAATGTAATTTCTTTTACTTACAATGGTGTTTCATGTGTATTTAATTTTGGGGTATTTGTATGATTTTTTTTATTATCATTTTGCGGTGTATTAAATGGAGACCTAAAGGGTTTATTTACACCTTTACTATTTCTAAATGGCTTAGCACTCATATTTCTAAAAACAATATATATTTAATTGACATATGCAACAAATTTTATTTCATTTATATTTTATATAGCTGCAATATATCTAACAATAAGTAATTCAATAAAATATTTTATACTCAAGCAATATATTCACACATCTGTATCAATATTATACAAATATATTTTTCATAAACAATTTTAAATGTATTAAATTTTTATTAAACAACTAGAATTTCAATACTAGTATATTTTGTAGTATTTATATTTCTGTTTAATGGAAAATGCGTTTTCACGAACATTAAAGTATTTCAGATGCACTATATACAATATATTCTTAAGTGGAAATTAAAAATATTTCTATATAACAATATATAACTGTATATATTATAAATATTATGCTATTATAAATTATTATAAATTTACAAATATATGGAATATCTTCACAACTAAATAACTAGAATTATAATTTAATGTAAATTTAATAGATAATATTCGTAATATTAAGTTTCCACTCTACATTTATATAGCTCATTGTTGCACTTGATTATATTCTAACCTCTATGAGCAAGTGACGCCGACTAAACATAAGTATTTTAGTGTATAAAAAGTATTATCAAATATAGTATAATTATTACATTACATTTAGTCTTGAAAATTATTCAAGTAAGTTAACTAGTATCATTATTATGTACTGTACATTATGTTGAATTTATATAATTGTAATTATTTCAGTCATCCTATATTAATTTTAATATCTATTCTGATTTTATTATGTTGAAAATATATTTTATATTAGATTAATTTTTTATTCACAGTCGCAATGGATATTAGGCCAAATAATACTATTTATATTAATAATTTAAATGAAAAAATAAAGAAGGATGAACTAAAGAAATCCTTGTATGCAATCTTTTCTCAATTTGGTCAAATATTAGATATTGTAGCATTAAAGACGTTAAAAATGCGTGGACAAGCATTTGTTATTTTTAAGGAAATTGCTAGTGCTACAAATGCCTTGAGATCAATGCAAGGATTTCCATTTTATGACAAACCAATGGTGAGTTTTAACTATATACGAAACTAATTTCTTAAGTATTTAAGTAAGTAGTATAGTTATTAATTGCTACAAATTAATTTCATTTTAGAGGATACAATATGCAAAAACTGACAGTGATATAATTGCAAAAATGAAAGGTACATATGCAGAAAGACCTAAAAAACCAAAACGTGTTGTACCTGCAGCTGATGAAGAAGCTAAACGTGCTAAAAAACGTGCCAAAGAACAAGCTAAACATTCGCAACAGATTGGTTATCATGCTGGTGTACCACAACACCCAGGTTTAGTTAATACAGCTGTACCAGAGCAGCCACCAAATCAGATATTGTTCCTTACAAATCTACCAGATGAAACTAGTGAAATGATGTTATCTATGCTTTTCAATCAGTTCCCTGGTTTTAAAGAAGTACGTTTAGTACCAAATAGGCACGATATTGCATTTGTTGAATTTGAGAATGAGGTACAATCCGGGGCTGCAAAAGATGCTCTTCAAGGATTTAAAATCACACCCTCGCATGCAATGAAAATTTCGTTTGCAAAGAAATAAAGTATAAAATATATTTGTACGAATATATTGTTAATGAATGGAAAAATGTGTGCGTGTTATAACAGGTCTTATATATTCGTAAAAATATATGCAAGTGTATTTGAAGATTTGTTGAACAGGGATTTATAAATGTAAGTCAAAAACATGATGCATAGATTCAAAAACTATCTGTGTACAAAATTTTATGTAATGTAAGCATATAAATCAAACTTTACATTGTAAATAGCAATTAAAAAGATGTATTACATTTTTTTAACAATATTTTGTTTACACGGAGAACTATTTTTTACTTGGTATTATAATAATTTAAACGAAAGACTATAAGACCTTTTAAAATAAATTAATTTCAAAATTATTTTAGTAATTTATTTACATATATAACATCAGTTTCAATTCTTATTTTTTAATTAACTTTAATACATTGAAACAAAAAACAAAATCTTAATTTATTAATTAATACAATTAAGATCTAATTTGTTTTAAGATAAAATTTTTTTTCCTTTGAACAAATTACTTTATGAAATAAAATTTTTAACAATTCGATAATTTTTTTCTAAATTATTTTATTGATTAAGTTAATTTAATAAAATTACAGAACTATTATATCGTCTCTGTTAATAGGATGTAATTATATTCCCGCCAAATAATCGATCTTTCGTAAATATTATATTATTCTTATTGCATTATTTGTTGTTTATCGGATTAACAAAATTTTAAATGATTTTTGACTGAAAAGAAATTTCTTTTATCATGAACAGCAAGGGAAATAAAAATAATAATATTTTTGGAAAATACTCGATTTTAAGTAGCGTCATAACATTTTGGCGGGAATCAGTTGGCGTGGTGTAAAAAGAGTGGGGGTATGTTTCTTAGGGTAGCGAACGAATCAGAGTACAGTGCATCATCTCGATCAGGTCAGTCGCGTCTCGCAATTCGCGCAGTAAATTGTGAGTTGTTGCGTACGATCCGTGTACGGAGCTCTTGGGTTTGCGAAGCGACGCGCGCGCTATTGGTATTAAAAGAAGAGAAAAAATCAGGCAGTCCGCATTCTTGCTTCATATATAACAGAATATTAAACATTTTGATACAGATTGTACGCGGAAAAAGAGCGTAGCCCGGTTTTCTTACGGTACGACGCGCGCGCCGACTGAACGATTGCCTTTGTCTTCATACACACGAGATATTTGAGGTGAGTGCTTGTCAACGACTTCTTCTCCGGTAAATATCGCGCTCCCGTTCGCATTGCGTACGCGTTCTTTGCTACGGAACACCGAAAGACTGGATGATTTCATTGACGATTTTTTCGTTGATGTTTCGTACGGGGTCGACTGTTACTTACAGAGATATTTATTCATATTCGTATAAAGAGATCGGTGTGGTGTACGCTACCACGACTCTGGTGTTGCCATGATTTGTCGATCATGGCGTCCCTACAAGCCGAGTGAATTCGATCGTATGTGCATTTAATACCGAGTCCCCGTGCAGTAATATTTACTTGTTTCTCGCAAAAAATTTAGAAAATTCTCATTCCTCTGCGTGATTTTATACATTTAGTTGAGATTGCACGGAGAGGCGTGTAGCTTATAGGATGCTTAATGTTTTTGAAAATGGCGGGCGCGGATATTTCAGAAAGTACTCGTTTATTGCTGTAAACGATTCTTTTCTCTGCTCGAATTGTTGATTGTATTTGTTATAAGTTTATTGTTTTGTGAAAGGGAAAAAATTAATAACGTTTCGTTTTTATATAACCGTTTACTAAAATTATAGATTGCACGATCAATTTTGCATAATTATTTTATTCAGTTACAATTAACGGATTGGTAAACCGCCGTTTAGTGATATCCGATGTGAATGTATATTAGGCGCGTAATTTGTTGAACCTTAGTACATCAAAACGCAATTAGCATCGGTAAATTCTGTTTTATTAATTTATAGGAGAATATATATGTATATCGATGCAATTAGCAAATTGTTGTTAAAAATTTAAATTAAATAAGCTCTATAAGAAATTTCAAAAATCGATAACTATGCAAAGTTTTCTGTATTTCTGTATAAAAGTATTTATATTTTCCTATGTGTTATAGTTACGCGAGATTAAACCTTACAATATAACGAGTATTCATGCGTTTATTTATAAACAGGATATATATATTTTATAATTTGAGGACACAAGTTTTTCTTTGTAAGTTCGTTTGAATTTTTTTTTTTTCCCGTTTTGAAGATTGATGTTCCCAATTTGGAAACTTCCGTGTGGAAGTTAGTGAACAAGATTATTGCACAACCCAAATAAATACTTATTTTAAATAAATAATTCAAGATTTATATCATAACAGATAATTTTTGGTTATACAGTAATACGTAAAGAATTAAAAATGTCAGACGACAACTCGCCTGTTGTTGAAGAACAAAAGAAAAAGCGTGGTAGACCAGCAAAAACAGATAAGAATACTGTTAAAGAACCTAAGAAGAGAGGCAGACCCTCTACTGATAAAAATAATGCAATACGCACTGCGAAATCTGACAATGAAGATGATGCATCGCCTGTGCCTGTTAAAAAGGGAAGAGGGCGACCAAAGGGATCACATAAAAAAAAGGTTTGTTATTTCCATTAAAATCAAATAGGAGGGATAGTTATTATACTTACATGATTTCCTTATTATTAATTGCAGCAAGGTTCACCTAAAGGAAATCCATCGGGACGGGGTCGTGGTAGACCCAAGAAGAAAGAGGAAAAACCTGAAAGTACTGGAGAAGAGGAAGATGAACAAGAAGAGGAGGAAGAGGAGGAGGAGGATAATTGAATGTAAAAAAATAAATTCAATGTACCAGAATTATTCTTTGAAAGTTTTTAAAAAATTGATAAGAAATTTAAAACTTTTAAGTTTGCTTTTTATATCATAATCTGCAAAACGAAATAGTAAAGTGGTAACATATTACTTTAAAAAAATGGTGGAAAGAAAAAGAGAGAGAAAGAGAGAATAAACTGCTCATATTCCAAGGAAGTTGTATGAAAATATGATTTATAATCAACAACAAAAAAAAAAAAAAGGAGTGGCATAGAAACCTTGGTTGAAGATCTGTAAAGCTATCTTTGTAGTATTTACTTTATGCATTTTTATTACGATTATTATTAATATAATTATTATTATTTTTATTATTGTTACTATCATAATAATTTTATTTTAATTATCAAAACGAAATATACAAGTATTTTAATGAAGAAAATTTTAAAACTAAAAAAATTAAGATCTCAAGCTAACTTGGAATTAAAATGATGAAGACTTTGGCTAACTTTAAAGTATAAGGTACATCATGACCGTACATAAACTATATGGTGTACAATTATATCATATATGTTACCTCTTTTGCTCCTATGTATGTACATTTTAATTCTGAAAGTCAAAGACTTCATATAAATTTAATACTGTGAGAAATACTTCTTGTACAAGAAATATCCTTTTTTAATTATATTTGAACAAGTGAACATTAATGTTCTTCAAACAAGCATATGTGTGAATGTCAAATTTGTATTAAAATAAATAAACTCATAAAATGACTTATTAGTTGCTATATTATACATATAGATTTTTTCATATTCTAGCCAAAATTCCTATACTAGCGAAATCTTGTTGCTATATTACAATTCTAAAAATACATTTTAATGCATTAGAATATGGTAATGAATTAGAATACATTTTAATTTCAATTGATTATCTTAAAAATTATATTTAGAACTATTTAATTTTTAATCTTTCAATATTGTTTACTAAATGCTTAGACAAAAAAAAATTTATATTATTAAATAACGTCTATCTACAATAACTACTTAGAATGAAATTTTTAATACTTTGTTTAATATTAAATACCTAATTTTTTTAATTCTTTTTACTACTAGAATTTTTTAGTATTAAATATAAATAGAACAAAATTTTAATTAAATTTTTAAATTGACAATCGATATTTCATTTCATTAATGTATCTTCAAAGGAAAGGATATGAAAAAAAAAATACATAAATGAAATTCATTACATAGCAAAAATTGTACATTTATGAAAAATGTTATAAACAATATACAATGAATATCAATGACAAAATGAAATCTCAGTCATTTTGGTCTCTTTAACTCTCTATTATAGAATTAAGTTAAGCATTATCCATTTTATGGATATTCTTCAAAAAAGTAAAATAAATTCTATTATATTATCACATAATATCTATTTGTGATAGATTAAATTCTAATATTTAGATATATTCTGGAATATTTTCTCATATATAAAATTTATGAATTTAGATTTTATCTTTTGAATTGAAAGATATATACAAATTATTTAAACATTTAGTAAATATATAAATCTACTAAATAGTTAACTTTTTAAATCTAAGATAGTTGTAGATAATACAAAGATTTTAAAAGACTATTATAAATACTTTGTCAATGATTTCCAAAGAGTTCAGCATTTTCTTCTGTATCCATAGATTGATACCCTTGCTGTAAGACAAAGTATTCTATACTAATAATGTATATTACATATTAATCTAAAATTGTTATACATACACGTCTCTGATGATTACTGTAACATTCTTCTAATAATTCAGTTTCCCAATCATCTTCTTCTTCTTCACCAGGATCAAAATTATACATTGGCATAAGTCTATGCCTTAAACGTTCCAATTTTCTTTTCCTTGAGATAATTATTACCTTTAAAAGTATTATACATTATTAAAACATCTATGTTTTGTCAAATATTATGCAATTATGTGATTTTATTTTTATTAGTAAGAAAAGTTGCTTTTAATAGAAGAAGCTACAAACTAGTGAGATTTTAAATACAAATTACAACATTAACTGACCAATAAACTTAAACTATACTACAAAAAGGTAATAATACCTAATGTAGAAACATTTATCCAAGCATTATAATTTGCTGAATATTTTACATTTATTTTTTTTTTTTTTTTTGTTTCTGCAAATGAAAGTTAAAAGATTAAGATATAAGTATAAAAGTGATATCGCTACCCATACCACAGCTGATAATACAATAACAAAGACCACTACACCAAGTGGTACAAAAATGTATTCTATTCCATCTGGTGGGCCAAATTCATCAAAAATTTCTGTCGTTGTAGATACATATATATTGGTACTTGAAGGTTCAAAGGAAACAATTGTACTATTAGGCAATGATGTTATGGCCTTAGAAATATTCCACAATCCATTTTCTTCTGTAGAATTCACATATGCTTCAGATATTTCGCTGGATATATTAGTTGCCATAGTAGTTGTCATAGTATAATTTTTAATGCTGTCAACTAACATTCCAGATGTTGCGGAATTCGTAACACTTGTTGAGTTCATCTCATTCATTGTTGTTTAGGTAGAAAACAGTGTTTGATTCTTTACAAGAAGCATCAATTTTAAATATATTGGAAAGGAATTCCTTAACATCTATATTATTTACGCTACAGAAGTTGAAATTTTTCAAAGCATACACACTTTAACCCTATTGTCACTTGTTTTACTTTGTTGTGTCAAAAACGTAAGAACATAATATGCAAGAAGCATAACAATAAATACTGTTTATTATTACTGTATCAGTAACATTGATACATTAATGTATCATTACATGAGATATGAAATGCTCTAATTCCATGTGTGGTTTGAACGGTTATAGTAGACAGAAGTGTATCACTTTTTATCTCACGATATTCGTAATTATGAGGTATAAACCATTCGAAATAAAGATCACGTTCATCAATTTGACTTTGTAAATAAATATACAATTACACATCTTGATCAGTTTTCTGCGTTATACTATCAGTACGAAAATGAGAATTCCGTTTCATCAAGAATGTCGTCGACTTCATTTCTGTGCACCCGTTTTCAAAAAGGTTCTGTTTTTTCTTTTAAGAACGTCTCGGTCACTCGTGACAAAAATATTAAAACATATTTGAGATACGATCGTGTATTTTCGTCTTTCTTATGACTGAACCGTCGAAATGAATATTCTCCCTTTGATTCATTGTTGACTGTACAATAGACCATAGTTTTGCTCGAAGCATGATACTCATCTTTCTACGTGAAAACAAAGTTTTGCGTAATTATGTTTTCCCTTTTAAGTTCAATAGTATCGCAATGCAGCTTTCTCGCATGGATACATTACACATAACAGACATATGCCAAACTAATCCCGTTCTAAACTGAACCGTACTATCTATCGATGCCTTATCGAGATATTTTTCCACATCGATTCTAATATTTTTATTAGCAGCATCGTGATATACAAAAGAATTAAGTAATCTGAATTGTTTAATTAAACAAACTACATTTTAATATGTAAAAATATCATCATTAAAAATAATAAATAAATAAATATATATATATATATATATATAACATTGTATGTAATATTAATATTTATCATATATATATATATATTAATATTACATATGTATATCGATAATTTGAGTATATATTTGAACAATCCAAATTACTTATTCATTTTATAGATATACACGTAGTTACAATAAGTAATACTACAGTTTTTGATTTTGTAGTTAAATATTTTTTTATTTCATATTTTGAAGTTAAAAATAAATTGATAATCATATATATACAAATTCTTAATAAACAAGATTCTGCTCATATGAAATGTACAATTATTTTTATTATAAAATTTTTTTTAATAATTTTTTATAAATACTTTGTATAAACATTTTGTTACCAAAAATATAGAAACTTAATAGAATTATTTTGAATTTCACGTTATCTAGAAATGAAAAATAATAATTGCAGATCTAAAAATTCTTATTAAATATAAATAAATAAACAATCACAATCTCTTTCTATTCACAATAAAAACATCATAATTTTGATAGTAAAGCTAAACGATAAATACTATTGAAACATAAAATTTAGTTTATTATTCTTAATGACAAGATTTAGATTTCTGTGTGTGTTACGTAACTGACAAAAAAAATTTCTCCCGTTTATTGCAAATTAATTAATTTTATAAATCTTACATTCTCGTTTTTGAATGTTTCGATTGTCATTTATTACAGTGGATGAAGATAGTTCTAGTATATTCAAATAGTTCGCAAAATGATACTACAATATTTATTTAGAAAAATATATTTTTGGGAAATTACATAAAGTAGGATAATTGTGTTTTTACATATGAAATTCATAATTTCCTTCTTTATTAATTTACCAATAGTACGAATTATTTATGTAAAAATGTCAACAATATCTCTTTATATAAGTACTAGACCCTATGATAATAACAAAAGTATTCAACACTTTTTTATATGAAAAAACAGCAGATCTGCAATGAAATGTGTATTTTACAACAAACATAAAGCTACATGGGAAAAAGTGAGAATGAAAATTGTTCTACTAGCATTAAAAAATGCAAACCATCTATAATCAATATAGAAAATAAGAAGTCAAAAAACAAATTATGATACACAATAAATTTTGAAGATACAGACACTGAAAAGAAAATCAGTGTTTTACTTACTATATGCAAGTGTGATGCAAAAAAGGTTGAATTTGTATAGTTCACACATAATCATTACAATAAATAGTTTTCATTGCTTTAACAGTGTTCAAAATATATTACAACTTTTATAGTGCTTATACTATAAAGTCATTCATGTTTTTAATTCATTCCTAAATCTTAATTATATTATATTGTTCGTTGCCATATATCTGTACTCTGTTTCGTATTTTACAACTTCTTTTCATTAACTTGCTTTCAACAAGTAAGAGAACTGCACGAAACAAGAGATCAGTCATTATCAGTCAGTAAAATGATATTTTATAACTTCACATTCATTTTGCATATAATAACGTTACTACATATAAAGAAATTAAAACATTTAAATAAATTATTCGCATAAAGAAAGAAACAACAAGTGTAAATAGTTACATTATTTGTTACTTTGTACTACTAAAATTTTTGATAAATATGACAAACGTTTTAAACATTGAGCTCAATACAAAGTGATTTTTCATAATTCAGATTTACGAAAGTGTAAAAAGTTTTATTTAATTAAGTTCTCATTATCACATATTGCACTTTATTATGAACTTTTATTAAATCTCTGTAAATTTCCTTTAAAATTTTTTTGCTAATTATGACGAACTAGAAGAAAATTCTTGTGCTGTTTATTTTTATGATATTGTTTCCAGCAGTTCTTTTGTAGTACAGATCTACCGACACACAAAGATTTAGGAATCTTTTTAAGTCTCGATAAAGGTACGTAAGGTGAAATCCAACAACACGATATTATATGCTCATTGCATAATTAAAAAGCCATCACCTGCGACGGATTTGTACAATCTCCTATTGTCATTCTATACATAGCCATCTCTGTTATTCCGTGGTAATGAACAAAAGCTGCTGCAATCACTAACACGTGGAAGATTTGATGACTCTGAAACTGAATAATATTGTATAGAACTCGAATTTCAACCTTAAAGGCCGAATTTTTACATATTATTCTATGAATATCATCGGCATACATCACAGTCTATGATACTTTACAAATTTAGGTCAAATCTTCGAGTTTAAGAGTTTGAGCATTAAGAATTTAAGCTTTTATAACTCAAAATTCGAATTCAGAAAACACTAAGGCTTGAACCGCGACTCTAGCTCGAGGTTTAGGATTTATTTTTATTAATACAGAAATTCATCAATTACACTTAAAAATATAAAAATAAATATTTACCCAAATATCGAACTTGCCAGGAAAAAATCGTTCAGGTACTCTTAATGCATAAAACAATGCACCTAAGATGTACAAACATCCCATTAATATTAACCATCCAAGAGATGCTTGACTAATTGCTTTAAACCAACCCTCTGCAATGGCATAATGTACTGCTGGTATTACCTAAAAAAAATGTAACATTTTGATTACGATGTATTATCTAATATAATTTATCGTTTCATCAACAAGTTCATAAATTCTTTGACGTAAAAATATAATATAGTATATGCTACTCACCCCACTAAGACCAAATCCCATAAAAACGCCTGCCCTTAATGGTCTGTAACTTGGTTCACCAAATCGTTCCCATAATGATACGACAATACTTGTTACACCAAGTATTACAACCACTGACAAATAAATAAGCCTAGGTTGATAATCACAGTAAAAACCATAGTAAAGCCATGGTACAAAACTACCCATAATTAGCATAGCTATTCCACAGTAATCTAATTTTGAAAACAACTTTCCGACACATTCGCTGTGGCAGTGTACAGTGTGAAAGGCAAATGACATTCCTAGACATATAATAGCACCAGCAAAGAAGGTACCAAATACCAATTTTTCTTCCAATTGTATTTCTATAGGAGGTTGTGTTATGAAGAATATAGCTATGCCAATAAATGCAACGCATCCTGTCAAAAAAATAAAACATATTAATCTCTTCAAAAAATGAAAAGGCAGTTCTTTAAAAATAAGCATTAAATCATACCAAGCAAATGAGTCCAAATATTTCCAGTTTCTGTATGAATTCGAAAAATACTTTTAAAACAGGCGTAAAAAGATGGTAAAGGTGGTCTGTGGCCAGCATGTAAGAAATCATTATCTTGTAACCACTTTGGAAGATTCCTGAAATGACACTGCTTCCACGATGCTTCCCAAACCTTAGAAAGGTAGTTAATATTTTAAATAGCAAACAATTAATAATCTGTAATATAAAAATATACTTATGTATCTTATATGTACCTTGCGGACAAATTCTTCTGCTTGCTCTGCAGCATTATGTGCTAACGCACCAAGATCAATTTCATCACTTAACACACCAGCTTTTAATACTTCTGTCATCTGCAAAACGTATGTTAAACTTTATAATTTGATTATCTTTTTAATTAACATATAATATAGGAAAACTAATGTTAATAGTAAGGATTGTAATTACACACCTCACAATCCAAAAGATGATCATCCTCAGGAGTTGAAGGTAACGGACAACCAACTCCATCCTCTTCTTCTGCCAAACAGCTTGCATCATCATCCTCTAATAATTCTTTAACTTCATGTAAGCCTGGTACTTCACTGTTTAAAAACACGCGTTCACTCCATGGAATTCTATGCCTAATCTCTGATTCTGGTATTACATTATCATCACTCCTTTTATCTTCCACAATGACATCCTCATATTGTGACATTTTGTGGGATTTCAATTATTAATTTCTAAAAGACACAAAGTTACCAAGAAAACAGATATTGTAATTTATTGATAAATTATAAATTTTCTAATAGTAAATATTTTCTAATAGTAAGTATATTTTTTTTGAAATTACTTCAATTTAATTGTAAGACGCAGTGTAATGAACAAATAAAATGTAGTATGATAATGAAATTTTTAGAGTAACAGATTCATTGAAATAAGAATCAACTAATTTGCTCAGCTTTGCACGATCAATTGATCATAGTTCAACTTTTAAAAACTAATGCTTTGAAAGGTCATGACTTTTTATCTAAGCAAATTACATAAATATACATTGACTATTGCGAAATGATAATTTAGTTAACACGTATAATTCTCTCGAATAGAAATTAGAATGAAAGTTATATCGAAATGTCGTTGATCATTGTACGTACGATCATTATATAATTAAAAAAAAAAAGATTGTTTATCGCGTATTTGAAAATTCATAGTAAACGAAAAATCGAACCAGAAGGATGAATTTTGCGAGTACAAAGTCCAGTTTATCGGAAACAAGTCATTATTATATTTAATACGTACCAGTTATATGACAATTCCTCAAAAATTATTACACCGACGCCATAGATATTTAATGTTCCCCAATAGAGCAAATAAATCGAAATAATTCAAAACATAGTTTACAGATAGATGTAAATGACTTTTTACGCGAGTACTAATTTTGGTTGTTCATCGCTACGACAGTGGTCGAAAATACTCGAACACATAGACACCACGTGTCAACATTTACATACGTATTATCTAATTGTCAGTAGTGATATCTATTTCACGATTATGATTTTTTTATCCGTGTAATTTATAAATTGGACAACCGCGCATGTCGGGGGGAATTTATCAAACGAAAACAGATACTAATATATTTGTGGTACATTTTTGATTATACGAGATTGATTAATTAACGCGTCATCATTTCCAAAATATATTCAATGTGGAAATTTGTTTCCAACATAAAAATCAAATAGAATACTATGTAGAAAATGATAAAAATTTCTCGTTTGAGAATATTTATATGTTTTTAATTAAGAAATAACGCCATAAATTACGCCAAATATATGTATATGCATGAAATAATTATAACTTTGTTAAATCATTTTTATTCACAGTAATTGTCTATAAGAATAATAAATGTGAATATGCAGAGGGATATGTTTTTAAAATACATATTAAAATTATATTAGAATTGACCTTTATTCAAATTGAAAATGCATTTATGAAAAAACTTACGTGTACAATACAATTATTCTAAATTTAAACCGTTACAAACTCGCTGAATAATGCCTGTGCTAGGACATATGTGTACACATAATTATTCTAGAATAACTAAAGTTGCTATCGTAGTATGATAGCAGATTGTACGAAATATAACCTAAAAAATTTGCACGTTGATAAGCAATTAAAGATGGTAATACATATGTTACTCCACAATTACAGATCATCTGATAAAAATTTGTAAATCTATTCTAATCGCATGATAGAAATGTTTAAATTGTATTTTTATTATTTGTCATTAACAATTGTATTCATTAAAAATCACAGTATTATATTATAATAATCTATGAAAAAATTTGTAAAAAATCAACAATATCTTTAGTATCGTATTGTCAATATTTTAACAGCTTTACTAACAATTCAATGTTTAATTAAATAATTAACTTAAATATGTGAATTAGTATGTATAGTCTATCATTGAAGTATATATATATATATATATATATATATTAAGAAAATAATGTAATTATATTAATAAATAAATATATAAAAGGAAAATGGTCCTAGAAACTGGAATACTTGCAAAATTTATGTACATTGCAATTGTGGTTGCAACTTATTGGTAAGTTTTCTTCATTTGTTTCTCAATAAAATATGTTATCCGACTTTTATCTTGCACTAAAAAAATAAAATTATTTAATTTCTATTAGCAAACTCGTTATATATATAATTGAACACTTTTACAGGATAATTTCTATATTGACAGTATTTGTAAATAAAGCTCTTCTATCCAGTAATACTATAAATTTGGATGCACCTCTTTTTATAACATGGTGCCAATGTATAATATCCTTGATCATGTGTGTAATTCTTAGCAATTTGTCAAAGTGGTTCCCAAAATATATTAAATTCCCTTGTGGTAATCCATATACCAAAGAAACACTTAGAAAGGTAAGTTACAATTTTCTGGTGATATGAATTATATTTTTGTTGTTTTTCATCTATTTATAGGTACTGCCATTGTCTCTTCTATTTACTGGAACGATTGCGACAAACAACTTATGTTTAAAATATGTTGATGTTGCATTTTATTACATAGGACGTTCACTAACAACTGTATTTAATGTTATTTTCACATATCTTATGCTAGGTAAGGAATTTCTTAAAAATAAAGAAGGGTTCATGCAGATGTAATAACTTGTAATAACTCCACAGGTCAAAAGACTTCTATAGATTGTATTGCATGTTGTGCATTTATTGTGACTGGATTCTGGCTTGGTGTAGATCAAGAACATATTGCTGGTTCTTTGTCTATTCTAGGAACAATTTTTGGTGTACTAGGATCATTAACTCTCTCTTTATATTCCATTCATATGAAACAAGTTCTTCCTAAATTAAATCAAGATATTTGGTTACTTTCTTATTGTAACAATGCATATAGTGTCATTATATTTCTTCCATTGATGTTGGCTAATGGAGAATATATTACAGTGTACAATTATGACAAAATTGGGTCTTCATATTTTTGGTTTGCTATGATCATTGGTGGTATTTGCGGTTTTGCTATTGGTTTTGCTACAGCACTTCAGATAAAAGTAACGTCTCCTTTAACACACAATATTAGTGGAACTGCTAAAGCTTGTGCACAAACAGTTTTAGCAACTTATTGGTTTAATGAAAAGAAATCATATTTGTGGTGGATAAGTAACTTTGTTGTGCTTGGTGCTAGTGCAATGTATGCTAGATTGAGACAACTTGATTTAAGTAGGGAATACAAAGAAGAAAAACAGCAATCACAAGTATGAAAAGATGTGAATAATTTACTCAAATTAAAATATATAATATAGATTAAATTTTATTGTATAATTTTATATAAAAATGATTAAAGAAATAAAATTATTTTTATAAAATAGTATAAATTATTTTTCATTTTAATAAATATCTAATTTTAATTAGAATTTTAAAAATTCATAAAAAATCTTGTTTTATCATGAATGTATATCTTCATATCAAGAAATTTGTGTAGAAACATTTTTTTAATAATATGAAGTCTTTGTAAGATATTCCACTATATTCACTTAAATATAATACTTTGTATATATAAATATAAAAAATATAAAAATATATTTAATAAAAGAAAAATAAAAATGAATAAGTTATTAAAATCTTGACGCAAGGCCACCTCCACGACTATCTGAATGGCTTGACATTAAATCTTTTCTCTTTATAATTACATTCACACTTTTTAATACTGAATCAGTTTCCAAATGTGGTGTTGGTACAATTAAGTTTAATTGATTTTGTATTAGAGCATCTATAGAATGTTTTGGATCATTTTCTATAACAAATCCGTCTGACGAAAAATAATACCTTAAATATAAATTGTGTTAAAAAAAAATACTTCCACAAATTTTATAATTTTTATAAAAGGTAAAATCTATTTTTTACCTTGGATGTTCAATAGCTTCAGAAACGTTTAATTGGCGCACTATAATATTGTATAATAATTGTCCAATAATTAATATATCATCAGTTCCAAATACTCCTCTTAATCCACATAATGCTTTTTCATTATGAAAAATTATTGGAACAAGTGTGGATAAGGTATTGTTAGTATCAGCTTTATCCAGCAAAAAACCAACTCTTGACATATGTCCAAAACCAAATGGTGTACTAAGTCCACTATAAGAATTGTACATTTATATTATCAAATTTATTAAATGAAATATATTAAACTTTTATAATACTAACGTTACAATACAAACATAAGTATCTTCCCAGTCCATTGCAACAACTCCAGTATATCTTTCTTCTTCAACTAAAATTGTTACTATATGAAATCAATATTGCTGCAAAACATGTGTATATATATATACATATATATTTCTTTTTAAAATAAAAACAGTGGAATATAACAAACCATGTTGTTTTATTTGTAACGGTATTGAAACTGAATTTATTAATGTTTTTGCTACTTCTATATCTGTTTCTGCTATAGATGTATTATCAGTAGATATTTTAAGATTTTCCAGTGCTGTAATCATTGATTTTAATAATGACATATGTGGAGAGTAATATATCGCGTGTTTATAAAAACTTGATTTTTTTGCTATATATACATCAGGTTTATAATTTACGAATTGTGGAAGAAGTTTTAAAAGTTTAACTTTATCATGTAGAAGTTTCTGTGAAAAACTTCCGTTATATAACACTGAAAATGAAACAAATGAGTAAATGTATTAATATATATTAATAAACAAATTTTTTAATTGGTTATAATCAAAATAACATTATTATACCATTAGTTCCTTCCAGTGCTACAGCGTTTAATAAATCACTAAGATCATGTAACTTTAATATATCTCCTGCATTAATATGGCCATATAGAATTTCATAATTAATATTTTTTGATATTTCACTTGCTAACTCTTTTGATACAACAAACCCTTCTTTGGCTAGAGATACAGAAGGTTTAACAATTTCATTCCATGGTAGTTTACCTTTTAACTTATGTGCATGTTCTAATCCTTTTAATACTGCTGGTATGCGTATTTCATCTTGTACAAAATTATTACATACACATAATGCAAATAATATAAAATAATATAAAATATTTTTTCAATTATTATTCAAATACATACCTGTGATTGTATTATTAGCAAAATCAACAATAATTGGTTCTGACTGCTCTTTATGATTATATATCATCATATAACCACCTCTAAAATAGTAATTATAAATTACAATAATTAATAATAAAGTGATGTATGTAACTTACCCACCCAGACCAGTTTTATGTGGAGCTACCACTGTCATACAAATGGTAGCTGCTACAGCTGCATCTACTGCATTACCACCTTTTCGTAATATTTTACTTCCAATTTGTGAACAATTTGTATAATCTGTTGCAACTGCACCATGAATGCTAGCTTTATCCTAACATAAAATAATGTTATAAGTGATATTTATAGCTTATTGTACAATATCTTTTTATTAGCTTAAATACCTGTGGACTTCCATCAGCATATAAAATTTGTAAAATTAATGTTGTTGTGATAGAAATGGTCAAAATAGTAAAACAGCTTATAATGAATTTCAGACCATCTCCACAATACATACTTAATGTATATTTATAACTTCTACCTTTTGTTAAAGGACATTCTTCTCCAGAAGCTTTTGAAATCATAATAATTTAATATATGACAGAATTTTTTACAATATATTGTGCATAATATAAAACAATAATGATAAGTTGTTTTTGTAATATATTTGTAATTCTTTTTGTGTACATAAGAAAACATTACATTTAGTGAAGTTACTAAGAAAAATAACAGATGACATAGGTTAAAAGAAAACTAATTGTAAGAATAGCTACTATTTATATTAAATTTATTATTTATTATTTGTAATAAATATTAATTTTTGTTTAGTACATATATATACAAAATGTAGTAAAAGTAAAAATTAATAGCATTTTTAAAAATTATATAGAACAATGATAATTTATGAATAAATAAGGTTATATCTAAATTTTTCGAATATTTATAACAACAATAAGGAAACAAATAAATAAATAATACTTACAAGAATTATTATAGCGCATTGTAAATGCATGAATTAATTTGAATATTGAAAAAAGAAATTTATATGAAATTATTTAATGATATGCAGACAATACATATCATATTGTAGACAGTATACACATATATATGTATACACATGTTTTTCTAACTGTAAATTTAACTGGTTTTTTGTACTGTAAAATTAATAATTGAAAACATTTTAAAACAATTAGTTTTCAATTTCTGTTCAAATTTGCTTAATGTCATATATGTTATATATACCTATATTATTTAACAAAAGATTGTGATTATTACTTTGCTTTTAAGTAAACAAAAAAATAAAATTTTTATAAAAAATAATGCTTTCCACTCTTTTGCTAAAATGTTATATGTAAAAAAAGTTTTATATATAACTTTATTATTAAATATGTATTTATATACATATAAATTTATTATTAGGTATATATGTGTAATATTTAATTTTTTTTTAGGACAAAATTTTAAAAGTAAAAAAAAATGTCAATTGATATAGTAGAAATCTTAAAAGAGCCAAAGATGATAAAGGTGTGTGCACCAATGGTTAGATACAGCAAGTAAGTAAAAAAATCATTATGCTTCTAATATTTTTTCAATAATAAAGAAATGATATAAATACTTTTTTAACAGATTACAATTTAGAACATTAGTAAGACAATATGATTGTGATATATGTTTTACACCTATGATCTTAGCTGATTCATTTGTACAATCTGAAAAGGCCAGAGATAATGAATTTTCAACTAATAATGGGGATAAACCACTAGTTGTTCAATTTGCTGCTAAAAATGTACATGATTTTCTTAATGCAACAGAACTAGTTGCTCCGTAAGCTTTCCCAAAATATTAAATCTAATTTTTGATAATCAATATATACATTTAATTAATCATTTTTCTTTTCAGATATTGCAATGGAGTTGACATAAATTGTGGGTGTCCACAGCGTTGGGCATTAAAAGAAGGATATGGAGCTGATTTACTTAAGAAACCAGATCTTGTAAAAGATTTAATATATCAAGTGAGAAATCGCATTCCATATCCTTTCACTGTATCTGCAAAAATTAGATTGTTCAAGGATATTCATAGAACTATTGACTTCTGTAGAATTCTCGAGAAAGCAGGTGCTTCATTTCTTACCGTTCATGCTAGAACTCCAGAAATGAGATGTGAACCAATTGATTTGAATAGTTTGAAATTAGTAAGAGATAGTGTGAAATTACCACTCATTGCTAACGGAGATGTAAAAAGTTTAGAAAGCGCAGAAAACTTGTATAAGGAAAGTAATTGCGACGCAGTGATGTCTGCAAGAGGAATTTTAACAAACCCAGCTCTTTTTTCTGGATATTCAGTTACACCTCTTGATTGTGTACAAAATTGGCTTGATATTACATCAATTATACCGACCCAATTTATATGTTTTCATCATCACCTTGTATTTATGTTAGAAAAAATACTCCCCAAGAAAAATAGATTGTTTTTCAATAGTTTACAAAATAAAGCAGCTGTTCTGGAATTCTTGAAAGATACTTATGGCATAAAACCTAACAACAATTTTAAATCATTTGATCTTATTAAATGCATCTTTAACTCTTCACATAAAAAATGTAACAAAGATATTGCGAAAGATGATGATGATTTAAGTATGAATTTTTTAGGTAACATATTTGCAGAACAATAATTTTATTGCTAAGAATTAAAATATTTTTATAGTTACAGTCTGCCATGAAACTGAAATTATCAAATTTAAAAATTTCACTTTGTGAAGAAATTAGTGACATAAGATAAAATCACAAGATAAAATCGTTAAAATTAATATTAGAAAAATTCATATGCAATATATGTAATATATATGTAATATATATGTAATATATATATATATAAATAATTTAACCTTTAACTTTTTCTTTACGAAAGCATTTCATAATTGAAATTTAAATTGTACGGTACTAGTTTTCAATACTGAACGATAGGTGCGCTGAGATCTGACTACAATAAACTGTATGACTTTTGTAACCGCGAAACTTGTAAAATTTATTACATATTGCTTATTAGCTTAACAAGTGAAATGTATATACTAATAATTCTACACGAAAATAACGATGTTACAAAATAAAGTATTTTGAAATTCGAAAATGACGTATCTCAATTCAAAATGGTAAGTCTTTGTAAAATTGGTTAAAACTTCTTTTATCAAAATTAGTTTAGCTTTTATTGAAAAATGACTTATATTAACAATTACAGAGTTAATAATAGTTAAACATAGTCTTCACACTCTAATATTCAAAGACATGTTTATTATCATCATTGTTATTAAATTTAATATTTATTATGTGTTTATTATATTTTAATTTCATTTTTATTACTTTTCATGTTCATTGCATGTAAGATTCGATCTTTGGCTCCTAGTAAAACTGGCAAACGCCCATTGCTATCTGATATATCTAATAGTGTAACACCACCAAGGCTTGTACCTGTTCACCAGCCAAAAAAAAAGGTTTGTCGCAACATCAAAAATGTACAAATAGCAGAATATAAAGCAGTAACCCTTTCATCTGATGATGTACAAGCCACTCAAGAAATAATTTCTGAACATGTGAATATTATATGTTAGATAATTCTCAATAAATAATTAATATAAATTCTATATAATAATACAATAGTTACAATGCAAATTTACAGGAAGAACGTATGAAAAAACTTCTTAGTAAGCCATTTAAAATACCAATTCCTGGTTATCAATTATCTGGCCGTGCACTGGGAATACGTTTATCTGGTCCTCGTAGAGCGTTACACGATCCTGAGGAAGCTAATGCACTTGTTGTTTATTCACCTCCTGAATTATCTGAACATGAGAAATTGAAAGCAGATCAGTAAGTATAAGTATTTTATGATTATGAAGCTTTGTTAAAAATTCCTTGTAATTCTTGTTCATTTATATTTCAGATCTAAACAACTTGTGCATGTAGTGGTAGATCCTATATTATGTAATATTTTAAGGCCCCATCAAAGAGAAGGTGTAAAGTTTATGTACGAGTGTGTAACAGGAAAACGCATTGAAGGTGCCTATGGATGCATTATGGCAGATGAAATGGGTCTTGGAAAAACTTTACAGTGTATAACTCTATTATGGACTCTGTTAAAACAAGGTAAATTGACACTTAGAGTATTGATATTATTTTCTACATAATGCGTAAAATTTACTATGTTTAAAGGACCTGAAGCTAAACCACTTATAGAGAAAGCTATTATTGTTGCTCCAAGTTCATTAGTTAAAAATTGGTATAACGAGATCTTTAAATGGTTAAAAAATAAAGTTCAACCACTGGCAATTGATGGTGGAAACAAAGCAGACATCGACACAAAACTTATTGGATTTATGAAAACTTATGGTCGTAGGTGTATAAATCCTATTTTGATAATCAGTTACGAAACTTTTCGTTTGCACGCACACGTTCTTCATCAAGATGAGGTTGGACTCGTATTGTGCGATGAAGGACATCGTTTAAAAAATTCCGAAAATCAGACGTATCAAGCGCTTATAAATTTGAAAGCCAAAAGAAGAGTATTACTTAGTGGAACACCTATCCAGAATGATCTTTTAGAGTACTTTTCTCTTGTACATTTTGTTAATCAAGGTCTACTGGGAACTGCACAAGTACGTCAGTTAATGTTTTTTGAAAATTAAAAAGACTTTTCAAATATCTCAACAAGAATATCAATGTTATATTAAAATTTCATTCTTCAGGAATTTCGGAAAAAATTCGAAATACCTATTTTACGTGGTCAAGATGCAGCTGCAACAGATGCTGATCGTACTCTTGCTCAAGAACGCTTAACGGAATTAGTAACCATTGTGAATAAATGTCTTATTAGACGTACCAGTGCCTTACTTTCAAAATATTTGCCTTTAAAATATGAATTAGTGGTGTGCATAAAAATGGGAAAATTACAAACTGATCTCTATAATAATTTTATACAAAGCGATAGTGTTAAAAGATCGATGGAAGGTTTGATTTATAAGTTTAATTAAATTCTTTAATAATTATAATTGATAATTCGTTATTATTTAAAATACTTGAAATCATTAAATGTAATTGATATGTTTATATATTTTTTTGATTATAGAAAATTCAGAAAATTCCAAGAAGGGAAAAAGTTTTTCTACACTTGCAGCAATCACATTGTTGAAAAAGTTATGCAACCACCCTGATTTAGTATATGACAAAATATTGGGAAAATGTGATGGATTTGAAAACGCTGCAAAATTAATGCCAGCAAATTATAACACAAGGTACGTAACTTTCGAACGAAAAAATTTATCGTTCTAATATTCTAAGTTTATCATTATTCCGTAATATTGAATTTTTTAATTTTATTTCCAGAGAAATCATGCCAGAATTATCCGGGAAGCTAATGGTATTAGATTGCCTTTTAGCATCTATTAAAACAACAACAAATGATAAAATTGTTTTGGTATCTAATTATACACAAACTCTCGATCTGTTCGAAAAACTGTGTCATAAACGTTGTTATAACTATGTTAGATTAGATGGCACTATGACCATTAAAAAAAGATCAAAGGTAGTAGAAAAATTTAATGACCCAAATAGCAATGACTTTATTTTTATGCTCAGCTCTAAAGCTGGAGGCTGTGGGTTAAATCTTATCGGTGCAAATCGTCTTGTCATGTTCGATCCTGACTGGAATCCTGCGAATGATGATCAAGCAATGGCCAGGGTTTGGAGAGATGGTCAGAAGAAGCTCTGTTTCATATATCGTTTCCTTTGTGTACGTAAAAAGAAGGATTACACGATTTCTCTTTAGAAATTAATGTTCCCTATTTAAATATATATTACAGACTGGTACTATCGAAGAAAAAATTTTCCAAAGGCAAGCGCATAAAAAAGCATTAAGTTCGACAGTTGTAGATCAAGAAGAAGACGTTGCAAGACATTTTACGTTAAATGATTTACGAGATTTATTTAAATTGGAGGAAAATACTATATCAGATACTCATGCTAAGTAAGTTTATCAAAAATAATCTTATCAAAAATAAGATAGTTATTAATGAAGTATACTTGTTACTACTCGTATATTAGGTTCAAGTGTAAAAGATGTGTTAATGGCATAGAAGTAAAAGGACCGCCCGAACAATCGGACTGTAATTCGGATTTATCAGATTGGAGGCACATCTATAATCCACGACATTTACCAGATATACCATTACGACAGTGCTGGTCGAGTGGCATTTCATTTGTTTTCTGCCATCGATCACATGAACAAGTTAAATAAGATTATAATTTTTAAGAATATTTGCGTATAGGATAATATAAAGGAAGCAATATTTTTTTACTGTAAATGTTTCATATTTCATACATACTTTTGTACAAATACAACTATTACGCTTATTTAGAACGAAATCTGTATGAACAAATGCACAATAAATATTATGTATTTGTTTAATAGTAGAAGCTACATTAAATACTAATTGAAGTTATATTATACAAACAAAGAATTATAATACTATCACAAATATTATATAGAAAGGTAAAAGAAAATAATTAATTGTATAAAAGTTACACACAAATCGATTAAAATAGATTTTTCTTTGCGGAAGTTTATTAGTTATTAAACAGTCTCTGATTTTTCCTTTTTTGCTACATTATGTTTAATAATGTATTCAGAATTAGTTATTGATCTGAAAAGCTATTACATTTGTAATTTCTAAATTTAATGTATTTTCAAACTGAGTGTTGTCTAAATTGCAATCCAAATTACAATTTACCAAGCATACGATATATAATACGATAATAAAATCTGCAAATACATCAATCAAAATAAAAAATGTAATTTTTAAGAATAATCATCTAAATGTAGTCATGAAGTACTGAAAGTTAGGCAAACTTTCAAGATATTTGCAATGTGTGAACATAAGGCGTGAAAGTTGGAATGCGATGTTTTTGATAGAGGTAATAAATCCACAAACTCGTTCTCATACGAGTTGTGCGTAGAAAACCAAGGGTCAACGAAGGCTTCAGGAATTTGCTCCACATAAACAGAAGCAATAAGAAAGGCGGGAGGGAGGAAGGTAAGAGAAGGCTAGAGTGGGAGAATGCAAATAATGGAAGCGAGGGCACGTGATCGTTGAACACGGTTTCTGATTGGTTGAAAGGAATCGGCGCTGCTTTCCCTCTCGGCTCGGCGCCCGTTTGCGTTGCCCTTCTTCCGAGGTTTCGTGCAGCTGCCCGCTCAGAATAGTTCCAGATGTGGCCATGTTTAGTTTGATCTTTGAAGTTTTCGCTCATCGTCTCATAAACTGATACATTTTTATACAATCTGCTGACAGTAATACGCTCTGTCCGACCATCGTACTTTTTCGCCTGCCTGCGACTAGTCTCGTTCATAAATAACATATATTCTTCTTTCGCTGAGATAAATAATCTGAGAGTACGCGGAAGTATACACGGAGAGACGTTAAAAACGCTGTTGTCAATCCATCCAGAACGTACGATTCGCGTCGAGTCGCGTGCATCAGAAACATTTTCTTCTTTTTTTTTCCTTTTTTTTTTTTCTCTTGAATTCGACAATAGACGCACGTCTGATTAACTCGTAGTTGTTTTCTTTAGAAAGGCGAGACGAGGAAATTATTTCGTCGCTCCCTTTCTCTCTCTCTCTTTCTCTCTCACGCGCTCTCTCCGATAAATTTTCAATCGGAAAAAGGGAGCATCGTTATCAGACACACGCGGGGAATCGTCAAAGTGGAAATTACACCTTTTTGCGTCATACTCTGCCTGCGAGAAGCTTGGAGTCGTATCGGAGAGAAAAAGTTTTTTTTTTCTTTTTCTTCTCCGTCCGATTGTTGCGGGGCCTCGAAAAGAGAAAAAAAGCAACGGAAACATCGCGTGTTTCTTATCGAGCTTGGCTCTTATCTTCGTGTTTTGACTTTGATGTTCGAGAGCGTAACGGGAAAAAAAGAAATAGCTCGGGGACGCCTGTAAGCGAGAGGCTTATCGTCGGTCGGCCATATGCCACGTCAGGTCAGAATGACGTCGCAGTGGTAAGATCGCGACATTTGACGAAATTTAATAGCCGCAGAAAGGAGCGGACCACAGTGAAATATCTATCATCCATTTTTCGCCGAATCGAGAAGTGCAAACAATAACCACGGACAAAATAGAGAGTACAAACGGAAGCTTTAATTAAACAAGGCGTAGCCTGAATTGTGTACAGGCGAGAAGAGTTGTTTGGGAGGAGTATAGAGAGAAAAAAAAAGAAAGAGGACAGAGGAATGTAACTGTAAGGCAACAATAGGGAGAAAGAGAGAGGAAAAAACAAAGAGACAGAGAGAAACGTTTTTTTTAGTAAAAACTTCTGGTATATTCGGTTGTTGGGTGTGCGCACGCGCACGCCCGAGAGAAAGAGAAACGGAGAGACATACGAGAGACACGTTTCTTTGTAGGTTAATTAGTGTCCTGGTAATTGAGTAATTTTTTTTTTTTTTTTTTTTGAAAATTCTTTCAAATGCTAGAATTCAGGCACGCGATTATTTTGCAAGCAAAGAGCCATCGAGTGTGGTCGCGTCAATCGATCGAATGATCATCGTCGGGCCACAGTGCTATATCATACGGTACAAAACACGATCGATCGGGACAAAACAATGGCATTAGAGAGTGTTTCCGCGGCCGAGACTCTAATCCAAAGGTTTGCCTCCACATTTTTTATTCACCAATAAATCAACAGTCGAAATTTTTAAGACTGTTACTCTATACCAACTCACGTTACACATATTTGACTTCCCCCCTCTCCGGAAGCTCCGTGCTGTTTCCCCGCTTTCGTTTCAGTATATACCATTGGCACTGTGAGAAAAAAAAAAAAGAAAAAAAAGAGGGAGAACGAAAACCTATATTATTATTCTGTTCGAATACGCATAATTTACTTCTTTTTTTTTCTTTTGCGATTCTCTTTTCATGTTTCTTCATTGCTCTGAAATTGAACCAGAATTTCTATTGTACTCTAGAATCTATAATGTAAAGTTGTTTGAACATTGAATGCTTTGGTGTCGTTCTTGAGGCCAAGATCATCTTGGTGACGAAGAGATTCTTCGATGTGTATATTCCAACATACAATTACTTGAGTATTGATTCACTAACTAAATGTAAATGTGAATATTTTAAACTAATGATAAAAATGTTAGCTCTGTGGCGATTCATAAGCTATGCTTCTAAATATATATATATATATATATATAGCAGATCATGGTATATTTCGACGAGCATTGAAGAACTAAGTTCTGGTATAAAAACGGAAGGAAAAAGGAAGTTTGTGTAAATAAAAGAAATACGCACGAGATCTTCTCGGAGAGACGAATATACATATACAGAAAGATACATACACATACATTTTCCGGTTTTAAGTATGACATATTTATACAAGTATCTAACACACATTCAGACTAAATTTATACACAGCACGTACGCAGACGTACGCTATATATGTATATTCATATGTACATTTGACTTGCATACACATGTGTATACTCTTACATATACACATATACACACGTGAATGAACGATACAACCGAGTTCTACACGCGAAGAAATTCTGACGCATGATATCGAAAAATGTTATACGCACTGTTGACAATGCTGTAACGATGACAATGAGATATGCTATAAAAATGTGACATTGTACATTGATATCCGATGTTCATGCTATTGCATTGATGACAAATCAATTATGATAGTTGATGATGAATAATGATGTTAATAATGAACACGATTTGTGGGTAAGGAAATTCCAATTTATTTATTTTCCTTCATGGTATACAAATATGATGCGTTTCTTTTTTTATTATGCTAATTTAACAATCTTCTAGCGCCTGCAACTTGCAAATTCTCTTTTTCCTTTCCGTATTCGTATATTTTATTTTAAATATATGGGATTGGTCGTGCACTTCGTTTAATATGGATTCTCCTTCGTTTACATTACAACTTTCTACATATTATACGACTGAATGTATGTTTCCAAAATACGCTGTTTACCGGATAAGCCGGTGATAGCTGGTATTGAGAAAAGAGTCATTTTTCAACCATGTATTACGTTGACTATATATTTCAAAGTTGCATCGATCGTTGTGCTACAACGTGTCGTTAGTCACCTCCCAAAGCAGCCAATGTTTTCAGGTCAACTAGTAGCGGAAGCTCCTTTCAGCTATACTCTGCTCGACCAAAATTCGATGTTCCTTTATTCAACGAACAACGTGTGATATATCTAATAATTATTGCTGTTAATGTCCCTGACAGCTTTTATGATTACAATCCAATTTTATTCTAGCAACTTTTTTATTTCGTTTTATCAAAGAAATGCATTTTGCATTTCTTTTTAATGAGTTTTAAATGATGATGATGATGATGATGATGATGATGATAATGATAATGATGCTGATGATGATGCTGATAGTAATAACAATGATGATGATGATGCTGCTGATGATGATGATTATGATTATGATGATAATGATAAATGATGATTTTAAAGTGAAATGAAAAAAATTTTCAATTTCACTTCCATGGATAAAATAGACAAACAAATATAACAAATTGTAGCTTTGAAAAATGGATCAAATAATGGATATCTGAGAATATAATATTCATATATAATTTAATTATTTTAATCTTTTAGTTAATATTATAAATAAATTTTACTCTTACTCTTATTCCTATTCTGTAGTATAAAATTATGTAAGATTAAAATTTATTTTAAGTCTCTTAAAGTTGTTGATCAAGCAAAATCTCTGTCATCGTTGCAAACATTGAACATTTTATTTTAGTTATATATAAAGTATATAACTAAACTATACGATATTAGGTATAAAAAAGAAAATGTATATTATACATTTTTAGCTAATAATATATTTTTGATATATGTCTAGCAATGATGATAATGACTTGGAAGATGGGGAAATTCCATCCGATGAAGATGATGAGCCTCTACCACCACCAATAAATAATGATGTCAATAAAAACGCATCAAAAGCAGATGTACAGAAAAATAAAACTTTTGATTCTAAATTTAATAAAAATAAAAAATCAAGTGTTCAAGGAAGTAGCAAGCATGATAGATTTTTAAAATACAAAAATCCATCAGAAGATTGGGCAGGAGATGTAGAAAAAGCAATTAGGGCAGCATTGGAAGAAGACGGTTCTAGAAATCAAGATTCCAAATCTAAAAGTAAAAATAATAGAAATAAGAGTAGAAAAAGAATAAGAGATGAAAGGGAGGAGGACCGTAATAAAGATCAAAAGGTTTTAGTAGTTAATTATCATTAGTAGAATTAATTCAAATCAATTAATTCACACAGACTTATTATAAATTTATGATTTACAGAGAAGAAAAGTGAGCGATGATGAAAATGTTAATGAAGATGAGGATGAAATGTTATTTGTTAGAGGTGCTTCACCTATTAGAAAAGATTCACAAGAGAATAATTCTCCAAGACATTCAAACGAACATGAAAATTTTGATAGTAACTCAGATTATGATGAAAGGCCTAATGTAAATCGACATAGAGATAATGATAATAAGCGCAGTAATTCGAGAGGAGGTGGTGGTGGGGGAGGTATGATAATGTATTAATATTACCAAGTTAACTTGTTAAGTTTTCTTCTTGTATATTAGTACAAATGATGTTTTTATAATGTAGGACGTAGAGGCGGTAAAAATGAACGCGGCGGTAAAAATAAAACCCGTGGGCAAATGCGAAACGATAGAAACGGGCGGAGAAATCAAAATAACGATCATAATCAAGATCCAGATGCTATATGCGTTTATTACATGCAAGGAAAGTGTCACAGAGGAGACGATTGTCCCTTTTCACACAATGCTTTGCCACCACGAAAAATGGAACTATGCAAGTTTTATCTTATGGATTGTTGTGCAAAGAGAGATAAATGTCTTTATATGCATCATGACTTTCCATGTAAATTTTTCCATACAGGATTAAAATGTAATCAAGGAGAAAATTGTAAATTTTCTCATCAGCCTTTAAACGAACAGGTACTTATATTTCAGCTTTTATATTAATATACTTTAGAAAAGCGTACATTAATTATTATACTTCTACACAGGTGAAAGGAATTTTATTAAAACATTTAGAAACAGCACCAAAAGAAATTCTTGGAGATTTTCCACGTTTAAGTAGAGAAGGAGCAATGTTAATGATAAATAATACAGCAAGAACATTGGCACAAGGTCAAGAAATTACGAATCAAAAAATTCCGAGTCTTTTTGAACTCAATATTTCAGCACCAACTAGTACCACAGAGAAGAGTAACGAAAGAGAAGAAAAAGGTATTTAGATATATTTTTATTTATATTTTTAAGGATATAATTTGTACTAAAAATAAAATTTATTAGAAGAACAAACGCAACAGCAGAAAACTGTTAGAGAAAGGAAATCATCAGGAAAGAAAACTCGTTGGGGTTCTGATGAAGATAGGGTTCCATACGAACAAATCATGCTGCTGCAATCATCAGCCAACGAGCTTGGTTTGCAACTTCCTAATGCCGCGTTGGGTTTAGCGACTCAACAACATCTGCAGAAACCTTTAGTACCCCAATCTATGCCAAATATGGACTTTTATACTGAAGCTAATAACATCGAATCAAACAAAACAAATTTAATTAAAACAAGGGACAGAGAAGATTTTACAAAAGATGTAGAAGAGGATGAGATACTGGAACAGGCATGATAATTACAGTTTTATATTATGTAATAAATTTGTATAAAAGACTACAATATTATATAATAATCTTTACTTTTAGGCAAAAAAGAAAGACACATCATTACTTGAAAATTCGAAAGACATAGACTTAAGACAGTTATTAAAAGCAAAAAAGCCTCCACCTGTTGTTAGTATAGCTGATGAAGTAGCAAATCTTACTAAATCTAAGTTCGACGAGGAAAGTGATCAAGATGAAGAAACAGATCTTGTTATAGAAATGCCAATAGAAGATGATGATAAGCAGAAAGATAAAGGTACAGAACAAGAAGGTAAGATCGAGTTCTCTTATTTGTGTATAAAGTATAAAAATGAAAATAAAAAGGAAAATTAGCAAAAATTATTTAATTTATGATATTATTATTATTATCTAATTTATTATTATTTATATATAGAAACAAATATTACAAACGAAGGAGCTAATAATCACTGTGATACTTCTTCACCATGTGCGGAAGAACAAGTACCAACTCATCTACCAAAGAAGGCACAGGAATTGTTTATGCGTATTCAGCAACAGCAACGGGCGGCTCAAGATAGTTTTAAAAATATAGAAAACGAATGCTCTGCACGAAATACAGATCAAATTTTAGAAGACTGGTATTCAGATGATGAAGATGACGATGACGATGATGAAAGTGGAAATCTTACAATAGTTCTTTCTAATAAAGATATGTCGAAAGAAGAAAGTGAATCTGCAGAAAAAACACAAAATATTGTGATTAAAGAAGAATTTCAAACTGCACTTTCTGCTCCTACTATACCTCAGCCAGCAGCTATTGTAGACAAACTTGGAGATTTGAGTAAAATTGACATTAGTGCCGAAGTATCAAAACTATTATCGTCAATAAAGGCAACAACGGGTAAATCTTCCCAACAAAATATATCGGATTATTCCTCACAAGCTGAAGCCTCACCGGACAGAATATCATTGGACGAATCAAATGTCCAAAGTAAAAGTGTTAGCAGATTCAATACTTCGAATCAGTTATCAAAAATTGAAAACGAAACATCGAGTCCACATTCCTCCCCTGGAACAAGTTCTGTACCTATTTCCAGAGATCCTCGTATGTCTCGAGATCCGAGACAACGTAGAGACGAACAAAAATCAAGCAGTCCTAATAGAGTAGATAACAAGAAGGAATCTAAGCATCTTAGATTAGAAACAAGTATTTATAGTTCCGGTATTACTGCTGTTGATACTAATATGGATACTGATCTTCGAACTAAGACCGATCAAGATCTTCGAAGGAAAGATATGGATTTCAGGCAACAATTTCAAACCGGTTTCGGAGATACTGATCTTCGAGTTGTTGGTGCAGGATTCACCGATACATCCACTAAGTCTGATGTAGATTTGCGACAAATGTTGAGCTTACCATTTAAACCCGCACCGTCGCACATACCTTGTACAGAAATCGATGCAAGTATATCTTCGCATCCTCCAATGACGTACAAAGTATACGTCGTTGACATACCAAGGCCCGACTATACGGGTCTCAAGCTCACTAAGAATGATGCACAGGTAAAATATGATCCACGATTACGTAAAATTTTTAGAATTGGCAAAATTGAATTGGCTGATTCTCCTATGTCTCCGCCGCCAATTAAAATGGATACTCCTAAATCACCTCCACAAGTTCGATCCGATCCACGTCGAAAAGCTCTCGAGGCTTCCAATTTATCTTCTCAAAATGTGAATACTTCCATGATGAAGAACGTTCAACAGTCACCAATGGAAATGTCGAGCATGGGAATGGGTCCTGGTAGTATGGCCGTTCCTCAAGGTATGCCTGGACCACAAGGAATGCAAGGAGGACAAAGCATGATGCCAATAGGTCCAAATCCGATGCTTGGAAATATGGGTCCTATAGGACCTATAATGAACGCACCGATGGGTCCTCAAAACATACCACCAATGGGTATGACAGGAATGTCCAATTTGCCTCCAGGAATGACTATGAATGGACCAGTTGTGCCTCAGAATCAGATGAACTTTGATCCACGTTTTAATGTTCAACGTAACAATGGAGCTGGTTTGTTAGGCCCAGCGCCTGGTGTAGGTTTTGGCCCAGATGTTAATACCTCATATGATGGTGCGCAAACATACCCCAGTGGTAATTTTAATAACTTTGGTCCCGGTCCTACTCCAGTGCCTCCAGACTCTAGTATGATGGGATTCAATCCAAATGGTCCGAATCCAAATTTTGGTATGGAGGGACCTGAGTGGAATGGAGCGAACCAAAATAGACGTGGTGGACGAATCAGGCGACGAAATCGAAATAGGACCAATATCGTGACTAATAATTAAGGCAATAAGCAATTTCAAATAGGTACATAAGCAAAGTACCTGGTGATAATTCTCATTGTAATTTAAATTTGTACAGCATGCATTACTGATAATGCATTCATTTATGGTGGTCCACATTAATGATTTTTTGATTGTGTCAATTGTACATGGTGTCAAATGCTCGCTAGTGGTTAAATAGCAAAATATAAATTTATATATCGAAGAAAGATATTAAAAATTGTACATGAATTACATACTTTGAAGCATTTCTTTACATAAAATATAAATAAACACCAATGAATGGTGTAAGTAATGCTCATAATTACGTGACATTCTATATTTTATTTAAAAAAAAATATAAATAATATTATACATGAGAAATATATAAAATACATCTATTATAAATAATAGCAAATGAAATTTTCAATGGAATTATGTATCTGTATATATTGAACATCTTTATCCATTTAAAAAGACATTTAATATATAAGATATGATGAATGAAAAATCGTTTAATTGTATTGTTTGATTTGTATCTTTTTTTTTATTTTTTTTATTTTTTATTTTTTTTTTTTTTATGTCTTCCATATGTAGTATATAATAGAAATACATATATACATATGAATATATGTATGTATGTATGCATGTGTGTATAGGTATGTACGTGTGTGTGTGATTTATATATAAATAATAATTTTGGCTTCTAAAATGCATATAAGTTCGATTAAATTGCGTTTAGACAGTATCAAAATAACATATTGATTAAGCATTAAATGGCTCAAGGCCTAGTATCATAAATCGAAACACCAATAAAATAACATAGTACATGATACAGTACGAAAATGCAATATTTTATAAAAAAAAAAAACTAATGTATTTATAAGAGTTTTCAAAACAATTGTACATGGACATACTTTTTTACTTACATTAGAAAAGGTATAGATGGATATCAAAAGAAATTTTTATTTAAAATTTTGTAGGGATTGCAGGTTAAAAATGTATTTAAATAAATGTGAACCTTATCATAATCTAGGTTTTACACTATTAGTAACATTTTTACTCTATAATTACATTTATCCGTGATGGCTACCATATGTTCCATGTATTAATATTAAATACATCTTTCTGCTAAAACGCAGATTAAGAAATACTTCCTTTTTGAGAAATAATATTAGAAACAGAGTATATATTTCAATTTAAAGAATTGTTCACTTATTATTCAATGTTGACCTGTTCATATTTTTCTTTATTATTACTCCTAGAAAGTTAAAAAATGAAAATTACATTTGTAAAAAATATAGTTTACTATCACACAGTGAAACTTTTTTGTACAATTTAATTATTAATTCTAGTATGTCTTTCTACTATTATCTGTAATGTTGTAAACAATGGTTGTATTTATCCATTGCACTTTGTTCAAAACGCAAATATTTTAAATATGGATATAAAAAATGATAAAATTTATACAATATACAATCCATGTAAGAAATTGTACTTTCGTTTGATTATAATTCATTGTTGCAAATTCTTATTTAATTATTATTGTTGTTATTGATATTATTTAGTTATACTATTATTTGTAAGCAAAAATAATTATAATTGTAATCTTTTTTCATCAATGTACAATAGAACTTAAAGGATCAGCTCTTATAGCTGATAGATCTAAACGTGCATCCATCTCGTCATCCAATTCTCCTACAATTGCCCTAAAAGAAGAAAAAAAAATAATTTACTTATTTATTTAGTATTTTTTTAAACATTTATGAGATAAGCGACTATGAATTGTAAATAAAATTAATAATTATATGTATTTTTTTATTGAAATAATTATATGTATTTTTTTATTTTATTTGCATTGTCTGAAACTGCCAGAATAAAAACATAAAATTAATATTTTCTATTTCGTGTATTATACATAATATAACATTATACATAATATACTTAAATTGAATAATTAATGAACAAATTTTTAAAACAAATAAGCTAATATTATGAACAAAAATATCTTTCAAATACACGAAGAATAAATTAAGTTAAATTACTTACACATTATCACCTCTGATAATATGTAAACCTAATACTACTTGCTCTACACCTTGAGTTGTACTATACACACGTTCATGAGACTCGTCTAATATTATATTAATTGTTTGGTCAAAACCCTTCAACGTTCCCTGAAAAATGAAAAATTTTAGTATTTATAATCTCAACATTAAAACAACTACAATGCATTTTGCAAAAAGAAAAAACGGTCTTAGTCATTTATCGACACGAAACATTAAACTGAATAGTCAGTCACAATTATGAAAGATATATTTCTCTACATGACAATACATGTGTAAGAATATTGCAATAATAATTATAATATATAATTAATAAAGAAATTATAACACGTACACATTAGAAATAGTATACTTACGATGAAATTTCTACCATCTGAAGTGATTATGGAAACAGTATCTAGGAAATTGCTAAGGATAAATGTGGCTACCAAAAATAAAATAAACAAGGTAGAAAGACAAGATAAATAAAAGGATACGATTTACATAACTTTCCAAACCTGACGCCATAATCTTAGTTGTTAATTATACATTAAAATAATCTTTCTCATATAATGTCTTCTCTCCAAAATGGGATTTATATACATGCGCGTCGTAGTTGATACTTGTATAACAAATGCGTATCAGTTAATTTACTGCTTTGCAAATGTATACATTACTCGATTACGCGTTTAGGATAGAGATTTTCTGTTACATTAAGAATTATTATTTATCTCGTATATGTCAGATGTTCGGTTCAATCACATACGATCGGAACACCAAATAAAAGCTTAATACATTCACTGTTAAGTAATTTATTTGTAAGGTTCAAGCTGATTGGTAACACGATCATGTAATAAAAGCGTGTAAATATTTTTTTTATTTTACAAAATCGTTATTACAAATTTAACTTAATTAAAGTTCGATGTTTTGATTTTAATAGATGTTAAATATAAAATAAAATAGCTTAAACCGTATTTCAAATAGAACAACTCGAGCACATTTTAGTGAAATTCTGATAGATTTGGGAATTCGTGATCACCATATGTAATTTATTATTGTTATTATGAAGATTATTCCCTTCTATTTGTAAAATCTTAATTTTTATTTTTAAAAAATAATAATAAGTCTGTATTTGTAAAAAGCTTTAGTTACTTTCCAAGTTGTTAAAATATTAAATTTGTAACTAGGAGATATATTAATTTATTGTATAAAAAATAATTCTATCGAAATAGAAACGATGTATACAAAAGCGTACTTTATTGAACATTGTTTTGAACTATCTTTTGAGTTTCTAGTATACAGTACTTACAGTAGCACACCAAATAATTGTTTCTTACCGTGGTAAATTTCGCTTATTGTTCCTCCACTCCAAACAACATGGATTTTCAAACAACAAACACAAGGAGGAAAATATTAAATCATGTAGTCTGTAGTATTTTAGTCGAATGTGGTTACGATACTTGTGAAAAACAAGCACTAGAAGTTCTCACAGAAATGCTACTGTCTTGTAAGTATTTTAATTAATTCTAGTATTTCTAACCTCTCCGTATTCGAAATTTGTCAACTTCATTAAGATATCATTGATTATAAACACAGATGATAAATATTTGTATTATAAATATAAATATAGATTATGTAAAAAATTTATGTGAAGAGAATACTGTTATAAATCTATATAACATAAATATAAAATATATTAAACCTAAATAGGTTATGTGAATGGAAATCAATGTAATTGGATAGAAATTTCAGAAACTGAATAAACACTTATGAGATTATTATTAAACTTATCTTATTATTCACTAGACAGATTTGTAACATGTGCTTAAATTGTTTATAGTTCTTGTAGAGGTTGGAGAATCTGCAAGGAATTACTGTGAACTCTCTGGTAGAACAGAACCGCTTATTGCGGATGTTATAGTAGCATTGGTAAATATGGGTATAAAATTAGATAATTTGGAAAGTTATGGCAAGAGAGCCAATAGAACAGTTTTGCCACCGCTTCAGCAACAAACTCAATCGAAGCAATTAAATATTTTGCAAGCTGGAGTGAAACAGAGTCATCCGTCTCACATACCGAGTTATTTACCAGCTTTCCCTGATCCGCATGCATACATTCGAACACCGGTAAAGTAGTTATGAGAATAAAAATACATGTACTTTTTCAAAGGCTTATACAATTATATTCATTAATATTTTTAGTTACTCTACAATACAGCTTTTAATTACAGCTTTTAATTTACATAACTTACTTATAAACAGACACATAAACAACCAGTAACAGAATACGAAGCAATAAGAGAGAAAGCAGCAACACAAAAACGTGATATTGAAAGAGCTTTAACAAGATTTATTGCAAAAACTGGGGAAACACACAGTCTGTTTTTAACGGAAGATAACAGTATGTTCCCATGTAAGTGGAGATTTTTTTAAAAATTTGTACAAAATAGAAAATTTCTATATAAGCAATACAATGTTTAATTAAGAATTAAATCTCATTTCAGTAATATCATGTAAACCACAATTTCCTAGTTATCTTTCTGCACTCCTTCCGCAGGATCAAATTTTTGAAACTGATCAAGATTTTCAATTTGAACCAAGCCCAATTAAAAAGAAAAAGGAGCAAGAAAGAGAAGAGTTGGAAGAAGGTCTTATTTTACCTTAAATAGATATTAAAAAATTTATTTTGTTATTATTATGGTAAATTAATTTATGATATTTTATATATTTATAGGTATGAAAGGACAAAATGAAGATATTGAACAAAATGGAGAAATTACAACACAACAAGATGCTATAGATAATCCTTACTTAAGACCCGGAAAAATACCAAAAAATAAAATGCCAGGTGCCTCAGTTCCTGGTTTACATTCGATAAAGAGGGATTCTCTTGAATAATGTCTTCAACAACAATGGTATTATTTTAATAAATTTATTATTTCTTAGGTTAATATTGTGTACATAATAATATATTATAAAGTATATTTGACAAACTTTTGTATTTATATTATATAATAAAAATTAATCTTTGTTATAAATAGCTTTATATAAAATTATCTTGAATTATTAAAATGAATATTATATACTGCAAATATTCCACAATTTCACTTTATAAACTGTTATATACGTTCGTATTAAATTTACAATTTTCCTCAAATTATATATTAAATTGATTCCACATACATATTTGGTTTTACATTGCTTACTTTTATATTTTTCAATATATATCAGATCTATATTGCACATATATAGCACCAGTTCGAAAAAAATAAGAATATATTATAAAGACAACTATATAAATCCTCTAAAAAGGATGATTAGATAAAACTTACAAAAATAGATTTCCTCATTATAGTATTGCATGTAAGGTTCCCTACGTATACATATATTGCGGTAAATAGCACCTATTAAAATTATATTCACGCATTCTCATTTTGCAAAAATATATCTTGGTTTCATATGGCATTTTAATAAATGTAGATAAAAATTTGTTATATTTATTAATTGTGCTGATTTTAAATTGGTAGGTCCTGGGTGTGTGGCGCGCACGAACGCGTATGGGAAGTACACTTATTACTAGTAAAAATATATAGTAAATTGGTAATTTGCATAAGGCATAAGCTTTATCATCTCTATATTTTCTATTTCCTGATTCTTAATGAAACTTTATAAGAGAGATAGACTCTGAAGATTGTTAATTAAGCATTCTCTTCAACATATCATCTAAAAATATTTCTCGATTGAGATATATCTCTCAATTCGTATGAAATATGTTTCTAATTGTATTAATCACTAGCTTGTTTGTCACATTATCAACTATAACTTCTACACAATGAATATAGCAGTCAGTATAGTTATAAGTATAAATTATACGATAAAATTTATATCAGTGAATATTTTGAGGATATCATTCAAACATCTAAAATGGATCTGAATATATAAAACCATAAAAACTTAAGTTTACATTCTTTTTTATTCATAATTACTGCTAGAAGTACTGTTACTTAACTTTTTAAAATTTTCAATATTTATTTCTAAAAATTAATTACGAATAAAAAAATCCCATATGTTTTAAATTCCATTATGTACCAGTTTTAAGAATTTGAATGTTATCCCTCATTAGAACACTTTTATGATATATTGTGGAATCGATCAAAATGTATCAAAATGTATTAAGAAATCTTACCCATCTGTTACATTTCACTTTCATTATTGCAATTTTTTTTTTTAATATTGATACCAAGGCTGCCGTCGAACCCAGCGTAATTTCATACCAGATGCGGTACGTATTTTTATGCTGGCACATTCTGCGGCTCGAACAGTTTCTTTTACACTCTGCATAAGGTTTTGAGCATTTCCAACTAACATATCTGTTGCTTCTTGATCTTCTTCAGTACCTGTATTTTAGATGTGAATTATGTATTAAATAGAAAAAAACACTTAATTGAACATAAAATTAAAACACTTAATTGAAAATAAAAATAAAAATCAGTTTTTAACACGCTCATTGTCTAAAAAAATATATATTAAAATACTTCAATGGAGATAATTTTTGTGCTAAATTTAAGTCATTTCATGAAAGTTTCAGAACCAACGTGTTAAAAAATAAGTGTCTATACCTACTATTAAATTTTATAAGTATACTACATTATATGATTAACGTACATAGAATAACAATGAAATAGAAATGGACTATTTATCAACAATTTTAGTATAATGATTCAATTTTTAATACATATACGTTGCGTGCTAAAAAAAAATTATTGCAATTGTAATAAGGAATGTGTAAAAACATAATAACTGATGAATAAGATTGTGTAATGACTCTATTACATTGAAAACTACATGCAAATATGTGAATATGAATGCTAACATTATTCAATGTATAACGGTGCATGTAGGTGTCCATACAAAACATTGTATGTTAAGTCTTCAAAAACAGTATTTCATAAAGGGAACAAGAAAACATATACAGATAAAAGAAAATCATGCTAAAAGAATAAAGTCAAAATATACAAAATTCTATAATAGAGATAGAAATATTCTAATATTCTAAAATTTCTAGAATAGAAATTTTAGACTAATTTAAGTTAATGTTACAAAAACTGCGAATTGTATCACATATAATATATATGAAATATATCTTTCAGAGTATAGTTGCTTCTTAAATTTACACAATGTTAATTTTCACATATTATTTATTTTTAACTATATTTTCTAGGCTAACTTATATTTATTTCATCAACTTACTGCAGCCAATCAATTCGTCTACATCGTGATGAGCAGAGGCATATCAAACGCATCAATAATTAAATTGGAAATTAGAAGATTAAAAAATGAAATACATTTTATAATTTAGAGTAAAAACATTTCATTTGTAAATATAAATATCACAATCTTTCAGTAATTTCTTTTATTGAATATTCTTAAATTTCATATAATAAAATAATATATATAATTGTAATAAATAATAAAAATTTATTTATTCAATTATTTCAGAGACTAAAATATGCATGCATTGTAATGCAAATGCAAAACTGTGGCATGTTCAAACAATTAAAGGAAAGAAATTCTAAAAAATATAATAAAAACATCAAGCATAATTTATCAACATTTTTACCATAAAGCATCAACTCTTCCCAGGTGGGGAGCGTCTCTATGTATGAAAAATGTTATTAATAACTATTTTTTCGTTAATTGGTATTAAAATATAAAACTCCCCAATTTCTGTGACATATTAATTTTTTAATAATCATTAATTATTGAAATTAATTTCAGAGAACTAAAATATGTTTTATTATATATAAAAAATTGAACAATTTGTATACTGTACCTTGTGCACCTAGCATTGTAGCTTTCACTGTTGATAATATTTTTAGTTGTGTACCTATAGTAGGTATCCGTTCGCAAACTTGAAGAAGATTCTATAAAAAAGAATTTATGAAAAATATTAATTCCGTGTCTTATACATTATATATATTATAATAGATAAATTGAATACATACAGTACGAATACGTTTGTCCGTACATTCTCTAGCTAACTCCTTAGCTAAACGAGTTACTTCCTGAGAAGCTTCTGCAATGGCCTTAGCACATGCGATCAAATCCCTTTTATTACCACCTTCTCCTCTAACTAGGCCTGATAATCTGCCCATTAAAATAGCCATTTTCTTCGCAGCAGCAATAATTTCATTATCTTTGCTGGACCATTGTCGTACTTCTTGATGTAAGCCATGGGCAGCCATCTAAAGTTTTACCAAGATTATATGTCGACCTTGCATTTTTGTGAATATAAAATTGAAACATAAATTGAGTATACCATAATAGGCTGATTAGGCTGCGGTGCGTGCATAAACATTTCATCTTCGTCATCTGTTTCAGGCGGTGGAGGTCGTGGAGGTGGAATATCTCCACCAGGCAAAGGTGGACGCGGTGGGACGACTTCTGCTTAAGGTAAAATTATTATTATTATTATTTCTACAAAAAACAATGAATAATAAATTAAATTTAAATAATAAATTCTTTATCAATACAAACAGAGTATACTTAACATAACATAAAAACAATGCACATTTAATTACCATCATCATTGTCGCAATCATAATAATAGACTATTATTCCACGTAGCATTAGAAATATAAGCACATATTAATAATTTTAAATTATGTATTAGTATGATCGAACATGCACCAACAAACATGACAACTATGTAATGGACTAAAAGAAAAATGAACATACTTTTAGTTATTAGAAATAATGAATGCAATTATCGTTAGTATAGAGAAAATGAAAATTATAAATTGTACAACAATAGTATCAATATATAAGCGGGTAAATGAAAAGTAGATTTCTTGATTGATAAAATGTCATGTAAATTATAAAAAACAATAAATTGTTTAATATATTTATAACGAATTTTTAGATGCTTATTAGTATATACGCATATTCATGAAATTCAACGAAAATAAATTCAATGCACTATTATTTCTTTCACTGAACAATAGTTTTTTTCTAATTTAACCCGGAATTATCCACGTGAGGGTCTAGTCGCCGGGATGTACCTGCTCTAGACCCCCAGGTGGGTAATCCCGGGTTAACTTAGAATTGCTTATGGTTCATTCCTTCAAATCCTATTGTTAAAAAAATGCTTTGTAAAACAATGTATATTCAATTTCATTATACACATGCTTTTTCCCCACGAATAATAGAATAATTATTAAGCGTCGGGTACTTGCAATTTTAATCCTCAAAAATATTAGTTTTAAATTACCTCCATCGTGAACTGATTTTTCTAACTCGTTGTCAGAAGCCAGTTCTTGATATAGGAGATCAGGGTTATCTCCTGATAAAAAAAAAATTACTTCCATGTTTTAATATCAGGAAACAAATACTTCAAAAATTTATGTATCTATTTTTACTTTTTGATTCCAGTTATTTGCAAATATTATTTAAGAAGAAAAAAGAAATTTTGTTTGATCTTTTTCAAATAATGGTAAATACCTTCACGTGCCCACTTTGGTAATGGGCTGATAGAGCGATGTTGGGGTTTATTTGTATTTAGACTAGAGTTGATGACACATAAATTGCTTGGCGATGGTTGATTTCTTAATGGTTCACCAACTAGCATTTAAAGAAATATTTTCAAATTTTCTTATTAAAATTACAAAATAATATAAAATAAAAAAAGCTATATTGAGAAATCCTATCTCTCTTAAGTTTTATTAAATATTAAGTTCAAAATGTAAAATAAATTTAGTATTGCACATGATATTTTCAGATTATTAATAATGTTCATTCTAATGCGTATCTAATGAACTTGTAAAAGTAGTATTTAATTATTATAATGTAATAATCAATCATGCATAAATTATCTTCATGCAAATGTATAATACCTTTATCTATGAAGTAATTATATTGACGGCTTGGCAATTGTTTTTCTGGAAGAAATATGTTAAAAATTTTTATGTTACGAAAAAAACAGATATTTGAATTTCGTCTATAAAACTATATGTTATAATAAGCGAATTTCATTTATTTCGTTGGGTAAATAGCTTTTAGATACTTCAAAGCACAAGTAAGTAAAGTATGAAGATAGAACTACGAAAAAACATAGAACTCAATTAATTTTCTATTCCCAAAGAAAGTCCCAAAGCCATTTTTACAAAACATAAAAGAATACGGAATGTACGAATAAATATTTTACACACTTACCATCATTAAGATGTAATTGCGATACCTCTGGTGGAGGTATTAAGTCTGGTTGAATTACAATAGCTTTACGGACTTGTCCAACGTTAGACAGAAGCTACATAATAATAAATAAGTTATTCATAATGACGATAAAAATTAAACTTTAATTCATGTTTTATATTACTCACTGTACGATTACTTTCCCTCCAACGGGAAATTGCATTACTGTCATTGATATTGATTGCAACCAACTTTGCATCTTGAACCATTGGAGCAACACCTAAATAAAAGTAATTTTTCATAAAATTCGTATTTAAATATATTTAAAAAAATTTCAATTCATTAGATTTGTATTTTATGTATTACTTACTGTTTTGAAGAATATCTGTAGCTTGATTCACTCTCTGAATGAATGCGGGATCCTCGCTATTATCACTTTCTTGCTTTGCCACAAGAATTACCCTGTTAGCCAATCTAGCAATGGCAGCTGTATTATCGACCATTTTTTGTGGATGACTCTTTGCTATAGCCTCTTCGCACAGGAACGAATGCTTTTGCATTTGTTCCTCAGAAGTTCTAATGAAATCTCCACTGTCAGTTGCTTCGTCGCACAATGCACGTGCTCTTTGCATCGTTTCGGCATATTGCTGTCGCAAATTTTCGAAATGTTCATCTGCAGCTCTACTGTCCGGGTAAGTCATTCGAATTCGTCCGGCATTAATTAATTGCGGTGTTAAAGATTCAACTTGCGAAGCACTTGCAGTCAACGCTTCTGCTAATTTTTTGTTACCTCCACTACCTAGAATTTTATAATAGGATTATAGTAAGATTTTACAAGATTGTAGTAAGATTTTACAACAGAATTATAATAATAATACGTCCACGTACCACCAGCGGCCACCATTCTAGCCGTTTTTGCTGCCCTGTTGGAAAATGTTTGAAGGGCATGCGTTTTATCGTTGAAATTTTGCTCACGGCCTAAAGTGCCTTCTGGGGCTAACACAGCGTCCGTGAATTGTTTTAAAGGTGTCGTTATATCGATGAAATCTTCGACCACTCTCGATATAACAGCTTGTTGTATTCTGTTTTTCAATTCATACAGTTTGTGCGACAACTGACGCGCGATTTCTTGGGCACGAGGTGTATTTCCTTGCCCATGAGCACATAAATCTCCAAGTTGATGGGATAGATTGTCAACCTCATCGCAAAGTTGCAAAATTTCCGCTTTATGTATGCCTGGCAGACCCTCGGCAACCTAATGTTCAGATTAATTAATAAACATAAGGAAGTTCATAGCATGTATAAATACTGATACCGACAGTATAGTTGAATTAAATTCTTATCATTAGCATTTTAGAAGCAATATTCAATTTATACAGCGTAACTTACGCTTGCTACGTGTTGCTGATTCTTTCCATTTGCGGCATTTAAATTATTAAAATTAAATGATAAAATTTTGCACTAACTATAATGTATCCTCACATTCGTTAAAAGGAAAGAAAAAAATGAAAGAAATACTGTAATATTCAATTTATACATATACCTTCTTTCCTTCCTGTATAATTAAAGCTATAGCTCTTTGACCAAGTCCTTTGTCATCATGTTGCGGATTAAGAAGCCATTTATTTGCTTGCTCTAGACGACCTGCAACTGTGTGGGCAGTTTGCGTGGTTCCAGACTTATCAGCAGCAACTATAGCGGAGGCAATAGAGCTGCGAAGTTCGTTTGTTTTTTCTTTTATACTACGTGCTAAAGCTTCCGCTTGCGGCGTAGTTCCTGTGAGAGGAAAAATTTAAATAGAACAAAAAAAAAAAATTACATTTATAAAACATATTTTATACTTAGATACAATTATGTTTATGCAAACCTTTTTCATTTTGTCTTAGTTCACAAAGTGCGTTGGTCATAGTAACAATTTGCGAAGTCAATTTTTGCAATGGTTCTGCCTGTGAAGGCGGAAGATATCTTTCTGCTAATCGTTGTGCTTGTTCAACTATTTGACGAAGACTCTTTTCTCCTACTCCACCGCGCAAAGCAAGTCCATCATCTAACCAATCATAAGCGGCTCTTATTCTAGATTCAATAGCACTTTGTGCCTTTTTTAATACCTTAAAGAAAGGAATAGAAAAGTATGAAAGAAACATTCAAATTTTAAATTCTACATTAATCGCTACATACTGTTAATTGATCAGCATCCCATTCTTCTTCATCATAAGTTGTAAGTTGCAACACTCTAATAATTTCATTTAACTCATCTGACATTCTGCCAGCTAAATAATTACGATTCTCAGCTGCTTCTTCTGCACCTTTACTTCCTTGAGAGATAATGTGAATAAATATTTTCATAGAGCAGATGAGGATTGGTGCAAGTGTTTTTACCTGTTACATATTTCAGTTATCAAAATTAATAAACTTTATGTATACATCAATTATTTTTTTACTTACCTGATCTAAACAGCGCACTAGAATTTCTCTGTGAACTTGATGAGTCAACTCTTTTTCACGAGCACTTACTTCTTTTGATACTTTACTGAGGCATGGACTTAAATTTTTAAGAAAATGAACTAAATCTTCCATTGTTTCAATAACTTCTGTGACCGCCAAATAGTCTAATACCCTTTTACATTCTCTAATAATTTTACGTACTTCACTTTCATCAAAACACAGCAATAAGGAACTAGTTCCCTGAAGGATACCACGTGAACCTTCTATAAGCTTTTTCCTAAAAAAAAAAGATTAGATTGTATTTTTAATATAATAAATTTTTTTTATATTTTTGACTTTGTAGGATTGTAAAAGTAATTTTGTAATACAAATTTTGTCCTAATTTTAATACCTAGCTGGTCCAGAATATGGGTCTTGTTTCAACATAGCAGATGCCTCCTCCAAGAGACGCGAAGCTCCTTCAACTCGTTGTAAAGCAGCAGGCATATCTTGTTTAAGTAAAGCATCATCAGAGGAATTAATTGTTTCTTTCCCTACCTATACATTAATAAAAAATTTAAGACAGAGTAAATAAATTACTTTAGCAAAAAATTTAATTTCAAAGATTAATTTACCTTAACAAGATTTGCTACTGCCATACTAACTGCTTGCACAGGCCTTCCCAAATCAGGCATTGCATTTCCATCTTCAGCTTCTTCATGTAAGATGACAAGCCTCGAAACCTATGTTACATTGGTAAACAAATTTTTGCAAAATAAATTTGGAAAATTAATATAAATTATTAACTTATTTTTTACAATTATTTTTACTTCATATATTTAAAAGATAAACAAACATTTCTTGCAAATACATATTCGTAATAAAAACAACTTAATCTATGCTTGAATTAGGTACAAAGAAAACTAAATAAGAAAGGAAGTTTGTAATAATTATATATTTAACATATTTAACTTTATACATAACTTTAACATATTATATTAATATATTTAACACAAACAAATCGAATAGCAAAAATTGACAATATACAATGATTTCAAAATAAAATGTATTCTAAATAATTTTTAGTTCAAAATATATACCTTGATATGTTAAATATAAATATAATAACAAATTAATTAATTTGTGTTTATTTTGCATTAACATTGAAGCTATATCAATTAATATATCCTGAAGGACATCCAATTCAGAGGACATTGATAATTTCATATGTGTAACATGTGGGATGATCTGAGGATTGGCAGACTGAAACATGTCCTTTTTTGGAAATACAAAGTGATCTTGGTCTAGATTACATAGTTTTTCATAATGTGTATGTAATGTCGGATTGAATTTCATTTAAGCTAAGCTTGTACACCAAAAGATGAATTTAGTATCTCTGCCCTATATTTGTGAAATGATGTCATAGTTCTATATAAAGAAGGACAAGTCATTTGGTAAATCTGTCACAATAAGTATGCACCATCGTTCATAAGTAATTAAAGTTAAAATAAAACGTTAAAATTATAAATTACTTTATTAACCAATTAAATAATATATATTACGATTAATCAAATAATATATATTTAATAAATAATGCTATTATCTTACTATATAGGTCTGACAGATTCAAAAATGTATACATATTTTTTGCAGGTGAATTAGACAGAATATGAAAGATATTTGTAGCGTGTTTTATATGTACGTGTATGTTATGACAAGTAAATTATTTTTTAAAGACAATGATATCTTTTTTTTTATTTTCCTTCTTTCTGTACTCAAACGAAGAAATGTTGATGGAACATAATGTTACCAATGACCCTACAAGTGTAATAGTTGAAAGATCGAAAAATAAATATATTTACCTGCTGTGCGACAGGTTCAAGAATACTTTCTATGGTTTTTGTATGGAATACCGGCATTTTAGCAGCTTTTGTTACGTGAAAACGTAAAAATACCGATTAGAACGTATCCAGATGAAACGAATTTGATTGAAAATTCAACAAAACAATTGCACACGAAAACATCAACAATAAGAACTAAACGAAATTATTTCGCGAAGTAACACGAAACAACTTATCCGACGTACTAGAATGAGAGAGTACGTAATTCTAGCCGTGAATGGATCACGATTAAGAATTACGATTGTACTATTCGAGAAAATCGTATCGATATAGAGAAATTTAAAGAACTTTGCGTGTTCGCCTTGATGTATAACAAACTGGGTTATTCGAATTTCTAAAATTTTATGAAATTCTGAAACAGAGAATTCTTCAAGAGAAATATTAAAATTATTGATAATAAAAATTTTTCTTTTTATCCTAAAAGCCCAGGATTATAATGATACTAAACTAATTTCAAAACGCTGGGGTTTTACAACGTTTAAAACTCCTGCCAAAATCTTAGATCAGATCATTAACTAAAAATAAAATAGACTGGACAAGTAATGATTTCGTGTCTTAGAGTCTGAAATACCGACCAGGAAAAGAAATCAGTAAAGCATTGATTGTCTGGTCTATCTTTAGTCAATAAACAAATTCGTAACCATTTTCGCGATTTATCAAGGCGGATACACAACACGACATTCTGAAGTTAGTTTTTCGGAATACTTATAAGTCGTACGATCTCATCTGAGAGAAAACAACGTACTCTTATGTTGCTGACAATTATTAATTATATTTTAATTATTAATTAAAATGTGTAAGATTTTTGAATTACAAATTACAGAACAAAACTTTAAGATTTGCAAATTTATTTCCAAACGTTATATTACATTTACAAATTTTAATTTTATGTCAATTTTATGTCAGCAGAGGTTAATGGATTAAACGAAATAATTCATATCAATCCGTCACAAAGAATATCGCAGAAAACGTCGAAACTTGGCTTGTATCTTATCGGGATAACAGGTAATATAACAAAAAATGTATTAATATCCATAAATATGATTTCGTATAACTTTCTTTTCAGGAGGCATTGCAACAGCTATCAGTGTAATATGTATTCCATTTGTGAGCCCTGCGTTTCGCAAAGTATGTTTACCTTATGTACCAGCAACATCTCAGCAAGTAAAAAATGTGTTGCAAGCTTTAGAAGGACGTACCGGTTCTTTGATTGATCTTGGAAGTGGAGATGGACGTATAGTAAATATTGCTTTATTATACAACAATTTCATATGTTGCTATATTGTCAAAGTATAAAACTATAACTTTATGCACAGGTTTTTGCAACAGCAAAAGCAGGATTTAAAGCCCATGGGATTGAATTAAATCCTTGGTTAGTATGGTACTCCAGATTGAAAGCTTTAATTAATAAATCGTCATCACAAACCAAATTTATAAAACAGAATTTATGGAAGCATAACTTAGAAAATTATAACAATATCGTCGTATTTGGTGTTGATCAAATGGTAAATTTTGTTTGTTATTTTTTATTTTGTTTTGTTATTATTTTTTATAATTCTGTTCTATAGAATATAGCGTAGCATAATACTTGCAGATGAATGATATTGAAGCAAAATTTATTAAAGAGTTACAAGAAGATTCTATCATAATTGCTTGTAGATTTCCACTCCCTACTATAAGTGAAATAAAAACAATTGGTGAAGGTGTTGATACTGTTTGGGTATATAAAATTTCAAAAAGTTTAAAATAGTATAATTAGATATAAATTGAAATATTTATAAATGTTGTAAATATTATATAATTATAAATAAATTATTCTTTATAAATCATGATATACATTATAATTAGTTTTCAACAGACTATCAAATAAATAAATTTTTATATTGTATATGTAAAATTAGTATCTATATACATTTTTACTACTTAATTACATATTATATATTCATATAGCATTCATATGGTTATATTCATACATATAATTTTAATAATCTTAATTTTATAATTGTATTAAATTATATTAACTAATATAATATAATATCAATTGTATTATAATATTTATAAAATTTAAATTTGGCTTTTAATATTGCGTAATGAAAAATTGTGCTACTAAATTCAAAAATCCAAATATTGGAATACTTATATGCAATAACGTAGAAAATATCGTCAATCTTTTTTGTTGTTTCAAAATTGCCAGATATAATAAATTTGGTAAAGTAAAAATATAAATAAAACCACTCAAGGCACCTGTATATCGTATTATTGTACCAATATATGGTATAAACACTGCGAACAAAATGCATATAGATACTAAAACAACATTGATTAAAATAACATAGCTTGTATTAAATGTTTTACATATTGATAGAAGTAATTGAACACGTAGCATATATGCAAGTAATGGATAAACAGTTAATAATTGAAACAGAAGAACAATTCGAACACCTACTGTTAAGCCATTCCATTTTTGAAAATTATTCAATAAATTCTGTAAAAAAAAAACTTAATTTTATTTTTCTTTTTTTTTCTAGTAGTATATTTTGTTGTTTAATTTAATATTTTACTTACATCTTCTATGCATAACTTGCTCAATGGAAAACAAATATAAAATACTACACCTACTATAATATAAGTTGAAGTAACCAGAAGATAAGCTATTGAAAGGTCTCTTCCCTGAAAGCCAAAGACAAAATTTCTCAATAATTTAATTGAATTTATAAAGAAAAAAAAATAACATTATTTACATTTTTGCTTTGATCATGATTATTCTGCATTATAGTAATTATAATGTTGTGAATGAAAAATGATAATGCCAACATTCCAGAAAGTGCAGGAAATGATAATTTCAATGTCCAACTTGTGGTCCATTCTATTTCATTCATATTAATACCCCATGAGTATGATTTAATCAAAACAAAGATAATTAAATATATGACTGACATAGTTCCTATGAGATATACAAAATCATAATTTCATAAATTAAATAGATCTAAAGAAAATGTTAAATCATTTGCATACTTACCAAGTGAATTAAATTTTGTAAAGAAAGTTGGACTATTAAAATTCAAAAATGGAAATATTAATAAACCAAGAAAAATAGGAACTGTTTTATATAAATCCCAAAATGGTCCTAAAGTATTGTACGTATAATCATGAATCACTAAATTTGTGCTATTATAGATTATTCTTTTTGGACATAGCACTAGAATGAAAATAAATAATTATATTAATCTTATAATGTATGTAATGAATAAAATATACTTACCTTCTGATGCATATGAAGTATTATCATTTGCAGAATATTGAGATACTATACTATCTATAAAAAAAAGCATTAAATTTTTGAAATTTATATAAAAAATACAAGTATTTTATATATATTTCCATATATTACCATATATGAAATTTACAGAATTATATAAGAAATTAGACATTAGGATCCAATAAGCTATTGTTGCACCTAGCAAAACTGCTATACTAAAAGTTTTGGCAATATATTCTACCCATTTGTTAAGATATATCCGACATAACTGAATTACCTCAATACCCTTTTGTCCACCTAAAATTAAGTAATATCATAAGTATATTTCTGTATTAAGTCTTCAAAATATAAATAAAAAGAATGAAATATTCACTACCATAATATTTATGTACAAGTAGAAGACAATAAGCAGTATATAGACACAAACCACTCATTACAAGTATTAAAATAATACCAGGGAAGAAACCAGCCATTTGAATACCCCATGGTATTGTTAATAAAGAGGAGCCTAATATTGTGTTCCATACTGAAAAGCTATAATACATAATATATAATATATAATTACAAGTATTAATCATTTATTCAAAATACAAAATATATAAAATACAAAAATACAAATAAAGAGACTTAAAAGTCACAATTCTAAAAACATTAAGATATGGTAATGATTACTGATATTATAACAGTGTGGATTGCCTATATATAAATTGCATATTTAAAAAATTTTTTTTGTCCAAATATTCTGTAAATTGACACTAAAATACTAACGACTAAAAAAATATATTATATATTATTTACTTTATATATATATAATTTTTTATTATATATTATATGTATGTATTTACAGATTATATATATGCAAAGAAACAAATAAGTTATTATCTACATTCTACATTATACATGTATTTTACAAAAGTTACAAAAATATCCTTTCGTAAATCTACAAAATTTTTTGGGAAAAAAACTATAAAGCAAAAATTGTTAGCTTTTTAAAAACTTTCGTATTAACGTAGCATTCTACATTATACATATATTTTACAAAAGCTACAAAAAGTTCCAAAAATATCCTTTCGTAAAAATCTACAAAATTTTTGGAGAAAATTATAAAGTAAAAATTATTAGTTATTTTAAGAACTTTAGTAACTTTTGTATTAATATCCATCGAAATTGAATCGCAGCATCTCATGTGGTTAAGTACTAGCTACGGGCATTGACCTTTCGGGTGGTCGTCTGTTACCCAGGCAACCGACGGAGCACTAACCCCTTCTAATGTGAATATACCGTGTAGTCGTCACAACCACCCGATGGTGGTCGAAACGTGAGCGACTATTAACCATGTTCGTTTAATAATCCTTCGTTTTCACATCTTAAAACCATGCATCCACCTTCATCTGTTACATTTCTTCTTTTCTTTCTTCTTTTTAAAGTGAAATAACTTAACATACCAATGTACATAACTTAACTAAAGTTTCTCTGTTTTATGTTATCATTAGATGTGTGCTTTTAAGATGTGAAAACGAATGATAGTGTATTCAACTCTTAAATGTTAATTGAAACACCGTAATATATGTAAATAGTAGTGAAATTTAATGCCAGAGAAATAAGTTTTAAAATCGTTTGAAATTCAATTTTAATGAATGGAATTTCGATTTATGTAAGTAAGTTCTTTTTTTTAATATGATATGATGATGTTTTATGACAATGAAATGTCAAAATTTAGATATTTCATTAGTTTCATTAATATTCATTAGTTTTACTAATTTCTTTTGTTTTTAAATTTCAAGCCAGAAAATTAAAAATTTGGAAACTCTTAAACTATTAAAAATTCAGCGAAAACATCATAAATAATGTGTAATTTATACAATTGAATGTGCAATTTAAATAGATTGAGGGCATGAAAATTGTTATTAATTATGATATAATATAAGTTGTTTTTTATATGCATCTATCAGATGTGAGGTGAAGAATGAGGAAAATGATGGAATTATGATAATAATGATGTTGTTAAAAAGAAGCAAATTATGTTTTCCACGTTCAAAATGCATATAAGGCATTTCTGATGCAAGATCTCATTTTTCTCTCATCATCGACCTACTAAAAATATGACTACCAAGAGATAACAAAAAATTTATGAACGTGATTAGATTTCTGAACAGTGTACTAAGAGAATTGACCCAGAACCCTTTCTTGATGATAACATGATAGCTGATAATAATTTATAATTAATACTATATTATGCTATTGGTGCTAAATTTATCAGTGCAATTAGCAAAAACTTTCTTTTGCTAATCAGCAATCATGTGAAATGTAAGATTCTAGAAATATCACTCTATAATTCTAAAATAACATAATCCAATATGAATAATTAAATATTATTTTTACTTACATTGTGACTAGAGAGCTTTGTTTTGATTTAACATCCTTGCATGTTTCCACAGTTTCTACAGTTTCCTATTACAATAAGATCTATATATATAAGACCAAGATCTAAGAAATTTATTTGTAATTTGTTCTGCTTGAATGAAGGCTGCTTGTATTTTAGTTCATATATTTTTACTATTACAATATATACAATAAGATAAAAATTTTAAAAATCTTAATAAACTTTTACAACTATTTTAGTACTACTAAGAATTTTAAGCAAATTTTACAACTATTTTAGTACTACTAAGAATTTTGAGCAATATTTTTTTGCTATAATAGAATTTAATGATTGCAGTAGAATTGAATTAAAGATAGTTAATATTATTTCCATGCATTTCAAACTATCTAGCCTTGATATGAATATTATAGCAGAACACACAACTTTATATTGTTTGTGGTATTCTCACCAGATCAGTATTATGGATTTCATAACATCTGTCTTGTGTTACATTTAAGAAGGAAGAGGTATTTAATATTAAAGGTGTAACTAAAGTATGATCATCAGCAAGGGGTGGTGGTCTCTTTGGTACTTGAATAACATTAGAATGTTGACTACAACTTCCTAAACTACCATACCTATGAAAGACATTTATGATAAACAATTATTATTTATAATAACATTGATAATGACTTAGCAGCAAAAGCAGTATCATCTCATTTATAATAAACTAATTCATTTATAATAAACAGAATTGTTAAAAGATAATAAGAAAAATTTAGTACTTGAAATAACTATTCATAGAAGTACTGTCTAAATCACTAGTCTCAGAGTTTTGAAATATAATAGGCTCTATACTAGTGTGAGATCCTGAAGAAAATAAAGGTGCGCTTTCAGATCCACTGTCGTGCTGTATAATGCAAGGTTCCCAATCATTCATACATTTATACATGTTATATTTAATTTATGCATATGCATGTATATCATATAAATGAAACTATCAAAGCAAAAAACATATATTATTAAACATTTACATTATATATTCTTAATTGTATATGACACAAAAATTACTTACTTGTAATACGTATCATTATATGCATTCATATAAAACGCAAAAGCTTTTTGAAATTCATACAAAAACTTTTTGAAATTTAATGAACCTTAATGTTTATAGAAAGTATGAACTAAGAATTAAGCAGATAAAACTTTTAGAAATTTTACGTTTTTGTTGTTTATTTAATATTTTTGACAGTGTGTGTAAAAGTATCAATTGAAAACCATAAATCCATATATATTTAAAGATTTCACTTATTTTTAAGATAATATATAATTATTCTATAAATAATACATCCTATAATATAATTTATAATCCAACTTTTTAAGCATTCACACTTTCACGAGTGAAACTTCAGGAAAACTTGATTTAAACAACTAAGCGTCTGTTTTGTAAACCCGCGTTCTTATATCGGACATCCTTGACATAACAAGCTCCCTCCTCCTTATTTTTCTTCACTAATGCTGATCAACAGCATAAGTAAATCATCATCTACGCGTGCGTGCACTTAAACTTTTTTTCGCCTACATTTTCGAATATTCCAAAGAAAAAAGATATCGTCTAATTAGAGAAGATAGAAAGGATTCAAATATATCTTTTCATTTAGAAAAATAGTTAATCTCTTCTTCGATATTATGTATGATTTCTTTATACTTTGTAATTTTAATATATATTGTTTATCAGAACTGTATAAAATGTAAAAATAATCCATTAAATAAATATTTGATAAGCAAAATTTTTCAGTTACAATCTTTACAAGTTTACAAGTCTACTTCCTTATCAGACGCGTAGTCGATAATTTTAATCTTAAAATAGATAATAGAAAATAGGTTTTTACAATTAAGATAATATTCTTTAAATATTATGCGTTAAATTAATTACGAATAAAAAGTGAACATAAAAGAGTCTCTTTTGTTTAGGATTGTTGATGATTGGCTTGCTTGATCATATTTTGGTCGTAAAAAAAGTGTAATATCACTTTAGCGTGGCATTATTAACTCAGGAATGTTGAATCATGTCCTTTCTTATAGACGAGAATATTCTGGGAAAAATTTGTGTACGCTGAATTTAGATTTATTTATTTAAGACAATAGTGTGATAAGGTTCATTTAATTTATCATTTTTACTTATTTACCTTGAGTGATTTACAGTATACGGGAGTTATCGCTAAAAATCAATAAGACGTTAAACATAAACTATAATCATTGAAATTCATTATCAAATGTCCTATTATCATTGTTATACCATATAGAATATTAGTGTATCGCGTTTGAAAGATCTATCGTCATAAAGCTGATATTATTAGTCGGTGGTAAGGCGCGGGCGCAGTGTTCCAAGATGGGTGACCCGTGCCCTTGTGTGTCATTGGTAGACAAAGTTCAGTCTGCTAGCAGACACCGAGGACGTGTTATGAAATTCACGAAACTGAAATCTTTCTCTATTGTTTGAATACAGATACGGAAATAATTATATATTTTATTCCAGTTGATGCTACGTCAAGTGTAATATTTGAAAGATGTCAAGCGCGGTGACGAGCAAAATTATAGAAACCCGAGTATATGATGGGCAAAAGCCGGGTACGTCCGGATTGCGAAAAGCCGTACGGATATTTATGCAAGAACATTATACGGAAAATTTCATTCAAGCAATATTACAAGCTCTTGGAGAACAATTGCTTGGTAGTACATTAGTTGTTGGTGGCGATGGAAGGTATTATGGGAAAGAGGTAGTTAGAAAAATCATCAGGATTGCAGCAGCCAATGGAGTAAGTTATCTAAGCCTATTATTAATATACATTTGATTCACTCGCTTGATATAAAGCTTTGTATTTTATTTGATTAAACAAGTTTTTTATTTTATTATTGTGGTTATGTATCATTTATTTTAATCATTATTGCGCTAGGTAAATAAATTAATAGTCGGGCAAAATGGAATACTTTCGACTCCAGCTGTGTCTACTATAATAAGAAAATACAAAACTTTAGGGGGAATTGTCCTAACAGCATCTCATAATCCTGGTGGACCTGACGCTGATTTTGGTATTAAGTTCAATTGTGAAAATGGTGGCCCTGCTCCAGATAATGTCACAAACAAGATTTATGAGATTACTAAAGTGCTCAAAAATTATAAAATTATACCTGATATAGCCATAGATATAGACAAGATACATAGTACTACAATTCAGGTGGATGGAAATCCATTTACAGTAGAAATAATAGATTCTGTAGATGATTACTTAGAACATATGAAGAATATCTTTGACTTTTCTAGTATTAAAACATTATTGCAAGGAAGTAATGATCATCCTGCTTTTAAAGTTCTTATCAATGGAATGAATGGAGGTACGTTAAACTTAATCAATAAATTTAATTATTTGATATTTATTGAATATTATTTAATAACTTCTAGTCACTGGTCCATATGTAAGACGAATATTTAGTCATGAATTAGGTGTTAGTGAGTCAAGTATTGTTAATGTAACTCCATTAGAAGATTTTGGTGGACTTCATCCTGATCCAAATTTAACATATGCCAAAGATTTAGTGGATGCTATAAAAAATGGTCCATATGACTTTGGTGCTGCTTTTGATGGGGATGGAGACAGAAATATGGTAAATAATATATTTAATTAGTATGAGAAATAATGATTAATATGAAAGCATATAAATTTATGCTTAACGTCTTTGTAGATACTAGGCAAAAATGCTTTCTTTGTTACACCTTCTGATTCATTAGCTGTGTTAGCTGCCAACTTAAATTCAATACCATATTTTAAAAAGACTGGTATCAAAGGATATGCTAGATCCATGCCAACAGGTGCTGCAGTAGATAGAGTTGCAGCTAAAACTGGTGTTAAATTATATGAAGTACCCACAGGCTGGAAATATTTTGGTATATGTTAATTTTTGCACATGTCTTTATAATGTATTTTGAATATTGAATTACTATGCTTTATCACTAAAATATTATGTATAATGTAGGTAATTTAATGGATGCTGGTCATCTGTCACTCTGTGGAGAAGAAAGTTTTGGGACAGGTTCAGATCATATTCGTGAAAAAGATGGAATATGGGCTTGTCTCGCGTGGCTTAGTGTAGTTGCAAATCTTGGAAAGTCTGTAGAAGATATATTATTAAATCACTGGCAAACATATGGAAGGAATTTCTTTACAAGGTATTATTTTTATCATATTGTTTATGATTAATTATTGTACTCTATTTTATTTTGTAAATAATGTTCTAATTTTATCATTGTAACTAGGTATGATTATGAAAATTGTGATTCTGAAGCTGCAAATAAAATGATGCATCACATTGAATCAGAAATACAGAAACCTGAATTTACGGGTTCAAAATTAACATCTGGAAGCAAAGTATATGTTGTAAAATTAGGCGATAATTATTCGTATGTAGATCCTATTGATGGAAGCCAAGCTAGTAAACAGGTATTGTATATATCTATAAATCTATCTATAATTATATCTCTAAAAATTATCTATAAATTCCATATAATATAATAATATCGTAACAGTATGGAGTACTATATAATTTTATGTAACAGGGATTAAGAATTCTATTCCAAGATGGTTCTCGTATAATTTATCGTTTATCTGGTACGGGAAGTTCTGGAGCTACTATTCGTGTGTATGTTGATAGCTATGAAGATGATCCAGCATCTTTAAACAAAGATGCTCAAGAAGTTCTTAAACCATTGGTTACTATTGCGTTAGAAATAAGTAAATTACGCGAATTTACTGGTCGTGATGCACCAACCGTGATTACATAATACGTAAGTTCTTTATCGTTATCAAATCGTACATGCATAAAACAAAAAAAAAAAAAAAAAAAAAAAAAAAAATTGTTTCACATTATAAGCAACTTGTATAATGACATTATGAGTTGCAATTATTCAAAAAATCATTACATAAACGCATACCATGTATGAATTACAAGTTCGATAAAATTCTTCCTAAAATTGTATGATATATAGATAGAATTGATATAACATTCAATAATAAATATTTATATGATTTCGATATGAAATTAGAATATCCATTACAGTAATAGAATTTAATTATGAAATATCGTAAAAAATTTTTTAATGATGTAATTCATAATGTCGCATGTACGGACATCAAATAGCTTAAAAAAATATCCAATGTTAGGAAAATGAACGATAGCGTGTTTCGTATCTTTTTATACAAAATGTTTTCAAATTTTTCATTTTCAACTATACAAATATTAACTCTGGTATGGTTATTATACTAAAAAATAATTTACTAAAACAAAATTATATATAGGAAAATCCAAAGGAATATAGAATCAGTAATAAATCTAAGATCACGCGCATCTTTATACGTGGAACTGTTGTTTGCCAAAAGTGTTCAAGCATGCATAAAGATGGGAATAGTTTAACCCTTCATTATTTGTATAATGTTACATGAAGCTATAAAAAATACTTTGGTTAGTCATACTTTTAAGTTTAAGATTAAATATTGGTTTTAAAATATAATTTTTTTGTTATGAAAAATATTAAGTATAATTATAATTGAATCTTTAGACAAAGAATCCATATATATAACATTGTACAATTTTTGTCGAAGGGTTAACAAAAGAAATGTAACTTCAATTATGATTGAAAATAATATATCATATTATTGATTTTTAACTATGTTTTTATTTGTTTTATGATTCTTTTCTTTTTTTATTAAGATGACGGTTGCTCGTTTTAATGAGATAGGAACAAAGTTTGCTATGAATTTCGCATTATTTTTACAGTGCTATAAAATATAATTCAGTATAATTTATATAAATGAAAGTACAACATATAAAAAAATTTATGTAAAATACTTTATTTAAAGACAGTTAAAAGCTCAATACAAATTGCACATGAAAGATGTAAATAATTGTAAAATGTTAATTTTTATAATTAAAATAGAAAATTTATTTTATACAGAAATGTTCAAAACATATATAGTTTATTTTTTATTATCTATAATTGATTTATCAAAATTCTATATTGTAAAATATGTATATTTAAAAATTTTAAATATTAAATTTCAAAAATTTTTTTTAAATATTTAGTTTTATAGATGCCAGTTTCGTTTAATTGGAAAATATTACTAGCTTTTTACATTACATTATTGCTGTATATTTTTATTAGCCATTCTTCGTATTGATAATTACTTCAAATGACCATGTAATGTATTTAGTTCTATTTTACTTATTTATATAGCATAAACAAAATAATTATGATATACATTTTTTGTTTTATGCTTTAATTATAAAACGAAATACGAATTGATAAATTAAACCTAAAGCAGGGATGCATGAAGACAGCGCTGTTTCAAATTTCCAAATATCATGGGAGAAATATTTTTCAATATCATGATTTAGTGAAATTTGAAATTATGAATATATTAGTGTAGATTGAAAGTTTTTGCTAATAAGATATTCAGTATATTACGATAATGGCGTATGGAAATAAATATAAATAACTTTTATATAAATTTTTTCATTTTGCAATTTTATAAAATATGCTGAATATCTTATTCAAATTAATTGATAGAATAGAATATACCTAAAAATTTGTAAAAATAAAATCAATAAGATCGTGAAAGTGTAAGTGATAAATGCAAGAAAAGATATAAAACTTAATTGGTATATGTAGCAAAATTTATAACTGATATAATTAATTGAAAAATTATTATAAATCTTACGATATAAAAAGTTATTATTTTTCTATACGCATTACTTTTTTATTAATGTAATATTTTCGGAGTATTTTGCTCTTTTTTCCAAATATTATATTATATTCGCAATGAAAATAAAACTCTGAAAGGAAAAATATTATAGAAATCTAATTCAGAAGTTTTAATTTACGAAAGTATATTACAAGATCATTCATGTCAATTACATTTATTCATATTGCATATAAAGTTTTAAGTAATGGCAGTATGCAGCAATAGATATTTATGGAAGTGGAATGTATTTCATAAAATGAAATTATGATATCGTATTGATATATTGGTGAAAATTTTGAACACATTGTAACTGCAGTACTTTTTGAAAGAAATTTAAGAAGAATTTTGTAAATATATAGTTAAAGGAAAGGAGGATACTTGGGGACCTGAGTCGATGCAACGCCTATTCAATTTCATAGTTACATCATAAATATGAAAAAAAACTAACTCATTTATACTCAATATCTTTGCTATTTCATTATTAATTTGTACATTGTCGATTATTGTTAGTGATTAATATATTGTAATATATTAATATATGTACACATGATATTAATATATTAATGCATTAAGAAAAAAAAAACAAAAAATTGAAATATAATTAACAAATAGATGAATTGATCTATTAAAGTATAAATGAATTATTTTTTGGATAACAAATTTTTTATCCATGTTTTGTGATGTAACATGAATATGTAATACGGCAATGTGTCATAGAGACCAGCAATGACTGCCGATTTTAATGTAAAACTATTAACATGTAATATGTATATCATATTGAAATACTAATTATTCATTGTAGGTATATGAATGAGTGGTTCTTCATAAACACGTGGTCTTAGATTTCAAACAAACAGAGATTACAAATTGTTAAATATTGCATGGATTTTTCTTCATTTATTAATATCCTTTCTTACGTGATGCTTACGTTATTACGAATATTTATTTAACTGATTAAATTATAAGAAAAGCCATATCAGAGATGCATTGCAGAACAATATATTATTTCTGTAAGTTCTGTATTATGAAATACGTGCGTTGTTCGTTATTAAAAGGAAGATTCTAATCTATGCTAAACATAAGACATAAACGGCGTTGTCAAGCGAATTTCTTCATGAGGAAATGTACGACGTACATTATACCACTGTCATTCTACTCACTTGCGCACGTCATGCGACGAATTATGTCTTACGTAATGTAAACTACCATTTATAATCAAATGTTTTTTCAATAAAAAAATGTACATGGTATTTTCTTTCAAGAAAATAAATAATAAACTATTCAATATAAATTTTTTAAACAAGATCATTTTAAAAATAATGAAATTTAATAAAAATACGGAACGATATTTAAAAGATTATTTATTTATATAATTATTGTACAAAACAATCTTCCTTTTTGTATCAGTTACTAATAAAAGTAATTTTATGAAAATTTTAAACGTTATAAATATTTTGTAATCATATAAATATAAATAGAATATAAATAAAATATAAATACAAATAGAATATAAATAAGGTACGAAATAAATAGGAATGGAATACAAAATTTAACAATCGCTATCGCTATCATTTATCTCATTAAATATAAGAATATTTATAAAGTTCTCTGATATATGTTTTTTTTTCGTAAATAGAGTAATTGAATATGCTTAACATATCATCAATAAGTAGTTAAAATAATCAGTATTTATCAAATTTATTTAATATTATTTAGTATTATTTAGTACATACAGTAAATTTGGTTTAATCAGTATTTTTCAGTCGTCTACTAATCTAACTATAATATAAAACAAAAGTCAACCGTTATTTATTTTCCCATCTACATACACTGAAGATTATAGATTCTATAATACAAATCGTCACATCATTTAAGTATTAACTTCTTTTTCTTATTTCTTTTACTGGTAACGTTGCATATAAACAATCTAAACCTGATTACTTGAATAAAATGTGACTGTATAGGAGTATACTAATAATTCTACGATTTTTAATAAATCGATCTTTACCGAACGAATATTTTGTTATATAAAATTACTCTTTGTAAACATTTTTACTTCCGGTTTGATGTGATCCAAAATGGAGAATTCTTTCAATAATATAGAAGATGAAAATGTTGATGAAAAATACTCTAGTTTTTGTTCTTCTTGTAATTCTGTCTTGCAATCTGTATGTAGCATCGGAATACCATCGTTTCATGAATTAAATAGTGAAAATAACCTAATATCTAAAATTGAAAAAAAAGATATTGCAAAACATAGCGGAACGATAAATGTAAATGAATATACGTTGGACGGTAAATACTGTCGTATTGAAAAAAATACTTTTGTTAAAAATACTGACACTCCTACTAAAAATTTGATAATAGCAATGAAACATCATACATACGAAAAACAAAAAATTAACAAAAATGATGATGACAAAATCGGTTACTCCATAACGAAAAAAATTAAATATATCAAATCATTAAGTACAGTAAATACAAATTCATTTAAAATTATTTTTGTTAAATTCAAAAATAATTTAAACAATAAGATAATTTCTAATAAAGCAATATCCATTAATTAGGATTCTGAAACAAAAGAAAATTACATTACTTTATCTGACAATGAAAATAAAACTTTCACATCGGAAATAAAGATATTAAAATTTACAAAAAAAAACACATCACCTAGTAATGATGATATTTTAGAAGATATTCAAAATCGTCGTAAAAAAGTACTTAAAACTATTAAATCAATATTGTATCTTTGGTAAGTATTTGGAAATATACAAATCATATTTTCAAAGTTTCTGATTTATTATTTCTTTCTAGTAACTATATTAATATTATGCGCGAGGTTATACTTCAACAAATTCATGAGAAACAGTCCAATAAAAGATACTAGAAAAATTCTCATAGATAAAATTTTTCTATGAATTAAATATTTTATTAATATTTAATATATTATTTTATTTTTAGTTAATATATCTATAATTTATTATAAATATTACATGATATTAAAATATATAAGAATCTTCATAGTTATTAGGAATTAATTGTTATGTTTTTATTTGTTTCATGCCATATCAAAGTCATCTCTCTGTAATAAAACAATGTACAAAATTAATAAACGCAGTAAATACAAACGAATAGAAAATATTATAGGACATGGATGTATCACTTACAGCATCATTGTATTCCAATACATGTTTCTTAATAGCAGACGTGTCCACCCAAGTAACAAAATCTTCCAAGTTTCTAGAAAAATAACATCATAAAACATGTGTGCCGATTATTGATTGATTGTCTTACTGTTTTTTTTTTTTTATTATTTAAAACTATTTACCTTGTGACCAGAAAAGCTGGATCTTTTACAACTTCTGTACCAACTCTAACATGACCCTGTTCTATTAATTGTGTTGCCATTTTTAAATTTTGACTCATTTTATTTCGTACCATAACAACTGGCAATCGTCTTCTACAAAACGAACTTGCACTCACTTTTTGCGTTAGTGATAAATCCCATTTTGTTGCTATAAGTCCCATTATATATAATTTTTCCAACAATAACGCACTCTGTTCTATTCGAAATGGATGGTCAGCATCAATTTCTTTAATCTTTTTCCCTAATTCACGAATTTCTCGTGCTAATTTATTATACCTGGAATAATTAAACGATATTTAATTAATTTAATATAATTTAATGTTAGTAAAGCTACAACAGATTTACTTTGTATAGTCGTCTCTTTTTTGTATTCGATAACGTTTCAGAATTTTCACTTCGTGCAGGTTGTTATCTGCTTCCCATGATATGAAATCGACTTTCTTCAGCAATTTTTGTTCGTGATATTTTAATTTTCGTACCATGATTGTTGTGAAAAACGGAAATAACAGTGATAGAGAGCTAAAAAGATTGTAGCGGTCTATGATTCCTTAAGTACTAGAGTCGAACACCAACTAGTACAAGCTGCAAATTGCTGTGCGCCTCAGCCCAGCGTCGAAGTCTCAACGATCTTAAGCAGAGTGTGGAACATCACTAGGATGGGTGACCGCTAGCCTAGTGGCGGGGGTAGTACAACAATAAAGCGTCTGGGGTAAGAGGTCGCTGCCATCAATCAGCCCCACTGATGAGTTCTAGGCAGCAATTTTAAGATGAAATGTAAAACCTCTTCACCTTTCTGACCAAATCCTTCCGTTCGTGCGTTCCTACAATATGCAAAATAATAAAATCACGTGGTTCATGAATTCATGAAGCACATCACGAAATATGTAGTACTATTAATTCTCGTATGATGCGCATAAATCGTGTAACGACGAGAACAAAAAGGTGCAATTTGTGACGTTTATGCATTTCCTCCCATTTGCTTCCTCGTTTTTGGCAACGCTGGTGTTAATAACTAAATGTTGTAACTTCGTAGGACGCCATGAATACACTTTGCTTTTGGTATAGAGAGGTTAGGTTTCCTTATAAAAGAAGGTTAGGTTATGTATTTATATAATATAAAAATTTTTATCATGTTCTCTTTTATTCAATAATTAAGAAAATTAGGTGAAGCAATCAAGAAGTAGAATTTATCTTTATTAAGTTCTACGACATATTATTTAATAATGAATAAGAAAGATCATAAAGCAGAGCCTGGTGATGGTTTACGCTCTTTAAAAAGTACAATGTTATTTCGTGCAATTAATTATGAATTATACGTTAGACCGGTAAGATTATTATACAAATTAAAAATTATATAAAGTTCAATAAAATTATATAAATTATGTATACTAGCAAAATATGGGTGTACATTGTTAATAAAAACAACTGAATTTATTTTTCAGAATAAAATGGTAATGATCTTTGGAACAATCGCAATATTCAGTTGCATAGGATATATTGTTTATATGCGACGTAATTCTGATAACACGAAATATTATTCTGCAATTACATCTGATGGGTCAGTTGATTTTAAAAAGAAAACATCAAAATGAACAGTGTAGTTCACTGCATTTTATGTAAATAACAATTACATTTAAGAATTTACGTTACATGAAATACATAGTTACTATTTGTAATGTTATTTATATACTACATTTCATTTCATTGCTATTTGTTTGTTAGGTATTATTCCCTGTCTATACATCTCAGTGATATGTAAACAAATGTATTTAACAATTCAACATCCTCTGTTAAAAATATTTTGCTACAACATCTTCAAGTTCTCCAATTTCTATTATATTTAAAATTTAAAATTGGTGTAAATATTCATTAAAACTAGTATACTACTGTTTCGACAATATTTATAACTTCAACAAAATTATATATTGTTTTATAAAATATGAATTGCATTCTGTATTACATTTATTTCATATATAAATACATAGAAAATTAACTTTTCTCACTGCATCATTCAAGCTATCATTTTTGGCAGTATGTACAAGGTCGTTTAAAATTTGAAATACAGTTAAGTATACTACAATGAACAGTTTTCGTTAATATAATTGCAACGCTACAACGAATGCAGAAAAATATTATTTATATATGTCTCAACGTATACTAGAAGGAACAAATGTGGAATATAATTTTAGAACCAATTACATTCGTTCTAGCATACACCATGATAATTTTTACAAAAATTTAAACGTTCTGAATTGGTCCAGATGTTTGAACGAGGAGTGTTCTAAGCTTAAATTACATAACGTTACTAAAAATATATGTGTATATTTTTACGTATGTATGTATGTTTGTATGTATGCGTGTGCACGCACGCATGTGCATACGCGTGTGCGTGTGTATAGATTTTTATGTAAATATTAAATATATTTCCTTTTATGTAATTTATAAATAATTAAAATATTAGTAATATCTAGAATGTTTAAAAAATTAATAACATGCACTAACATAAGAATGCTATTATAAAGCATAAAATTAAAATATCTGATCGAATTTTTACCCAATATTTTTGGAAATGAAATATAAAATATTATTACGATAAATTAATCGTATGTTTTATCGATTTTAATTGAAACCTTCATTTTGCATTTTATGTAAATTGCAAACTACTGGAAGCATTTAAGACACAAAAGATATAGTTTTTACATAGTACATGAGATTATGGCATCTACAAATATTGAACAAAGTTATGTACTTTTTTTAGAACATTCCTTTCTTTTTCATTCACCTGTTATACATATTAATTGTATAACTGATTTCAAATCTGAAAAAATATAGTGTTTGAATTTCTTTTTATGTACCATAGAAAACCATAATAATTATTTTACTTAGAACAAGATAGTAAACAGGAACTAACTATAATTAATAGTTTGCATTGAATTTTAATAATTTCAGATTTAAATTTCTGTAAACAAATCGCTTATTATTAAAATAATAGATTAGTATTTTTAGTAAATTTTCATCATTCATCGGTATTTCCGTTAATAAATCGTATTTATACATATTAATTTATTGTTAAAGATATGGCTATATAATTAAATATAAGATACTGTATAAAGATAATATTTTATAAAGCATATTCGTTGGTAGAAAAATTGTATTTAAAAAATATTCTTCTTGGAAATATGTAAAAAATATTTCTATTTTTATCTATAATGAGAATGATTATTTCGAATGTAAAGTAGTTTTAAAAAATTGGTCTCATTCTCTAACAATATCACTGATGTGATATACATATATATATTATAGTTCTGAAATTATTTACAAGATTATTGTTATACATATGAAATTCAAAAATTAGTCTCCTATGAAATATATATAATTTGTAACCATCTCTTCAACAAGAGTTTTAGAAAATACTTATTCACATCAGTCAAGGAATAATATTATTTTTAAAACAGAGCTTATTAATGAGTTTTCTAATTACATTAAAATTGATAAAAACATTAAAAAATTATTATATCAAAATGAATTTCTATTGTAAATGTTTTTTATTTCTCTATGAACCCAATGAAAATCATTTTAATAATAAGCGATTACACTTACACATAAACTTTAATGTATTAAAATTTGGCAATTCATAATACTTTGTTGGTATTTTGTACTTTCGTAGATAAGGCGATTTCCAAAAAAATGTATCGATTTTTGTATGAAATAGAATTACATTAATTTCTAATCTTTTAGAATAGAGAATTAATGCAGGTAATGTACCTCATTAAATAAACATTATAATAAATTAAATCAAGGAGCAGAATTGTAATAAAAACATAACGAAAAATACCGATATAGATAATTCCTGTGATTTTGATATAACTTCAATCCATATAAAATATTGCCATATTTCAACAATTTTCTCAATAACAATAATTTATACTTATGAAGTAACGTCTGATCCGGACATCCATTTTAACATGTACAATTTTCCTTATTATGTGGATACAGTAGAATAGTTTCATAAATCGCATTTGCCACATAATCTAAGTTAGATTCATTAAGTCCACACATATTTATTCTACCGCTTCGTAACATATAGATGTGATAATTATTAATTAAACACTCAACTTGTCTCTCTGAAATAATGATTATTTTATTAGTAAGATAAAATATAAGATAAAACAAGTGTGTTAAAATAATTTTTTTGAATACTTACCGGTTAGGCCTGTGTAAGAGAACATTCCTATTTGTTGAGTAATATGTTCCCAATTACCAGGAGTTCCTTTTTGAATTAACTTTTGATATAAACTCGTTCGCATTTCCTTTATTCTACTGGACATGGTGACAATATGATCTTTCCTGAAATATTTTAATATCATAGTTATAAATCTTTAACATTTATTGTAAAACGAATCGAATTAATTTTGTTCTTTATATCATACCATTGTTTGTAGAGATCTGGGTTCTGCAACACGGTTGCAACTATTCTTGCTCCATGATTAGGTGGATTGCTATACATTCCACGAACAATCAAGGTTAACTGAGACTTAACTTGAGCCAATTCTTTTGTATTAGACATAACAACTACCATATTTCCAACCCTTTCATTATATAAGCCAAAGTTTTTAGCAAAACTTTGCGCACACATAAATTCTATTCCACGTTCAGCAAACAATCTTACAGCATATGCATCTCTGTCTAAATCACCAGTTGCAAAACCCTAAAGAATTACATTTTTTATATTGCTTTTAAAATTAGTTTATTTTAAAAAAAAGGAGAATAATTCGTAATACCTGATAAGCACTATCAAAAACAGTGAAAAGTTTTCTCTCTTCAATTACATCTCCTATTTTAGCCCATTGTTCAGGAGTTGGATCACAGCCAGTAGGATTATGTGCACACGCATGAAGAATAATTACAGCATTTTCTGGAGCATCTCTAAGATCTTTAATCATTCCTTCTATATCAATGCTACGGGTTTCTGGATTCCAATATACATATTCACATGCTTTTTTGAATCCTCCATTTAGGAACACAAGTTTATGATTCTCTATAAATGTATTATATGTTATACAGAGTGAATATTCATCTTATCATTTAAAAATATCTATTGATATTTACCCCAAGTAGGTTTACTGTAATAAAAGGTGTCATAGTGTAGAATACGACTTAAAAATTCAGCTATAATACGTAATGCTCCAGTACCAGATAATGTTTGAATACCAAAAGCTCGGCCTTGTGCAATAATAGGAGAATCAGCACCCAACAGCATTTTTGTTGCTGCTTGACTAAAAGCATCTAATCCCAAGACAGGAAGATATTCATGGTTTTGCAATTCATCTGCAGCTAATGATTTTTCTACTTTTCGAACAACTGGTAATACCCAAGGTTTTCCTTCAGTTGTACGATAAGCTGAAAACAATATGCACTTATCATAATTTTCAAGAATTATTTTGAATTATTTAGTAATCCTGTATCATTATTCCCAAAGCTTAAATACAGATTAAATCATATTACAGCACATATATTCATATTTGTGAGATACATTATGCAATCACCAGATATTCTGGAGGTCATCCAAGAGCAGATTCATTAGCCATATGAATGAGACACAAAAAAATTTCAGCTTAAAGATAGTCATTTCATACATATGATTTTAAATAAATACATTTTAGATACATTTTTAAATTATTAAAGAGAACTTGTGTTATATTTATGTCTGTTTATTACGAGATTAAATATTAAATGAAATGCATGCAACATACCTCCTATGGATAGATTCACTTTTTTTTCGTAAGTATCTTCCGTAAATGCTTTATTAAGTGCAAAAACTTCTATTGGAAGTCCTAGTTTTAGCCCGCTGAATCTCGTATTCATCTTTGGAACGTTTAAATATCGTATGATCAACTATCTGTGCAACGATGTAAAATGAGAGATAATCTGACGACATCAATTTATATGAAATAACAAACACATTTACAAACCTTTTACAATCACTGTATGACGAATGTTTGCGATTTTTAATCTTAGATATTATAGATAGCAGTAACCCATCGTAAGTCCCAGGGAAAATAATGTAATGTAACATGTAACTACGTGAACTTCTAGCGCTAATGAATTTAAATTAGTAGTATTTAACAAATGTAATATTTGATAACGTGGTGTTCGTAACGTCAATTGTCTATTCTATGTACAAGTTTCACTTTTTAGAAGCAAGATAGACGTTGAAACGTATAAGTAAATTATAACGTACGACAAAATATAAATGTCATATAATAAAACACAAATATTTTTTAATATTCGTCGCGTAAAATATACGAAACAATTCGACAAATATTAAGTCCCATGCGTCTTTATAAAAAAAATGTTATACATTGTGGACGAGACTGTTTAGGACAAGATAAAAATGTTATAGGGCGAGATTATGCGTTATAGAACAGTTGTATTTTAAGAAATTTCTACTTTTTCTCTTAGAAATGGTTATTTTCGATAAATGAGATCTTCGGGATTTCTGTTTTATCAATCGACCCGTTTCATCGTTACCAGCTTGTTCTATTATTGCTGCAGAGATCGCCAGTGCGCCAGTAATACGCGATGTATATAGTTTGGTTAATACACACAAGTGTGCAGCATAAGCGCAACATTCCAGCATAGTTTAGTTGAAAGTTGTACTGTGAAGTGTGTACAGCGCGTTGTAACCCTTGTGATAGTTGTTATATTTTTTTTTCTTTTCGCTGTGTTTCTGCGTTCATGGCTGTGTACTATCGAGCTGCACGGAGAACTGTATTGAAGTAAGTTGAGACGCAAATTAAGAAACGTTAGTTTTACTTATTTTTCTGATTACGACTAAAGCATTTCAAAGGGATGCTGTGTACCATTCTCCCCTTATGTTTTCGTGAAAAGTATTCTTCGTATCGATAATCGTTCAATTTTTTCGAGCGAATGATATTACTTCGTACGACTATACTTCATTTTATTTACGATCATGATAGTGAACATATTGCACAAAAATAATCCTAATTCTATATTAAACGATTAATACAGTTATTATTAACGAAACAAAATTTTGATGGTGCCGTGTTGTAACTGTTTGTTGAAGTGAAGTCACGAAGTTAATTTTACTGCCAACTGGAAGTTTGTATTTTAGAAATACGTTGTGACACTCTCTAAAGAAGTTTTTTCCTTTTTGTATAATATTTGAAATAGCAAACACACATACACACACACATATATGCACAACACAATTATATCTCAACCGTTATCTCAAATATAATTTATTTTAAAAAGAATTAAATAACTAAAAGAAAATTATATAATTTATTTAAAAGCTATTCCAAATATATTGTACTTTCTTTATCAAATTCGATCAGATTCGAAATAATTGACCAACAGGTTTTGCTCTCTTTTCGCATTTCGTTTCAACGTGAGCAGATCAAACATGAAATGAAGCATGGAAAGAGGGCGAGGCGTTGAAACGTTTTTCGATTGAATTAGTTCTTATTTAAAATAGCTTTCAAATAAATTGTTCATTACCTTAAAGTAGGTGTAGATAGATTCTATTCGTTACGATCAGATATAGCAAGTACTATCAATATTTAATAATGTGATTTAATTATTTTGTTTTTTACAATTCTATAGCTATATAAAGACATGCCCGAACCAACGTGACGTTAATTGGTGCGAAAAATAATTTCCATAAAAGTGTGTTGATGCTAGCTCCGATCGTTATGCGTTTGATGTAATATTTGAATCATGATTTATTCTGTCAGTAACGATTTACCGCGTGGTTGTCGTTTCATTGATACATCATTGATACATTAATTATAAGTTAGACGCGTCTGTAAGCTTAATCGTAATATATGATAAAGAGCAATAACAAACTCCAAAACGTTCATATTGATCGATTACAATTCGAATTTAGGATATTACGAATTTGTATGTATGTGTGCCTTGTAAACATGCATCCGTATTGAATTTGGGACTTTTATAGTATAATTCTTGCTGTGTGTGTGTATCTTCAATTATTTAAGTTAAGACACTGCTTTCAAAGATAGTAATTGAATTCTCAAAAGTTCTTGATAATTTTATTTAAGAAAGAAAGGACAATACGTGGAAAATTTTTTTCTTGTACGAAGTAAATAATTGTAGCGTGTCTCAAATATTTTTTTAAAAAAGTGGAGAATTTATTGCTAATTTTATTTCGTGCATTCGTCACCAGATGGCTTTTCAACAATTCTCACAATCTCACGTCTGAATTTTCTAAATATAGATCATTTCGTTTATGGTGAAGTACTATATATAACAGAGTTGAAACACATTGTAATGAGAGCACTTTGTTTCTCGGTGAAAGAACAATGCTCTCGTTATTAGAAAAAGCATGGGACTAGTTATATAAGACATACGTAGACATGTCTGAGAATGTGAGAACATAAGTTTGATAATCCAAGTAAGTCATCTACAAATTTAGAGAAACGTTATGTATTTCGTATATGAATGTGTTCGATAAATACATGAATTGCATGCTAATTCTCAGAATTAAAATTACAGAGAGTCTATGTATACACCCCAGAAATCTTAAAATAAGTATTATATTTGTATAATAAAAATAGTACAATATAAATGATACATCACATACAATAGATACAATATATAAATTAAAGAGCATTCTTATTTTTTTTTATTTTATTGTCATTACTTTCCATGCAATTCATAGCATGATGAATTATAATAATATTCTCTTCCCTTTGTTTTTATGAAAATTCGAACTACCAAATTTTCTCTTATCCCATCGATCGAATTCGATTGAATTTGTTTCGGTACGCGGTTCGACTTACAGACAAAATGCAAATGTGCCATTAAACCTAATTAGATACTTTCATATACGGTGACTGGACATTCCAAGAATGACAATGCGTTCTATTTAACATATTTTTTTTTTTCAAAGAAAAACATTATAACATTATAAATGAAAAATAATAGACATGATTATTGTATGGTTTGTATGGACATTTTAAGTATCTGAAAGTGTTGAAGTATTGAAATTCGCTTTTTAATTGAAAGTTATTCAATTTTCCTTAAATTTAAGAAGTTTTCTGACGATTGGTGAATACAATCGAGCTAAACAAATCAACATTTTCAGCGTGTAGTCTTCGTCAAATATTTGCAATCAGCATCAGTTAAATTCTAAATGTATAATTTAATTCCAAGTTGCAATCGATTTCTTTGCAGCTGGTTGCACCAATGATCGCGGAGGAATTTTATGAAACCTGTTAAGTCTTGCGTGAATGAAAAGACGTCATAGAACGTATTTAAAGATACATATTGCATATATATCATGTATCATATATATATATATATATATATTTTTTACATTCTAAGTTAGGTTAGCTCGCAATTGAAAGTAGATAGAGATGTAAAAGATAAATTTTGTTTCGAAACATTAAGAATCATGTAGCGCATATACTATATACATGAATTTACTTTCAATTTTAAAGCATAAAACATGCTTTCTCCAAAGATGCTGACTGAGTTTAATATCCAGCGTGCAACATCACATTTCGACAAATAATTTTAGTATTTGAAAATAATTATCATTCAAAAATCCACCGGTTAATTAATTAATTCTTTTTTTTTAATTAAGATCGTACGTTTTGCGTCTGTAATATAGCAACAGTAGTTGAGACAGGTTTAATGAACGACAATGAAGGTTATTGAAGGCCAAACAAGGTCGTAAATTAACCCTTTGAAGATGTAACAAACCGTTAATCGAATCGACGAAATTTATTTAATTAAGCTGTGCATAATATCGTTAAGATAAAGCGATTGATGGTGTGTCTTGTCTAAAAATCAATTTGATTTACCCATTGTTTTGTCTATTTATTAAAGATGCAAATAACATACTTGTTATCACATTGTAAAAGGTATTCTCTCACAGTTAGGTCTTCTTTTTTTCCACTGCAAAGCATGTTTATTTGCAGCGTGGCTTAAAGTTCCATCGTTACGATTTTTCGGATTATTAATTGTTATTCGTTCAAAATAATTCATTTGACATAATCGTACAGTCTCAGAATTGTGACAGAATCTATTAATACTATTAAGTGACTTTCCCACATTTGTACCAGTATTTTAGTTGCATATATTTTTATCGGAGTCAGTATCGTCTTTTCTCTTTTCTCCATAATTTCTTTCATCAGATTGATACTTCATAAAATTGCAGTGTTAAATTGGAAAATTTATTTGAAAAATTAGTTAATAATACAGTCAATAATGATAATACTGTTTAGGAAACAATACTATTTCCTCAGTAACAGTACTACAACAGTAAATCTATTAATTTGACAGAAACATACACGTTAATCCATCACAATTACATCTTTCTCGTTCCTCTTCCTTTTGCATATTAATCCTCCTTGAGTCACACAAACAAGTCCGTCGTATTGTCCCGTCTGATTCTTTGTTTTTCACGTTCGAGTCTCCTCCTCGAGCCGGTTCCTTGAACAATGAGTTTCTGTTCACAGGAACGTTGCTGGTCATTGTTCGAGAGTAATCGCAAAAGCAGAGGTGATTCTCCCCGTTCGTCGATAAAAGAACGCAGGAGAATGAACAGACCTTGATGATATTTGATGGAATACCAAAATTAGTCCGACCCTTTTTTTATAATTCGTCTACTTCTTCAATTCGTATCTCGTGGAAATGTTTCTATTGTTCAAACTCATTCGAAGAGCTTCACTTGTCTTTTTTTATAAGTATTTCGTGGGTAATAAGGATACTTAAGATGTAAGATTAGAATTTCAGATAGATTTGTGTATATAGGATGAATGTTTCGAAGATTTGTATGTTCATGATCATCAAGAGTATCGGTAAAAACTATAGATGTCACAAATACATTCGTAGAATTTAATCAGATGTTATTGTTATAGTTAATCGCGTGTACCGTGATTAGATGTGTTCGTTCGTTTTGTTTGTTGGCTTTTATGATGGATGACTAAAGTGTAATTAGCAACTTGAATTTGTGGTTTGGGAAGTGCACACATATTTTTCCTTTGGATCGTGTATCACTATAAGTTCGAGTTTCAGTTGGTACGCTGTTGGTTTAATAGTAAATATTGATAAATATTAATCAATTTCATTATATTACTTGAATTAAATTCAAGATGCTTCTTAAGTTCTTAATAATTTAATTTTTAGGATCTAGATTCTTAGTAGTACTTTGGTTCTTAATGTTGGTTCTAAATGTTTTGGGTCTTCAGTTCTTGGATTTTTTTTTTAAGGTGAAGATTCTAGATCTAAAACTTTTAAATTGACACTTTTAAACTTTAGAGTCTAAATCCTTAGTTTTGAGTTTTACCTTTTTTGATTTAAGCTTCTAGTCTTTGGACATTAATAGTCTTTAATGTTTGCTACTGTTAGATATTATTTTTTAAGTTTCAAGTCCTTAAATCTCAAACCATATGTTTTACTCCTTAAGTATTCAATTTTACACATAAAATTCCAAAGTTCGAATTCTATTTTTCAAGATTTATTTTCTCTGCCTTAGAATGCAAATCCTAATTAGGTTTCTTTGTAGAAGGAAACTTTAGGTTACTTTAGTAGATGCAGATTTGCAAATTGTAATTTCTCTAGAGTTTTCAACTCTAAATCTCAAGTAGATTACAAATTCTATGTTTCAGATTCTATGTTACATTTTTCAAATATCGGATTTCAGACCCTAGGTCTTAGAGTGGAACCCATAATTGTCAAATTTCACGCACTCAGACTTAAAGTTTCAAGTTTTTTATTTTACATCGTTGCT